GAACAACACAATGCTAATGAAAAAAAAACTGAACAGCATTTGTGAACACCTCCATTTCGAATGTTTTAAACGTTCGAATTGTTCGTTTTAATTTGTGACACAATTTTTTTTAACGAAATAAAAAAAAATATCATGATAAGTAAAATTTACTTTCGTTTTTGCTTTGTTCTGTTTCATTGTTTAAGACTCGATCAATGATTTATCGATGATAATTTTTTGTTAATTTATCTTTCCTCTTAAAACTATTTAACAACTCCCAACTTGATCGAATAATTAAAGATTTTGAAAGCTGTTTTTTTTCCTTCACCAAAAATTCGGGTCATCATCATAAACATTATGAAGATGAGAAAATTAATCTTGATGATCTCATCCTAATTTTGTTTCATTTCACAAGAGAAACATAATGATGGAATATCCGTCATGATATGAAAAAAAAATATGAAATATCAAAATGAATGATTACAGTGCACATTATACGATGAGATTTTTGTTTTACCCGTCGAGATCATTATCCGCATCAATTGGATCTGCTTCTTTTTTTTGTTTTGTTTATATGCGATGGATTGATGAACTACAAATCTCAACATTTCAATCTTATTTTAACATTAGTCGTACAAAATGTTCATAAAGGATGTATATTTCACTGATAACAAAACGAAACAATGAAAAATAAAGACAAAGAACAAAAAGAAAAGTTCATGCACACAAATTTCATTTCAAATCTTGATTAATTTAAAAAAAAAATCAAAATAAAATTTAATTGAAAAAAAAGAATAATCAACAAATGATAATGGCAAACAACAAAGCATTGTTTTTATCCAACACATTAGTTTTGTTAATAGGTAAACTTTATTCTTTAGTTTTTTTTATCATTTCATTTTTTGAAAAAGTGAAATTCAATAAGTTTTTTTGAATGAATTTTCACCCTAATTTTTTTTTAAAAGAAAAACCTAGTGACCTAATGTTATAGAAAAATTTATCATTCATTCAATTATATGTTCAGCATAGCAATATCCTAGCAATTTATATTTGTAAATAAAGGTAATTATTTAGGTAAGTAACAAGTTAAAAACAACAACAACAATAACAGCATAAATAAATGATTGAAAAGTTGATTTGATTTATCTAAGCTGCCAAATTCTAACATATTTAACCATTCATTCATTCATTCATTAAATAAAATGAATTGAAAGAAAGAAAGAAATCGACATCGATATTTAGGAGAAAGGTGAAGAGAAAAAAACAAAAATGTAACAAATGAAAGGAAAAAGGTGAATTTTAAATTAACTAACGAACGAACAACAACAAGGTTCGGGTGTGTGTGTGTGTGATAAGTATAAACATCCTATATGATCATGGCCAACATAGTAACATATTAATTTGAACTAAATGATCGGAAAAAATAAAAATTCAAAGTTTTGTTTTCCATTTTTATTGATAATGATGTTCATGATTTTTGTTTTTCCAAAGCAACAAGCAAAAACCGAATACATTTAAAGATGCAAAATTTGATCAATTTGATCTTCGTATAATAAGGTAAGTTTAAATTTAAATATGCATCATTATTATTATTATTTTAATAGGTTTGATCGGCTTTTTTTTGATTTTGATCATTTATGACTTATATGATGATGATCAGAATAAGAAGAATTTTTCCGATGAATAAAACATGATTTTTTTTCTCTTTCTCTCTCTCTCTAATACCAGGATCTTGAACCAGATAATAAACGATAATGAAAATATTGTTGACTGAAACATACCTGAATCAGATTAATTCAAATGAACGAAATAATTGTAACGATTTTGTTGAACTAGAAAAAAAAATTGGTTGATCGTTTTCGGTGGTTGTTGAATTCATATAATTTAAATTTTTAAAAAAAAATTTCACATATTTTAATCGGCAGTTTTGAATCGAAGAATGAATCCGAAAAAAAAGTTGGCAGTTGTTATTTGTTGCAAATCAATATGGAATATAGTAGAAAAAATAACGGTCACCGGTTAAAATATAATTATATAACTGTCATCATCATCATTTTTGGATTTTAAAATTTAAAAATAACCGAAAATAATCCCGAATCAATCAATCGGGATATATCACAAACACACACACACACAACAAATACACAATGTTGATCTTAGCTGGACCAACTAAACAAAACAACAACAACAACAAAAAATATCCGTTGACCATAACAAAACCCGATCAAACAGCGATCGACCAACTTTTCATGATGAGAAAATGTTTTCTCTTTCTCTTTTTTTAGCATTCACTTACATTTGATATCAAAAAATCTTTCAAAAGTTATTAATATCGAAAAAAAAGAAATGAAAATTATTTCCATCCGTGGAACAAGCTGTTGTAACAGGTTGAAGCTTGAAAAAAAAGAGAAACCGAAAACCGGAACAACAACAACAACAAGATCCCGTGTTGAATGCAATCCAAACACAACAGGCAACACTATAGTTGAAAATTATGAACAAGAAATATTTTTCTTTAAAAAAAAACTGGCACAAAAACAACAACAACATCTGAACAGAAACTGAAAATTACCTGATCGATGCAGCTGATGATGATGATGATGATGATACTAAGACGGCTACCACGATCGACTACAATATAACATAGAATGAATATATAAAGTTATAAAAAGTTATAACTGGACTACAAGATACAATACAAAACACCATAAACATTGATTTCATCAAATGCAATGGAGTTCAGGTTCTTCTTATTCATTCATTCATTCATTCATTTTGTTTCATAGGGACAAAACTATCATCTCTCTTTCTCTTTTCAAAGATTTACCTTCGTTTTTTTTTGTTTTCTCGATTTTTTTACATCTGTCTTTTCTAGATATGCGATTGAATAGAACAGACAGACAAAATTTCAAATCAAGAAAAGAATAGACGGACGAAATGCAATTCAATGAATCGAAAGAGACAAAAAACAACGAACAAAAAAAAAGAAGAAGTATGAAAAACAATTGAATATAGACCTGATGATGATGATGAAAATTAAAATCTTGAATTTTTTTTTTTGAAGAAGCTGAAGAAAAAAAGAAATGCAACAAGAAGAGGCATTGAATCTGAATGCCACCAATCACCAGCGACAAAAAAAACATACAGGTGAAATCATCATTAAAATGCATGTTCGGTGTGACTACAACAACAAGATGGACCAAGACCACTTATACAATCTCATTATATTCAAGACGATATATCCGCTTGTTTTGGATGATGATGATGATAATGATGATGATGATGATCAAATACAGGATTCAATGATTTGAAAGATAACAGAGATTGTAATTTTTAATTTAAAAAGATAGAAATTGGATCAGCAATTTTTTCCATCTAAAATCGATCCAATCAATAATTGAATTGTATGATTAATTATCATCCATGATTCATCTACCCACGCACACACTTACACACACCGACCATTAATTTTGAATGGTAAATTTTTTGAAATTATAATTTCATTTCAAGATAAGTAATTTTCAATAATTTTATTAAATTTTTTTCTACAAAAAATTGATTTATTTTAATCAATAATATAACATTGATATCTTACTGTCACGAGGAGGTAAAGCGGAAAAAATATTTCCAAAAAAAAAAGAAATTTCTAAGAAAATGATCATCACGATTGTGTTATTAAAGTAGCACCAAAATCTATATAGAAATGGATGAAAAAAAGTGCTCATCATCATCATTATGACATTGATGATAATGGTAATGATGATCATCATCATTTGACAATAGAAGTGTTTGAGGATGGTGTCATTTTTTCAATGATGAAAATCGAAACCGAATTTTAATAATAATAGAGTTGTTTTACCGGTTTTTTTTCTTCATTCATTTTTGCTTCGTTTTTGGTTTCATGACTTTTTTTTATTCAAAATTCTGGAATTTCAGAATTATAACAAATAATATTCAATTGATTTTTTTGTTAAAAACTAAGGAGAAAATAAATGGATAAATTTTTTGTGAAGAAAAAAAATTAGATCAAATACATTATTGTTGTTTGTTTGTTCGTTTTTATTCTTATGAAATCAAATAAACAACAACAATGATAATGATTATAATAATGATAATGATGGTCAATCCTGGATCATTTTGAATATTTTTTTCATTTTTATTACACTTCTTTTGAATAAATAAATTTTGGAAAAAAGTAAAAAAGAATACAAACGAGTTTATTTCGTGCACGAAAGTGAATCTTATTCGTACATTTATGCACTACAATAATGTGTTTTTTTTCTGTTTTTTTGTTATTAAAATTTTTAGAAATTCAAATTGTTTAATGATAGTGTTGAGAAAAAAAAACAAAGATCAAAAATGGAACAATTGTCGATGTCATCTATAACAATAATGATGGTGCAAATAGAAAAAATTAGAAAAAAAATAACAATTAATTTTATACGATTGACGAAGCCGGAATTTCGGGAAAAGCGTATTTTTGAAAATCAAATTCAGTTAATTGCGCCATCTTGTTTTCTAGCTAATCATCATATTTTGGCTAACAATTATGACGGAAATGATGATGATAAACATTATCAATTATATCAATTCTTAATTTGAAATGTATTTTATGTTATTTTTTTGTGAGATAAATTTTTGATTGATTGATACAAAAAAAAATGTCTTGATATGGCAATTTGAGAGGAAAATTTTTCTGGTTTCGAATTGTGTTTCGGAAAAAAATTTCCAGCAAAATTATTGCCGCATGTGCAATGGTTGAAACTCATCATTCGATGATTGAATTGATGAATGAAGGATCTGCAGATTGTCGATTAATTTGCAAAACAACTTACAAAAAAAAACAACATCCAACGTTTTGTTTGTATAAATGACAGCCTCATAATCAATTTATTTGATTATCATCATTACTGAAATTCGGTACATTTGGACATTTGTATTTCGTTATTTTTGATGCTCAGCTCACAATATTTATTGTACCTGAATCCAATGATCATGATCGATTCGATTAAAAATATTCAATATTTTCAATAATAATTAATCTAAATAACCATTCTTGTCTGATTGATATTTGAATATCGCATATTTATCACTGTTTTTTTTTGTTACCATAAAAAAATCAACAATACTAATAATGGATTTGCCCGAAATATTGAAAACAAGTAGCGATGATTTAGACTTATTAGATTCGGAATTTCAACGTCTTGATTATGCGAATCGTGCTTATTTCAAAAGTCTAAATGAAATGCTTAAAAATCAAAATGATTGCTTCAAAGAGATTAAACATCAAAAATATCGTCTTTCACAGATTAATGATCAATTAAAAAGGTATGATTAAAATGAATAACCATAATTAAAATGACTATTGTTTTTATGTTTTACATATTTCAGATATAAATCCTATGCCAATGATAATGAGGAATTGTCCAAAATATTCAAACGTATCGAACAAAAAACCAATCAAGTTAAAGAGATTGAAGATACGCTGCCAAAATCTAATGGATTTTATCTGAATCTTGTACTTGGTTCAATAAATGTTAATCTTCTAGATCGTCGACAACAATTTGATTATAAAGAACAATATGAACGTTTTAAGTTATCAGTTACATCTGTCTTGTTAATCACCAGTTTCATTAACATTTTTGCCGAATTCAGGTTCGTTTTTTGTTCGATGTTATTATATTTCAACTAATTGATTAAAAAGGGCTTTAGATTCGCTTCTGCATTTCATGTTGGTCTGGTATCATTGTACATTAACCATTCGTGAAAGCATTTTGGTTGTGAACGGTTCTCGTATTAAAGGTTGGTGGCGAGTTATCCATTTTCTTACATCGATAACAACTGGCGTTTTGGTTGTATGGCCAGATGGTTACAGTTATAAAAAATTTCGTCTTCAATTCTTAACATATATCTGTTACACTAGTTTTCTACAATTTCTGCAATATTATTACCAATATGGTTGTCTTTATCGACTTCGAGCATTAGGTGAACGTTATTCTATGGATATTACCATACATGGATTTCATTCATGGATGTGGAAAGGTTTAAGTTTTCTTCTACCATTCTTATTCATTGGTTATTGTCTTCAATTTTATATATTTTATACATTATATCACATGTTCATGTATGATCCTGAATGTACTGAATGGCAAGTACCTGTTGTATGTTTCATGTATCTGGTCATTTCATTGGGTAATCTTGCTACAACCGGTTTGGTTGTTTATCAAAAAATCAAAAACAAAAACTTAATCACACCGATTAAGCGGATTACCCGTAAGATTAGCCGGGCTGTTTTAACAAAAGAGCAATAATTTGTTGTTATAATTAATATATTTCCAAATCATTAATGATGGCCATTTACAATTATTTATTAATTTGGCCATAAATTTTCAATAATTTTGCATATCTTTATAATCCAAGTAATGAAAGTGAAAACAAAATTTTTGATTTAAATTTATCATTTTATTTTTTTATGTATTAATAATTAATGCTGATTTTATATCAATCAAAATTGTTTTACTAAATATTTTTGTAAAAGTTTCTGCTTCTGTTATGTAGGCTGAATATCAAATTTTTTTTTTGTTAAAAATATTCAAGTTTTACAGATAAATACAAATAGAAAAAATTAATGATTTTATGAATGAATGAATGAATGATTATAAATGGATGATCGATGGATGGAAAACTAAATTCAAACTATGATAATGAGCGTTGATGTATGGTGGAATTAGTCACATTATTATGAATAAGATTATGACTGGATTCACTTTGTAGGAATGGCACACGACGATCGTCTTGAAGATTTGGCGTATCTATGAATGAGGAAAAGAGGATTGTCGAATGATAAAAAAGGAAAAAAAATTGAATTAGTAATTGTTTATTTATTCAAATGTTTTTTAATAAAAAAAATTGGAAAAATTAAAAAAATTTGTTTTTCTTTTTTTTTGTTCTCTTGACTTTCAGATTTTGGTTTTTAAAATAGATAGAATGATAGTTTTAAATTCTTCAAAATTCTTCAATGCAATAAAAATCAATTATCATTATTATATTGATAAAGATTATTAATAAAACCGATATCAACTTGATTTTTTCGAGTTCCTATATCAGTCTGTTGATTTGGAAATTTCATTATATTATCATTAGCATCAGTAAAACTATTTTTGCTAAAAATATTATTAGCAAGATCAATACCATAATTACTTTCTGAATTGGTTGAACTTTCCATACCAGAGCCACCATCACCTTTTGAGATCATTTGTTTACATCGTTGTTCATCTTTTAATATGAATTTTGCACTCAGCCCAAAAAATAAAACTCCAAATACAAGTATGATAGGTGTTAAATAGAGCGCAAACGAAAGACTACGAAATTTATCATCATTTGAATTAAACGCATCAGATATCTGTGATTGGTGTAAAAAGAAATGTTATTTTAAGAAAAAATGAGATTAAGATAAAAATTAAAAAAAAAATTACCGCTCCGATTATGAATGGACTGGAAGCATCGCCAAGAATGTGTGAAGTAAGAATCTGAAGTGATTGAGCAGTCGAACGACGTTGTGGTATGATCACATACAATAGAATGTCAACAACTACCGACCAATTGGTCGATAAGAAAGTGACGCCTAAAAAAATGGCAAACCAAGAAATAGTGGGTGATTGACGGGCAAGAGCGATGCTCAACAAAATACATGGAATTGATAGGGCAACACCGATTGCACAAACCCATGAATCAGCGTAAGGATATATGGAACGGAAATAACGTGAACTTGAATAGCCGATTAGAACACCAGATAATCCACCCAAGCAGGCAATGACACCAAATATCAAACCGATTCTGTAAAAAAAAAAATTGAAATTTAGAAATTTTTTCCACTCGAATTAACATCGAATAATACTTTTCTTTTGATGTATCAACATTGGCAGTCTGCATGAACGTTGGTGCCCACCATGAAATGGCACCGACTGAAAAACACACACAAGTAAAACCAAAAGTTGTAAGTAGATATGTTGGTATCGATTTTAAATACTTGATATCTTTGGTTAAACTTTGGATTATTGAACCAAATGAATTTTCATTATTTGTATCAGGTTCAGGACGATTAAAATTTGCTTGTTCAACAGCACCACGTACAGGTTCGATTACGAACAAAAAACCGAAAGTCGAAAGTATTCCGAAAAGAGGTGTAAAACGAAGAGCCCATGTCCAATGACCAAATGCTTCTGACATTAGAATGCCGACAATATATCCAAGACCGGAACCAACAGGTATTGCGAAATAAAAAACTGCCAACATTGTTGAGCGTTTATTACCGATAAATAGATCGGCAATTAATGTTGGAGCAACAGTAGCATAACTCGCTTCACCAATACCAACTAAGGCACGAAATAAGAAAAATAAATAAGTATGATGTGGTTGAACAAAAGATGATGCTAATGTCATTGTTGACCAAAATGTTACGCCAAATATGATTATATATTTTCGTGAATATCGATCACCAAGAAATCCAAATAACGGTGAGAATATCATATAGGAAACAATAAATGATGTTTGTAATAGACCACCGATAGCATCATTGATATCAAAATATTTTTGAATATCATCTAAAACACCGGCTATAGTGAATCGATCCATATAATTGATAAGATTGATGAAGACCAATAAGGTCAGAATAACATAGGAGTTAAACATTTTAGATGATGATAATGATGTTGGATGATAGGAATTGATTCGATGATAAGTATATGATTTTGTTTGGCGTTTTGTTGCTAATCTAAGCATACAAAAATAATGTTCATCCAATGAATCGATGAAATGATTGATTGATCAATGATGAAAATAATTTAAGAAAAAAGCTCTATCCAAATGATGTAGGTGTATGTTAATGGTTAATGATGATGATTTTCAAGAAAAAAATCACACGAATAAATGATGACGACTACAGTTTAGATTCAATTTGTTGAAAACACAATAAAAATATGATTATGACGATGTAAACTTAACAGCGACACAATAATAAATAAATTTAAAAAAATTGTAAGATGAGATGATCAACAACAACAAAATGTAGACGACTAATATGTGTAATTTACATTAATGATTTTTTTGGTGATAATGATCATAAATGACGGTGAAAATTTGAAAAAAAATTGGTCGAATATAAAGATTAACTTGAAATCAACTATGTGCGTATGAATAAGTGGTAGATAATTTATCAGGAATTCTTGATTTTTCCAAAAAAAAATTACCATTCAGGCTGGTTGAATCTGAACAACGATAAAAAAAAAATTAAATTTGAATTTTTTCAAATTAATTATCGTTCACATTAATCGATCGATTAGAATTCGAAACAATAATATAAACAAAAAATTTTGATGTTTAATAAACTTTATCGATATGCATCATTGATCATTGGATGTGTTATGGTTTTTTTTTTGATTATATTGCAGTGTATGAGGATATGATTAATCAAACATGTACATCAATTTATGATTGATTTTCAGATGAAAAGCATTTATTTTTTTTTTAAAAAGAACAAACTTTCGATATAAATTGATCCAGTATTTGTGATCCAATTTCGCTAATTCATTTTATTAATTTTTCACATTAAAAAATGTCGCTGTTTTCCAATTACAAAATCATTCGATTTTATTTTGATTTATTTAATTATTGTAGAATACATATTATTTTAATATCGATTAATCAATTCGATATTAATCCGATACGATTATGATCATTGCAGAAAAAAAACACGAGATATTTAAAATTTGTTGTTTTTATTTTATTTTCATTTATATCAACAATAACAACAACAAAAATTTCATACCTAAACGATGATGTGTTTTGGAAAAAATTTCACGGGAAAAGCCGACTTTTCTTACATGGGAAAGTTTCCATAAAAATTTGTTGCAAATCGAATGATTCGAATTCTTTCTTTTTCGCTAAAATTACGGTAAAATTATGGACAATCAAAAATCATCTCTTCGTGTGATAAATAAACTTAATGATGATATTGTTAGGAAAATTTGCGCTGGTGAAGTTATTCATCGACCATTGAATGTTGTAAAAGAATTGGTTGAAAATAGTTTAGATGCTGGCGCCACAATGATAACGATTACATTGAAAAATGGTGGATTAGATCTGATCCAGATTCAAGACAATGGCTGCGGTATTAATGTAAGAGATTTGAAAATCAAAATGTTGTTGTAATTTCAAGATAATTCTTCTTTTCGATAGAAAGAAGATCTCAGAATTGTGTGTGATCGATTCACCACATCAAAACTCAAAAGTCTTGATGATTTTAATTCACTGTCCACTTTTGGATTTCGTGGTGAAGCCCTGGCATCGGTAGCTGTTGTTGCTCAAGTTACTATCATAAGTAAGACGAAAGATTCAATGTGTGCCTTTAAAGCCGAGTACGTAGATGGTCATTTGAAAAATTCATCATCCCCAATAGTTCCGATTGCGGCTAATGATGGTACATTAATTCAAGTGGATAACATTTTCTACAATATGCCAACCAGAAAGGCTGCACTTTCAAGCGAAAATCAGGAATATAATTTTGTACAGGATTTGATTGTTCGATATTCACTAATTTTTTCTGAAAAATGTGGCTTCATTTTTAAAAAATATGATGAAAATAGCCATGTTTTGAATACTAAACCATCGGCTACTTTGTTTCAAAATATCGATCAAATATTCGGAAAGAAAATTTCATCGAATCTCATATCGATGGATATCGATGATGAAAAAATGGAATTTAAAGTCCATGGTTATTTCACCAAACAAAATATCAGTCTCAAACGATTCACGTTCATTTTGGCCATCAACTCAAGATTAGTTGAATGTGAACCATTGAAAAAATCAATAAAAGATTTGTACAAAGAATTCTTGATGACCGATGGCCACCCATTTGTGATTATTTGGATTGAAATTAATCCTAAAAATATCGATGTCAATATCCATCCAAACAAAAATGAAGTCTGTTTTCTTCATGACAATGAAATTATTTCGAAAATCATTGAATTTATTCGTGGAAAATTAGAAAACAAACCAGAAAATGATGTAATAAAGAATACATCTGGTGCCCATATGGACATTTCCTTTGTTCGAAGTCAGAATATTGATAATGGTAGAAAACAAGTAGATAATCTTGAATTGGCTGATACATCGAAAATTTCTACTTGGTCAATCAAATCATTGGATCAATCTAAAAAATCAAACTTTCCATCCGAAAGGATCGATAATTCCCAACAATCTTCTCAAATGCTACCAATTGATAACAAATGCGAAGATATCCCAGTAAAAGATATTGAAACACTGCCACGACCGGTATCAAAACCCAAATCATCCAAACCAAATCGAATTTGTAGAATCGATTCAGCAATTCAGCGCATGCAAAGCTATTTACAAAGAGAAGTTTCCGAACATGGGTCGCGACGAAGACGTCGAATTGAACTGACGTAATTACTATTATTAATATTTAAAAAAAACTAACACCATTATTTCTATTTTTAGGAGTTTAGACAAACTGATGAAGGATTTTAGAGAAACGATCGATCTGGATCTAGTCGAAATGTTAGCAGAATCAACCTATGTTGGTTGTCTTGACGAAAATTTTCTTTTAATTCAGCATGAGCTTGATTTGATCATGTTGAATATGCCCAACTTGAATCGTGAATTATTCTATCAAATTTATCTAATCGAATTTGGAAATTTCGATTATTTTCGTTTCAAGCAACCTTTATCGATTCGAACATTATTATCGACATATCTTGAAGTGAATCCTCCTAGCATAGATACTGATTGTACAGCTGCCATTGAAAAAATGGTTCAAACTCTCATTAGTAAATATGAAATGCTCGATGATTATTTCTCCATAAGAATCAATAAGGATGATGCCACCATTGAATCATTGCCTGTGATGATTGCGAAATATGAACCAAATTATATCTATCTGCCTGAGTTTATTCATGGTTTGGCTACAAACGTCGATTGGAAGCAAGAAAAAAATTGTTTCAAAACATTGGGACAAGAATTGGCTCGATTCTATAGTTATGCTCCATCTTTATCAAATAAAAACGATGTTGAATTTCGTGCCTGGTCTGATCTTGTCGAAACTCAAATCTATTCAAGATATAAAAAATTACTATCACCAACCAAATCATTATCTGAGGGTACAATTTATGTAATAGCTAATGTTACCGAACTTTATAAGGTTTTTGAACGATGTTAAAATGACAAGATTTATGTTTATTTTCATTAAAATATTATTATATCAAGGAAAAATGCAACAAATTCCAAAAGAATATTCAAAAAGGCATGTGTAAAACTATCAAATTTTTCATCTTCATTGTCGTCGTCATCATCGCCGATGCGACGATTGTTGTCTTCATCAAAACGACCATTATCAGTGAATTGTTGACGATCATTCTGACTGGACATCTCGATAGAATTATCTGTAAAATCTTCGAAACGTTTGCCGAAATAATTTGACATCGAATTATTTAATAGTTCATAGCCAATCACTGTTAATTGATAGCGGCAAACATCATATGTAAAATGAGCATAGATTCCTATGCAAAATGGACGGCGAATATAGTTATCAATATAAACGATATCCTGTCCACAGGTAGCACTATGTAGATCATAGCTATAAATATCGAAAGTATTTGGTTTTTGGGGCGCTTGATTTGGCGATGATGATTGACTCACATATAGATCACAATCACCAACAATGGATGTTAAATTGAGCAATATATCATTTTCACTATCCATAAAAAAATATGTAAAATTTTCTTTTTCCACTAAACCGGTAATGGTTTCTTTGAAAACAATATCGCGATCTTCGAATCGGAATGAGGTTAGTGAAGATGAAAAACAATCGACTATCATCGATGATTGATGAACACATTGCTGTTCAATAATGATGACAATGATGTTGAAAGTAAAATAAAATGGAATCCGAAAAACATACATATGTTCGATTGATATTTGTAAGAATAATCTTTTTTTTTTATTGAATCGATTATTGATGTCGAACAGTTCTTTTTTTTGGAAAACACAACAATCATGATAATTTAGCTAAATTATTAACAGATGGCAGTGTGAATGAATATTTTTTTTGAATGGATAGAAAAATAGTTTATTCAAAATTTTATATCTAAAGACTTATATGGATAATGAGAAAAAATTACATGATCAATGTGTTGTAAATAAATGAAAAATTATATATAGTAATAATGAATTCATATTTCAATTGTCCAGATTATCAGTGTTGAATGTCACGTTGGAGATCAATTATGGTCTTTTTTATACGCAATGATGTCAGTCGTGCTAAACGATTTTCGGTCAAACATTCACGGATTAAATTGATTGTTTGGAAAAGGATCTGAAAAAATATATTCATTAATGATTTGAATGAAAAAAAATGATAATAAAATTCAATTTTACCGGATTTTCGGCAGTTATTAATTGAGGACTGATTGAAGGTCGAAGTTTCTGAACACACACAGTTTGATATAAATCATCAAATGAAGGTTCATCCGGTAAGTATTCATGATATGGCTTGCTATAACAATTAACCTTTCCATCAATCGATTGAAGACGATTAAAAATTTCCCAGTAAACCAATCCGAGTGAATAACTATTTAAAATGTTAGAAAAGATTTAGAGTAAAACAATCAAGTTCATCAATGAATACTTACATATCAGCATAGACAAATTCTTCGAATTGATCCATATTGATTGTATGATTAAGAATCTCTGGAGCCATGTAACGGACGGTTCCAAAGCATGGTATATCAGATCTAGACGAAATTCGCGAATCATTTAGTGATTTAGTTGTAGCCGAAGCAAAATCCGAAATGCAACAAGAATAGTCGGATTTCATTAGGATATTTTTCGATTTAATATCTCGATGTGCAATACTTGGTTTTCCTTGTGTTCCAATTACTTCCAAATGTAAATGTGACAGACCAAAAATTATTGAACGCATTAGACTTATCATTTGTTGTACGTTTTTGATTGGATTTCGATTCAAATAATCGAATAATGAACCAAGCTCATGATATTCGGTTACCAACCATAATTGAGTGAAACCATTATTTGAGATAATATCAGCAGCCAAAAATGTGACAATATTTTCATGTCGCATGATTGTACCCTGATAGATATCGACTTCACGTTTCCAAGAAGCTTCATGTCTTGAAAAGAATATCTTGACAGCATAATGTTCACAATGTCGAACACCGTGAAAAACACGTCCAAATCGTCCTTCGCCAATCATTCGTTTCAGATCAATTTGCATTGCGATTGTTGATTGAATCATACGAGGTACTCCCGAACCGGAACCAGAAGTAATTGAATCTTCAGTAACAGGTGGCAATGAACTTGATAATTTTTGTGATGATAAAACCGTTTGCTGTGTGTTTTCACTCATAAATGATGATGTTGTATTTGATGCTACAGATGAAAGGAAATGATATGATGGAAGATTAGATTCCATCGTATAGTTGCTGATATTTTGGCTTGTATTTATCGATGGATATTTGATAAATACACCACTACTTCCGCCACTATAATCGCTAACATTGCTACTGATATTCAAATATGTTGGTGTTGAATAAGCTGCAGCAAATTGTGGTGATAATAAAAGTTTTTGTGAAAAGGAATCATTTTTTTGAAATTCTTTTGATTTCTTTTGCCTGTATATGTGGATATAATATTATTATAATCATATAAGAAAATTTAACAGATTAAAAGTAAACATTATCAGAAATTAGAACTTACAAATATTTTTTATATTTAATAAACATGACCATAGCCATAATTAAAAAAATAATGGCCGATGAAGCAGCAGCAATATAGATCCATGAATTGTCAGGAAGGGAAAATTTTTCTTCATATACAATTTCTCCATCATTGATTTGTGTAAATAAATGATCATTACAATAATCATGTGAATTACAACAGGAAATATTTTTAAATACAGCATGAGGTGATAAATATCCTTTACACTATTTTATATGAATAAAAATTATAATCAATCGAAAAAAAATTTTCAAAAAAAAACCGAAAACAACATGTAAAACGAACCTGAAATAAAGTTCCATCACCTGGTTCAAAACAGCCGTATCTTTTTTCGATCGAATGTGTAAGGCCACCTTCGTCAATAATTTCTTCGAAAAATGTAAAACAATATCCTCCCGGTTTTAGATGACATGTACCATAATCTAATGAACGATCCGAACATTCTTGATAACGACAACGACATTTTGTAGCAACTAATTATATTTTTAAAAAGTATTGAATCGAAAATGAAACAAAATATTATGGAAAAAAAGTTTGTCGCAAATAATTTCAAAACAAAACAAAAAGAAAAACTTACCCATTTTCAAAATAATTAGATCAAAAATTAATTAAACATCAATAATGGATTAGATTTCATTATCAAAACAAGAGAAATAATCCAACATTGTAGTTATCATTTCGAAATTCAATTTGACATCAAAACAAAACACAACAAAATTGTTGTTGATCCAGAAAAACAATAATAATAGTACAGAAGAAAACACACACTTGGCTCACTATCTATTAAATACAATGGAAGAGTAGTCTTAGTTACGCGAGTGACTTGTATCCAAACCAACACACAATGATAAAAGAAAAAAACTTACCAAGTTCCAATGCACACACACACAGAACAAGAAGGAATAAGGGTGGCCATTTTTTAAAGAAATTTTTTTTCTAACTTCTTGCGAAAACAAGCGCATGCTCGTCATTTTTTATGGAATTTCAATTTGTGTGTGCATATTTCGAATGATACCAGCCAAGCCTGTTGCGCGACTTGTATTCGACTTTACAGGGTAGCTGCCATTGATATTTTTAGCCTGACTTTGGTTATTCGTCTTCAACTTTTGTTAATAGAATTGATCAAAAAGAAAAATGTAGAGTTTTTTAATTTTGAATTTTATTCATTTTTATTTCATCTATTTACAAGCACATTCGTTTTTGATTTATTCAATTATTATAATGTCATTTACTTTTAATGTTTACATTCCATTATAAGCAGGACCACCGGCACCTTCCGGTGTAACCCAATTAATATTCTGTGATGGATCTTTTATATCACATGTTTTACAATGAATACAATTTTGTGCATTAATCTGTAATCGATCATCACCAGAATCGGTTTTAATATATTCATAAACACCAGCCGGACAGAATCGTTGTTCAGGACCATCATATATTTTTAGATTTCTTTCAACTGGTTTACTATCATCTTTTAATGTTAGATGAGCTGGTTGATCGGCTTCATGATTAGTATTTGTTAATGCAACCGATGATAATAGATCGAATGTAATCTGATTATCAGGTTTTGGATATTCAATTGGCTGACATTCTTTTGCCGGTTTTAGATGCTGTGAATCTGGTGGTCCATGTTTGAATGTCCATGGTTCCATACCACGAAGTGCAACATAAAATAACCCAGTATAGGCTAAACCACCATACATTCCTAATGATGTATCAAATGATGGTCGTACATTTCGTGCAGCTTTCAATTCTTTCCATACCCAACTATTTTTCAATGATTTTTCATATTCAACAGGTTCGAATCCATGTACTAGTTCATCACGTTCAAATGCCTGATAGATAGCATCTGCAGCTAACATTCCACTTTTCATTGCATTATGGGTTCCTTTGATTTTCGGTGTGTTTAAAAATCCTGGACTACAACCGATCATACATCCACCAGGGAATGTTAATTTTGGAATCGATTGAAAACCGCCTTCATTCAAAGCTCGTGCACCGTATGCGATACGTTTACCAGTTTCAAAATATTTTCTAACCGATGGATGTAATTTGAATCGTTGAAATTCTTTAAATGGTGATAGGTATGGATTTTGATAGTCAAGACCAACAACAAAACCAACAGCTATTAATGGCGTTTCTTCAGCCAAATGATATAAAAACGAACCACCATAGGTTTTATAATTTAATGGCCATCCAATAGTATGTTCAATACGTCCGGGTCGATGTAATGATGGATCGATTTCCCAAAGTTCTTTCAATCCGATTCCATATGTTTGATGTTGAGCATTTTTACGTAAATCATATTTTTGAATAAGTTGTTTGGATAGATGACCATGACATCCTTCGGAAAAAATTGTACATTTAGCACGTAATTCCATTCCACGTTCAAATGAATCTTTTGGTGAACCATCTTTAGCGATACCAACATCATTAGTAGCAATACCACAAACTTTATCACCATCATATAGGATTTCAGCAGCTGCATAACCAGGATATATTTCAACTCCTAATTCTTCAGCTTGTGCACCTAGCCATTCAACAACATGACCTAATCGAACAACATAATTTCCATGATTATGTAATGGCATTCCTTTCAAAATTGGAACGGGTATACGACCCGTTTTTGTAAGTATTCCAAAAGCATCTTCAGTTACAGGAGTTTTTAATGGAGCATCTTTTTCTTTCCAATCCGGAATCAATTCATCTAAGGCACGTGTTTCAATACAGGCACCGGATAATATATGCATTCCAATTTGAGAACCTTTTTCCACTAATGTTACTTTTAATTCTTTATCATTAGCAATGGCATGTTTTCTTAATTGAATTGCTGCGCTTAGACCAGCCGGACCGCCACCAACGATGACAACCTATATATTTGAAGGATATTAATTAAATTTTTTACTTATTCCAAAAAAATTAATTACATTGATAATGTTTGGAATAAAAAATACAAACATACATCGGTTTCATCAGCGGCACGTTCCATATCAATATCTTTCCATCTTGGATCCTGTTCACGTGGATGTATTGTATAATGTGTAGTAATTTTCGGTTGTGTTGATAGAAATCTTAATCCATCAAATGAACGATTTAACAATGTTTTCGTTGATAGAAAACGATTCATGATTGTTTATTTTTATTCTTCTGGTGATTTTTATTACGGATTCTCGAAAAAAATTAAAATTTCTGTTTCTTTTTAATTCAATAACCGAATTTTTTCTGGGTACATTCGCCACATATACACACACAATGATATCATTAAAATGATCAATTTATACCATCGATGACCTTCATAAAAACACACACTCATAGACAAATATGAAGAATAATAATCAGATCGATTATAAATTTACCCGTTTGAGAATACTTTGTTTGAATGATCAATATTTTATCAATTTAAATCAAGAATATTCATACTATAAATAATCACAATCATTTGGTTTTAATTGTATCACAACTTTGAATGGCAAAAAAATCCTCATTATTATTATCATCATCATCATCCTAATATACTCGGAATCGCCATCTTTTGGTTACCAATCGAATCATAAACCAGAATATCGTGATTATCCCACACAAAGCTCAATGACCAAAATTAATATTGAAGAAGACAAAAATATAAGCGCATGTGAGCGTTCTCTTCCCCTTCTTTTAAGGAATATTTTTTTTGGCAATCATCAACGGTGGCGTTTAATAGCGGCATCTTTGTCGATGACAACGACGACGATGACGGATTTTGATGCATCTCAAATATCACGATATTACAAGCGCAGTCGCTGTCATCAAACAAAGTAAATTTTTTTGGATACACTATATTCGGAACACCTTCGACACTTATTATATTTGGCCTATTAGGGATAGTTGCGATTATATTTTGGGTTTTTTTTGACATATATCTCTCGGATAGTATAGCGTAGTTAACTGTAATAACTGTAATATTTTTGTTGTGAGTATGTTATTTTTTTTATAAAACCAGAAAGGCCAAAGATCCTCTTCTCTCTTTCTGGTTCTATATATTTTTTTGTAGATCGTTTCTAAAACATCTTCTTTCATGTCACATACACATACAAGAAAAAGAAGAGGTAGTTTTCTTTCGAAATCTTTTTCCACTTTCTATCGTTTTAACTCAAATACGATCCACGAGTTTTTTTTCTTTTCCTTGAATCAGTATTTTTTCGATTTGATTACAAAAAAACATTGGTTTTTTTTCTCATTCATTTTCGTTTGTTTGTTTGTTTGTGTTTTTACCACTTCAAAGATTGAATTGTTTCAGCAACAAATAAAGAATAAAGAAATCGATCATGGATTCGATCACTATACAAGAGGTTTGTTTTTTGCAAATATTTTTTGTTTCGACATGAGTGACCTAACTAATTTTTTTCAGATTGCTGGCGATCATCTCCAATTGTATGAAAAATTTTATAATCAGGTAATGAATTTTTTTTCTTGCTAAGATTTTTCGCATTAATCAATCAATTTTTTTTTTCTTCATTGATTCAGATAAATCCAATCAATTCTGATATTATTAAAGCAATGGATGCAGCAAATTTTCTACGTAAATCGGGTCTTAATCAAATGACATTGAAAATTGTTAGTCAACTTCTTTTTTATTCAACAATTTTAATACCTATTTATTATTGTTTATTATTAATAGATATGGGATTTAAGCGATCCAAATGGTCTTGGTTATCTTGATAAGAAATCATTTTTTGTTTCACTCAAATTGATTGCCATGGTTCAAAATGGTCGTGAACCAAATTATTCTGATCTGAAAGCTACGTTACCACCGCCTAGAATTGTATGTCAATTTTTTTTTCTTCAAATGTTTTCAAAAAAAATTTTCTTGATTTTTAGAATGATGATTATTTTAAATCGATTGATTGGAATATATCACCGGAAAATGCTCAAAAATTTGCCACCGTATTCAATTCGATGGGTCCCGTTGAAGGAAAATTAGCCGGTACAAAAGTCAAACCATATTTAATGAGTTCTAAATTACCGGTAGAAACATTGACAAAAATCTGGGATCTAAGCGATATAGATCAAGATGGATTTCTAAATCTAAAAGAATTTATTGTTGTATGTTTTTTTAGCTGTTTTGTAATTAATGAAATTTTTGATTGTGAATTTTTTTCAGTGTTGTCAATTGATAGCACGAGCCAGTCAAGGTTTCATATTACCAGCCGTATTACCAAATGAATTATTAAACTTTAATCCTGCTGATCCATCTGTTCGTTCTTTTTCTCGAACATCATCAATATCATCACAATCATGTGTATCGCCACATTTGAATCTAAGTGAAGTAAGTTTTTGATCCATTTTTTACCTTTGATTTTTTTTCATTTGTTTATTATTAACTAGACAACAAAATCAGCTCCATCAAATCAATGGATCGTAACCAATGAAGAAAAAATTAAATCTGATGAATTATTTATCAAATTAGATAAAGATAATGATGGTTTTGTTTCTGGCTTAGATGTTAAAGATACATTGCTTGAAAGCGGTCTTCCACAACCGGTACTCGCTCATATCTGGAATTTATGCGATATGAAAGAGACCGGAAAATTGAATGCCGAACAATTTGCATTGGCTCGGTATTTCATCCAGCATAAACAAAATGGCCAAGAACTACCTGCAAAACTATTGCCGAATATGATACCACCGACTCTCAGGCCTAAACCTTTGGTAATGATTCAAACGCCTTATTTGATGATTTACAATTTGCAATTTTATTTCTTAGGAATCTTTAAGCAACGAAAATATCAACGGTTCAATGAATTTATTACAGCAACAACAACAGCAATCGGGAACATCTCCTACATCGACTGGAAATCGTGAATTGGATCTATTACAAGAAGATATCAAAAAGATTCAGTTGTAAGTTTAAATTGTTTTGATGGATTCATATGAATATTTGCTTAAAATTTGTTATTCTCATCAATTTGCAGAGAGAAAACTAAGTATGAATCGGAAGTAATTGCAGAAGAGCAATCACTAAGATTAAAACAAAGCGAAATAAAATCAATACAAAATGAAATCGAAGCTTTGTCACAAATGTTGAAACAATTAGAAAATCAAAAGAATGATGCCAAAAAACGTATCGATGATCTCAATACACAGGTTGGCTTAAAAAATTTACAAATTTGTTTAAATTTCGCATGATTTTTACTTTAATTTACGATATACTAACCCCATATTTTTTAATTTCATTATAATTTTGTTATGGTTTTTTTATTTAGCTAAAATGTTTAGAAAATAATTTGCATGATATTTCAGTTAAAGTAAGCATGGTGATAAGTTTATGCATGTATTGATTTTGTTCTAAAAAAAAGATTTTGTTATCCATATTTTGTTCGTTCTTGCTTGGATTTAATCTTTATTTCAAAATTTTTGATTTTTTTCTAGGTTGAGAATCTTGATAAACAATATTTAGAACAAAAAAAGAATATCGATGATCAAGAATCGGATTTAAATGTGAAAAAACGAGAATTTGAACAATTAAAAACTGAAGAAACGTTATTGGAAACAAAAATTGAAGCAGCCAAAAAAGAATTAGAGCGAACAACAAAATTAGCGGCCGATACACAGCTAGAAATTAGCCAAATCAAAGCAAACACTATAGAATTAGATGAATATGAACGGCGTTTTAATGAAACAATGTACGATTATGATAATGCTATTTCAAATGCTGATTACGCCAACATAACATCATTGTTGTCAAGATCAATTACTCCTCCTGTGTTACTGACCGAAGAACAACATGGACAAGCTTCAGATTCAACTTTAGACGATGATCACTTTAAAGCCGAATTCAATTCGGATCCATTTGCCGGTGAAGATCCATTCAAAGGTTTGTCCGAATCATTAATTTTAAATAGAATTTTTGTATGCGAGTGACAGCTTTTTCTAAAACAAATATAGATGACCCATTTGGTTCCAACAAAACTGCTAATGATGCATTTGGTTCGGATAATTTTGCGAATTTCGATGCATTTGGCACAAGCAATACTTCTAGCAATAAGGTATTTTCACATTCAAAAATTTCCATTCTACATTTTTTCCTTATTTCAGGGCGATCCATTCGGATTTTCACCATTCGATTCGAATCAATCAGCCACCGACCAATTTCGATCGGAAAGTCCAACACCAGCATTGCCGCCGAAAAAAAGTAAAGCGCCACCGCCAAGACCAGCACCTCCCAGTAAATCTTCGGCTGCCAATAAAACTCCATTGCGAGCAGCACCACTTCCGCCATCAGCATCATCATCAAAAGATAAACCAGAAAGACCACCACCATTGTATGCAAATGCATCATCCAATTTTGATCCATTCAATGATCAGAATCGTGATCCTTTTGGATCAGATTCGGGTTTTTCATCCTCTAATACGCAAAATTTTGCAAATTTTGCTGATTTTGATAAAGCACAGTGATTCATTTCGAAAACAAAAATTCTGGTCATTCTTATCACTATGTTTGTTGCTGTGTTCTCAATTCCTAGCATTGATTACGAGCGTTTTTTTCCACACACACACACACACACATACATTTGCGTTTTTTCCATTTTGATTCCGTGATTTTAATTCTATTATTAGTCATTTCATTATTATTATTATCATTCCAATTTTTATTTGTAAAATTAATTTCATTTAAATGAAGTTTTTTTTTCAATTATCATCATCATAGCACTTACACACAATCTTAATATGCCGAGAATATACGAGTATTGCCTTAATTTTATTCTGTGTTTTTTTTTCTTTTCGCTTCTTTATTTGTTCATTTATTGTTGAAATCTTCTTGTTATAATAATAATTGTTTTGTAAATAAGTATCAATCATTCACATACAATGCACTTGATTTCTTCTGATCATCATCATCATCATCATCAATAACATCTTATTTACCAATTTTATTATTATCAAATTGTATTGAATCGATTCAAGAAATTTTTTTTTCTTTTATCACTTTTCCAAAACAAAAGCAAAACAATCAAATTTGATGTTCTGATAGTAACATATTTTCAATTATTCCACCAAAAAAAAAATCTCATAAATTATCATCATTTAGAAGCAATACTTTTTTTCAAAACCCATTCATACATACACCACACATGCAGGCAAATTTGGATTATTGCTTATCATCGAGAAAGCAGAAAACAAATTTCATTTTTTCTTGTCTATTTTTCCCAAAAAAAAATATCCTTAATTTAAAGTGTTTTTCCACTTATCGTGATTTGATATAAAAAGAGTGTTTGTTTGTTTGTTTGTTTGCTTGTGCTTGGCTATTTAATTCTTTTACAGACATTATTATTATTATTATCATCATTAAATAAATTATCATTAGTTGAATTTAGGTTGTTCAAAAAAAAATTTCATTGATTTTTTTTCATATATGAAACATTGAGTAAAAAATGTTTAAATTTCGTCATCTATTTACGTTATTTATTATTGTTTTTATATTGATTTTTCTGCAATCAATCGAATCAATGATAATGTCGTCAACATATTCGACTAGGATCAAAACTACATGGAATAATGAATCGATTCCTATTGAACAGTACATATCACTTTCTATGCATTATTCGGGTGAAGATTTAATGATATTGATTCATGCACCATTCTACAATGATCCAGTATTACCTGATTGGTCAAAAAAACCCGGTACATTTGATAAACTTTATAATTATGAAGTTGTCGAATTATTTTTATTAAATTCCAATAATGAACATTATCTGGAAATTGAACTTGCTCCACGTGGTCAATATTTACTATTAGAATTGAATGGCTATCGTAATGTTACACGTACACCAATTTCATTGAAATCCTATAATGTAAAAATAACAAACGATAAACATTGGTCAGGTCGTGCAATTGTTTCACATGATGATCTTCCAAATGGTATTGATAAATTTAATGCATACGCTATTCATGGTTCCGGTTCAAATCGAACATATTTATCATTATTTCCGGCTCCTAATAATAATCCAAATTATACTGAACCGGATTTTCATCGATTAGAACTTTTTCAATCGATTTCATTATTTCGTCCTTATAATTGAAACAGATTAAATTTTTTTTCAAATTTTGTTAAATTATCTTTATTTTTATCATAATTAGTAATGCAAAACAATTATAATCATAAATGAATGAATAAATTATTGCAATCGATTATTAAATCATCAAATCATTGATGATTTATTTTAAAATGATTTATATTTCATGTCAGATTTTATTATTGAAAAACAAATTTTCAGATTAATTAGTTAAATTTTAGATTTTATCTGGCATGTGCTTTGCAATATGGTCGTCCACCTTTAGCAAAGAAACTTTGTCCTTCCAAATTATTATGACAAACCGTACAACGGAAACAATTTGAATGATAATTTTGATTTAATGCTTCTACCCAACGATCACCAGCAGCAATTGGATAACCACAGCTAACACATTTTGTAGTGAATAAATCGTTCCAATCTTTTTCACAATATGGAAATGAATCTTCCAGATAGAATTCCGAATTACCGAATGGTTTACGACAATGTGTACAAGTGAAACATTCAGGATGCCATTTTTTTCCCAATGCATTTAGACAATCCTAACAAATAATTTATAAGTTATAATGAAAAATGATTTTCGATATCAACAAAACAAAAATATTACCCCTTTGATCTTTTGAATACATTTAGCACAGCCAGGAGCAAAATGTGATTCATAACAATTTTCACAATACAAACGACCTTGTTCTTCAACAAAACCATTTTGTTCTAAGGAACGTTTGCAAAGATTATTGGCACAGATGAAATGATTTGGGCACCAAGTTTTATTCAATGCCATAATGTATTGACCACTGTTTTGATGAAATAATAATTTTTTGTTGTTGTTTGAATTGATTCAAATTTGAAAAAAAATTTGTTATAACATACCGAATCTGTTGCGAACAATAGCCACAGAATGGAATTACACCACCGGTAAGTTGAGTCTGTAGCATACCTTTACCACGTTTCGGTGCTAATTGATTCCTATCTGTAGTTGATGTCTGTTTACTACCGAATGATGTTGTTGCTGTTGTTTGACGTTGCTGTTGTGCAGCATTATAGTTGGGAGCCGAATAAGCGGACGGAAGCGTTGTCATCGGTTGAGTACCAGCTGGACCTGCAGAACCAATCGGTGGTGGTATCGAATACGATGTCGTTTGGCTAGAAGCATACGTAGCTGTTTTCGGATAAGGCAAATTAATTGGATTCGGATTAAAACCACTACATTGGCTACCAGGTAATCTGGTAGTTGTTGTACGTGTTTCATAGGTATTAGTTGTTAATGAATAATTGCCCGGTGTTGGTGGTAAGCTTGAATAGCATGATTTTGGCCGATTCATTTGTTTAGATAAGGATGCTAATTATTATTGTCATTTTTAATTTTTTTTATTTATGTATGTGCGAAATTGCGCATAATGCATAATGTATGGAGAAAGATCACGAGAATACGAGATCATCAGGTCATGCACAATGAATTTTTTTTCATGCACTTACATGATAAATAATCAGCTGCCGGATTAGATGGTTGATTTAGATTTCGTTGCACTGAATTTAAAAAAAAATGCAAAACAAAACAAAATAAAAAACATGCAAGAAAACAAAATAAAACAAAACAAAAAATAAGGTAAGCAAAAATCATTGGAAAGTAAAAGTGTTTAACCTACCAGTCGAATGAGTTTCAGTTGTATAATTATACGATGATGGTGATGCCATCGATCCATACATTGAATTGCGATTTATTTGACTTGATGCCTAATGATTTTTTTTCGAAAATAAATTTCCATTCATTAATCCTTTCGGTTTTTGTTTGACTTACAAAGTTTGGTTTCGGTGCAATTGGTGGTGCAACCGGTGAAAATTTCTTTGGCATTGTATTGAAACTCGGTGACGATGATTGAAATCCATTGTGTTGCTGCTGTGTTTGTAAGTTTGTAGACTGATTGTTTTTGGGTTTTGTTTAATTTAAGTTTGTTTTGAAAATAAAATTCATCGATTTACCTGATATGATTGTACGGGTATCGAAATCTCTCTTGGTTGTAATATTGGTGATTGTGGAACTGTATGTGGCGATTGAGATAATGGTGAAATATGTCGTTGTGAGAATCCTATTGGTGCAGGTTTAACTTCCGGTGCACTTGGAAAACCTTGACCACCGGTTTCACCTAATACGGCACGCATCTGTTGGGCATGAATATCGCAATACAATTTATCATTGATATTAAAATAGCCAATATTTTTCAATGAAGTTCCACAGGTAGCACAAACAAAACAATCAGCATGCAATGATTTATTATTAATTCGAACGAATACACCTCTATGTTTTTTTTCAAAAATTGAAAATTGAATCAAAGAAATAAATTGATTTTTGCTTTTGTACTTACACAATCAATCGTTCACAATGTGCACAAACATTACGATTTCGTTCATCTATCTGTTTTTGTGGACTAGGTCCACTTGGAGCCTGTACATGACGTATTGGATGAGCATCACTAGACGATGGATCATGAAAGCCATTTTTTTCAGGTGAATCGGTCAAGCCTTTTCAATGGAACAGGTCAAAAATTTTATAACTAACAACAATATTCAGAATTCAAGATTATTCGAACCTTTTGATTTACGCATCTCTTCTTCTTGAACTAATCGATATACAGCTGAATCTTTATTTACCGGTTGTTCCGGTTTTATGAAATTAATTCTTTTTTTTCAAAATAAAATGATTTATTTTCAATTGATATAATTGAATGAATGAATGAACTTACCCAGTGGCACCGGTTGCCAATACTTGTGAATGTGCATTTAATGTTTCTTCCAATGCTTTATCCGAATATAAATTGATTGGTGAATTAAATTGTTTATGCACCAATTTTGGCCCATTGAATGGTTGAGCTGCTGTATTATGTCCACTTCCGATTGGAACATAATCCTATATTAACAATTTAATAATCATCAATCAATCACATAATTCATAAATATTAATAGTTGATAAAGAATAATAAATACTTCTGGATTTTTAGCCAATGATGTTTTTGTAAAAATTTGTGGCTCCATTGATTGTGCTTTATTTGAATGACGGATATCGAACGAACCGACAGGTGTAACCGTTGGTTTCCAAGTGTTCATCGGACCTCTTTAATGGTATGATGTTATGGTAATATAATAACCGAAGCAATGATGATTATAAGCGTAGAAGAAGAAGAAGCACATCAGTATCAATCACAGCAACAACATTTTTTCAAAAAGAAAACAAGGCGATAATATAATGGTAATAAATTAAATTTGAAATTTGTCATCCATAAGTATTATTATTACAAATATATAACGGGTGTAATCACAATAGGGGCGGTATAGTCAAATGTAGGTGTGTGTGCGTGTTTGTATGTTTGTTTATGTATTAAAAGGATACAACAGTTTTACCTTTCTAAATACAATTCAAGATAATTGCCAGCAGTCAATATTAGATCCTGTGCATCTTTATGTCGTAGTTGATCGCATTCTTTTCCATTTATTTTCAATATGATATCGCCTAAACATACCCCGGCTTGATCAGCAAGACTTCCTTCCGATACCTATTTAACAGTTTTTGTTTTGGATTTTAATGATGAAAACAAAACACAAATGAGAATTAAATCTAAATAATTTATATAGACCAAATGATGGAGGTCATGGGCGTATTAATCAGAATAATAAATGGAATTTTTGGGTTTTAGTTTAAAATTTCATGATTAAAATGAACATTTTTTCCCTTGTTTTTTTCAAGATTTTTTTTTGTAACAAACTTGATTTGTATGCATGTGTTTGAGTAGAATACCACCCGGTAAAGAGTTATTTTTGGCCAAAGAAAAAACATTCCATCATGATTATAGGAATGAATCTTAGCCAAAAAAACAAAACAAAATAGCATACATTATTGGTACAAGGGCGCCAACAACAACAGATCAAAAAAAGAAGTGTTTTTCAAATTTAGTTTTCTCATTTCTTACATTCATTATTGAAGAATTGAAAATTTGAGAAACACTTGTTGTGAGTGTTTGTGTATGATAAATCCGGACTGATATATTGTATGAAACTAAACGCAACAAAAAAAAGAAGAATTCTTTGAATGAATAAAATGTTGGCAATGGATTTTGTTTGGACATGTAGAAAAAAGAAAAAAAACACAAACGAACGGATTGCTCCAAATCTATTTTAGCTACTAACTCGTTGACATCATTCGATTAACAAACATTCTGGAAAAAAATAAAGAATTTTTTTTTCATTAACAAAAATAACACCGAGTAATGGAATGATGATTTGATTGACAAAAACAAAAAACAAAACAAAACTTAAAATATTTAAAATTAGCTAATTCAATTTGATCACAACCAAACAAAACAAAATTAAAATTGATAATAGCTAAATGCATCTGAAAAAAAAGATTGATGTAGATATTGGCACCATACAGAATGATAGATATTTTCATTCATGACTTTTCAATCCGAATATTGTATTCTCTACACATGAATATATGAATAGCAAGCCAAAAAATTATTTATTTTTATTAGCTTCTATTGTTTCGAGAAAAAGAAAACATTAAATAATTCTGGATCCAAGAATAGTCATGAATTCGGGTCATCGATCATCACACAAAATACAATGATGATGATGATAACTATTGGCTTATAATCAACATATATAGATTTGATTTCAGTAGAAATTTCTAGCAAAAAAAAAATACCATAACATATTTATCATTATAGAACATATGTCTAAACAACCGAAAATAACAACAAATTTTTATTTCGAATGTTTTTCCTATTCACCCGATAGATATATCGCAATTTTTTTTTGTTTGTTATTTCTATCGATATTTTTCATGTAAACATCGATGATGTTGGAATTAAATTTTTCTACAAAAAAAAAATCGAAATGAAATGAAAAGAAATTCATTTGATATGTTCAACAAGCTAGATCTTTTGCCAAATTCTAAACAAATCATTAAACATAACATTGTACTTACCTTGGCCATTGATAATGGCATGGAAAATTCTTGGCCACCTTGAAGACGAAAACCCCATGGTGTTGATTGATCCGAACGCATCAATTTTGCTGTGACAAATGTTCCTGTTGCCATTATTATTATTATTATTTAGGTTTTATTATCGTATTCGTTGCCAAATCAATTGTTGTGTTTGAAAATTTTATTGATTATTTATTCTGATCTGTTTCTGAATAGTAGGCGTAGTACAGAATTTTGTTCTTTCTTTAAAGAAACATTCAAATCAATCAATCATAAATCGATTTATAAATCAATTGTTTTTCGTATGTATAACAACCACATACGAATAAACATTGAAATTTTTTTCAAGTTTTTTTTTAAACAAATGTTAAATAATTTTTTCGTATAATTTCAATTTTCGAATCGGTATTCAATGACGATGCTATTGCTGTTGCTGTTGATGATCTTGATGATGATGATGATGATGATGGCAATGATTCGTTTGATTTGAGACGTTAACGAGACAGTTTACAATTTTATCACAGACATATACTATTCAATTATTCATGGAAAATCATGATCAAAAACCAAAAAAAAAAATGAACTGATGAACTTTTTCTTAATATTGCACAAAGCATTTAGCTATAATCAAAAATGGCATCATTGAATTCTTACATTCATCATCATGACACATTCGACGACGTCATCATCAATTGTTGATGGTGATGATGATGATGATCAACGACAAAATCAAGACATCAAACTAAAAGAATTTGAAAGAGTTACAGGAAAAAAAATTACAAGAATTTAGTTTTATGCGCATGAATAATGAAGAAATCAAGGAAACATCATCACCATTTAACCCGAATTTGAATATAATATGAAAAATATACTGTTGAACAAAACACTGTTGCAAACTTTATTTTTTTTTTTCGTTCAGAATGAATAAACTTATTCAAATCATATTGCAATCATCAATTGAACATGTATGAAAAATGTACAGCAAGAAAGAGAAAACCATCAAGAGAAAACAAAATCCTGCCTCTGTTTATTCAAATTGTATGAACCATTTGATGAAATGAACAAAAAAAAAATCCAATAGAGCAAACACAAACACCAAAAAAATATATGATGTTTATAGCTGATTCGGCGCGATTCATTTTGTATTATTATATCAATCCGGAAAATGATTTTATTTTTGAATTAAAATTTTTTTCTTTATCGACATTACTGTTACTGGATATGGATTTATTATGTAAAACATTATCAATATGGAATATATTGATAATGACAATTTTCTTTGATTAGTAAACACTAATTAAAATTAATTGTAAATCGATTCTGTCGAACAATTTAGGAGATTGAATGTGAATAATTGCAATTCAATGATGATGATTTTATTTGCCATGAACCAAATATTTTTTTTTTTGTTGTTGCAGACATCATATCACACCCAAACACTGTTGAATGTTATTCCATAAACAATTCAATTGAATTGTTTATTTTGAAAAAAATAAACTCTTTTCTATGTTCTATGCGCGAAGAGGAAAAAGAATATATTAGCAATGTAAATGTATTTATTCACTAATTATAATGTAATAAGGTTTTTTTTCGCTCAAAATAATTTCTCACTGACAATTCTGAAAATAAAAAAATCTTTTTGTTATCATCGTTGATGATGATGATGTTCGCCATTTTTTTTTCTACAAGAATCAAAACATTTGATTCTTATCTTGTAAACATGTTTGAAAAAAATCTTAAATCTCAAATATGATGTAAAGAATGTAGAAAAAAAAAGATTTGATATGATTGATATGATGGTGTGATATAGATAGAAATGATTTATTTCAGTCGATCTAGTTTCCATAGGCAAAACAAAGTTTTATATTCAGTTTCATTATCAATGAAATAAGATTCTAAATGAAACATTGATGAATCTGTGAAGAAAAAAACTTTTAATGCCTATTTTGAACATTGATTTTTTTATTATCATTATCATCACCAGGCATGGTCAATTATCATTGTTATTATCACAAAAATAATCATATATATGATTATAATCAGAATTGATTGTTAATTTCTTAGTTTTGTTTTGTTGTTCATTATGATTATGAAATATATGTTTGTGTGTGAACAGGCAAGAAAGAATAGACACAGAAAAAAAAACTTTAACTATTAATGGGAAAGGCAAAAATAATAAGATGGTTGATTAAGTGGAAAAAAAAGATTTTTTTTTCGTCTAATTTGGTTTATATGATTTAAAAATCTTGTATTAATCCTGTTGTTGCAATAAATTGTGTTCCAGGCGGTGTACGATAAGTATTGGGTACATGTGAGCTAATCCAACCGGGGGCTGGACTTTGTTCACGACTTGGATTATATGCATAATTTGTGTCATCATTTTCATCCGGTATATAACCGGATCTACCGGCTGGTGTTGCATTACTTGGTGGTGGCCAAATACGAGTTGATGAACGTACACGACCATAATTAACAAATGGTGAACTAGGACGATCACCATAACCAAAATCACGATCAACAGATTGTGCTCGACTTGGTGGCCATGCATATTCTTGATTATGTGGTGAATCTAGAAAATTAGATTTATGGAATAAAATGTTTATGATAATTATTCATACATGACAAACAATGTATCAAACATAAATCATATATCATTGTTAAATTTGAAAACAGGCTTACCTCGACCTTCAACATATGCACCTTTATGTACGTTCGGTAATGGTGGTGGCCATACTGGACGAATTTTTCTTCGCTCAATACCGGATAATGATGGTCGTAAATTTTTAATTGTCGGCGGTGTTTGATTAATATATGTTTGCATTTGTCTTGTCTGTGATGGTAACAATTGATCAACATTTGGAATATTCACAATAGGTAATGGATCTTTCCAATCACGATCCGAACTAATTGAATTTAATCGTTGTCGTTGATTGACACCAAAATATTTTTTCTCATTATTAACCGGTTGTACACCATGATTACCAATCGGTTCGATTGATTTTACCATTGTATGATTTGTATTTGATAAGCCAAATATTTTTTTATTCGAATCAACACGAATAGGATTGTTATTTGTATCGTTAAAATTGAAATTTCTACCAATTGTAGGTGTTGATGGTGTTGATTGTGTAACTTGTTGCATCAATTGTTGTTGTGGTTGCTGTTGCTGTTGAGGAAATGCCGGTGATAATGATGAATAGTTTGACGTTGGTGTTGTCACTGACATTGAATGATTCAACAGCATTCGACTCGGAGATTTTGATGGTGAGCGTGGATTGATACCAAAAACACGCATATCTTTTCGAGGTTGTCCTGGTTGTGTTGCTTCTGGACGTATAAGTTTTTGTTGTTGTTGTTGTTGATTAGATCTTTGTATAATATTGTTATTTGGTTCAGGACTTTGTATAGGTTTAAATTGTCCGATTGCAGAATCAGGTGATGGACTATTAAACGATTGTGGTGATTGAATGCCTAAAAAAAGGGTCAAGATCAATTTGATGAATAATTATCGAGAAATTTACCTTGATTTCCATTTAGCATTGGTGGTGGGACCATCATTTGCATTTGTACCTGTGTTGGCTGAATACCAACTTGATAATTGCCCGACATTATTTGATTGGGCTGTTGCTGTTGTAATTGTGGTTGCTGTTGTTGTTGCTGATAATGTGAATAAATAGGTGGCTTGAATGGAATTGGTGGAAAATGTGGTGGACGTTCCATATGAGGTACATCCGATCTTTCCGAAATAATTTCTACGTTTCTTTCAATTCGTGGTTCAACATCACGACCATCATCGCTATTATAATAAAAATAGGAATTTGTAATCAAATGCTATTTTGATCGAATAATACTTACCAAAGAATAAATAGATCAATACAATGTGTACATCGAAGAATAATTTGTTGAACTTCATCATGTGTTAGGCCACGTAAAGAAATGTTTCCAATTCGAACTAATTCATCACCTTCAGAAAGGCCACCCAAATAAGCTAAACTATCTGGTGTGACCTAATCATCAATTGACAATTTAATATCGATATTTTTATGAAATAAAAAAAAAACAACATCAACCTACTTTTTGTATCTGAAATGGTTGACCAATTTCAGCACCACCACCTAAACGGAAACCCCAAGCTTGGCTTGGATTCGGTCGTCGTAATGTTACCAAAGTTGGTTTTTTAAAAGGTGGCATGTTTTTTTTTAAATTTATGACTTTTATGAGTTATTAAATGAATCAATCAAATTTGATAGAATTGAGTATTACTATGAATAAATCACATAATATAAATCAAAATCGTTCGACGGCGGTTTGCTTTGTGTTTTGGTAATCGAGGAAAAAAACCAAAAAGGGAAAAGATAAAAACAAAAGAACCGATATTCATGTATTCGGATAAAAATGATCTCTTTTACTTTTTTTATCCCGTCGAAATTGTAATGATGTCAATTGTTGTTGTTATTGTCGTCGTCGATGATGTTTTTTCACATTTTCATTTTATTTTTTCATCCAAGACGAGCAATTCTATGTAATGAGAATTGTAATAGTCGAAAAATTCCTATTTTAATTTTAGAATCAACAATCAATGTTGATGACGATGACACTGTTGACGTTTTTGATGATGATGATGATGATGAGAATGTTGTTTCTAACATTTGTCACCAATTTTTTTTTCTTTTTTTTGATTATCCACTTGATTCGCAAATTTTCGCTTACACTCATCAACAAAATAAAACAATTTGATCTTTGAAAATTCTTGCACATAAAAATTGTTCATGAATTTGGTAAATAAATACCGATACGCTCACATCATGATATTTTAATATGAATCACAAACGATTCATATGTCTATAATAACACATTCCTCGCCATCACTGATCATTTTTTAAAAAAAGCAACCGAATCTGGGCAAAATATATTGTGTGCCTGTATGATGAGAAAAAAACAGAAACATTCTTAAGCCAATTATTATATCAATATACAGCTAAACTATATGTGTGTGTTGCCAAATTTATTAGCAATGCCAATTGCACAGTGGTAATTCTTATTATTTTTTTTCACCGTTTTGATAATTATTTTTTGTATCTTAGAACAGGAATTTTTTTTCGTTCTGCTAATATGAACTTGGCCTAATTCCAAAATTGTAGTCTTTTTTTTTTGATTGATTGATATTTTATCGAATAAAAATCGAAATTTACCAATAAAAAAAGAACAAGGCCATTATGATCATTATGTTTTCGTGTTTTTTTTTCATTGTTCTGTTCGATTCAGAATGCGGCGAAAAACAAATTTTTTTTTAAACTTCGAATCTAAAATTTTAAAATTGTTTTATTCATTCCGATGATAAAAGGTGGCAGCACATTATTAATGGTTTGAAAAAAAAGAATTTTTCAAGTGATCACAGCATTAATGAACACAAGCCACGTGTTTTCTTATTTAATATTTCGTCATTGAAGATAAAATAATTTTTGGCAGGTGATTGATTTTCTAATAATTTTACGATTACTTGGAAAAGAATTTGATTCTGATATATAAAATATTTCAAAATGGTTACTGCTGAAGCTGAAAAAGTTGACATCACTGATAGTGAACAGAAAATTATCGATCAAGTTGAGGTAAGTTCATTGTGTTAGCATGTTGTTTTTTTTGATGAAAATATTTTCAATTTTGTTTATCATCAAAGTATTATTTTAGTGACATTAATCTACGTCATGATAAATTTATGAAATATCAATTAAGAGAAAATAATGGCTGGTTTCCATTGGATAAATTAATGACATTCAACAAATTGAAAGCATTGTCAACGGATAAAAATGTTATCTTGGATGCATTGAAAAAATCACCAAATGGTCTGATCGAATTGAGTGAATGTGAAACAAAATTGAAAAGAATTAAACCATTGCCCGAATTTACACCTGAATATACTAAACAATTGAATCTTCGTACGTTACATTTGAAAGGATTTCCAAAAGATTCTACATTTGAACAATTGAAAACGTTTTGTAGTCAATATGGTGAAATCGATTCGATTGAAATGCGTAGACGTGATGGCAATTTTAAAGGATGTATTATGGTTGTATTTAAGGATCAAGCAACTGCAGATAAAGTTCTTGCAATCGATGGTCTTAAATATAATGATATTGAATTGTTGAAAGAAAATAAGGAACGATATTTTGAACGTAAGAGACTTTTTCTCGAATCGATCCGTAATAAAAAGAAGAATAAAAAATCTACCGATGAAGGTATAATCAAAACGGAAGGAGCAATCATGAAGATTACTGATTTGTCCGCAGAAACCAAATATATTCAAATTAAAAATGAATTATCTAAACATTCCAAAGTAGCATTCGTAACGGCTATTGGTGAATCACGTCAATGTATGGTTCGATTTGATGAAAAAAATGGTGCAAAACGAGCATTGAAAGCTTTGCGCGAACAATCTATCAAAAAAGATACAGTCAATGATGATGGTGATGCGAAAAATGATGAAAAAGATGATAAAGAAAAAACTGAAGATAATAAAGATAATGAAGATAATAAAGATAAGGAAGAAAAAAATGATGAAAAGTCTGAAGATAAGGAAGATAAAACTGATGAAAAATCTGAAAATAATAAAGATTCCAATGGCAAAGAAAAAAATGACGATGAAGAAGATTTGACCAAAGAATTTGCCGTTGAACTTTGCGGACAAAATATTAAGGTTTCATTAGTAAGCGGCGAAGACGAGAAGAATTATTGGATCGATTTCAATCAAAGCCGACAACAATCAAATATGGAACGTTCGAAAAAGAATAAATGGCAAAGTAAGTTAATTTTTTTTTTCTAATTTCCGATGATAAAATTAAATCATTGAATGATAATTTTTTTAGAAGGCAAAAAACGTCATTTTGACAATAAAGGTCGAGATGCTGACCAAGAGCCGAAGAAAAAGATGGCAAAAGTGGAAGAATAATGATGAGAATTTCGACAAATTACAAGATACATTCAAATCTTTTACACAAATCTTTTGAACAGATTCAAATAATACTATGATTTATTCTTTTTTTATTTAGTAACTGCATTATTTCATGATATTTGCTAATAAAGACAAAATACTTTGAGTTTGATTATGATTATTTGTTTTGTTTATCAATTGAGTTCGGCACGAATTTTCGTATACAATGGATAAGATTCAATTGATTTTCGTACGTATGTTTGATTTAATGTTGATAGGCCATCGATAGACATTCTTCCTAAAACATCAGCCAATAATTTTTGTCGTTCAACATTTGATGGTCCATCATGGCCATGTTTAATCATTATGCATCGAGCAACATTGGATGGATATCGTTCGATTAGACCAAATTGATGTTGAACTCGTTGATAGAAATCATCATCTTCACCACCCCATCCACTATACAGATTTGAATAACCATTTACTTGACGAAATTGTTCAGCACTTATAGTAATAGCACCACCAAACAATGTGGGATAAATTAGAACAAAACGAAATTTATCAAGATAAGAGCACAAATGTTTGGGCAATTTAGTACAGGAATATGTCTGTTCAATATTCATAGGTAATATATCGACATCATGAAATATAAAACAATCAATTTTAGAATCAAGACCAATTGATTCTTGAAAACCAATGTTCAACAGATTGGCTCGGTTAAATGGTTTATCATCAGCCTGTTCAATAATAAAAATCTGATAATCGATTTGATTTTGTTTGATAAGAAAACTGTGCATATGTTGTAAGAATATTTTTAAATGCTCGGTTCGATTACGAAAAGGCACAATAATTGCAACACGTTGTTTACGTTTCGAATCACAGTGATTACTATATTGGCCACCATAATTAACAGCGGCTAATTGTTCAGAATTATTAAAATATCCGTAGGCTATAAAAAATGAATGAAAGACGAATGCGACAAATAAACTAAATAAATATATTATAACAAATAAAAATCATACCATTTTTGTGCAAATCAAATTGTTTGTGCGGACATAATAGTTTTGGTGGTTGAATTTCAACATAACCAAAATGATATGAATTCGGTAAAGTAAGCGGAAATAAAAAGGTGACTAGAAGTATGAATATGATGAATTTTTCAACAAAATTCAATCGATCATTCCATTTTAACAATGTGATCCGTAAATTGGTCCATATGGACATTTTATTATTGTTGAATTGTTGACAAATTCCATACGGAAAAAAAATTCATTTCAAAAAAAAAGGAAAAAATATGCTCACCAAAAATTCGCGTAACGTTGTTCTTGAATCTGTCATTTTTTTCTGTCTTTCTGCAGAATAATTCTTCACAGCGCCTGTCAAAATTCGAATTTTAATTGTTCGAACAGAAATCGACATTTTCTAAGAAAAAAAAAATTCCGTCCGGAAATTGTAATTATTTCATTCGGTAAATTCATTTATTTACTGATTAATTGACTTTTTTTAATCTTTAAAATTTGAATAAATGTTTTATTAAATGTGTTCAGCGTAAAATTTTTGTAATAAATGAAAATTAAATTTCGTAAAAATAAGTCAGTTTGCCTGTTTGGTTTTTGACTAGTTCAATGATTTTTTGTTATTATTATTCATTTTTCATTATTTATTCTTTGTTCATTTTCTGTTGTTATTAAATCATCAAATTGTTGTTGCTGTTGTTGTTCGGATTTATTGCCCACGTTTTCGATGATAACAATCTGATTATATTGTTTCCAACGTGAAAATATTGAAAAATATAATCGTAATTGAAATACAATAAATATAATACCACAAATAAGACCAATGGTAATTACCTGTAAAATAAAATTTTTCATATTAATAGGTAAGATCGCAAAAAAAATATAATAAAATAAAAATAACTTACCACCATTTTGATCCAGAATTTCCAACCAAGACGATTCGATATTTCTAATGATGCACGTTCAGCAATCACCCATATTGACCAAAATACACAGATCATTGATATCAGATTAAAAGAAACATGTAGAAAAAGTTTACGTCGTTCACTATTGGTCATATTTAGACATTTCCACTTTTTTGTTTGTTTTTATTATTGAGAAAAAAAAATATTTTAATTGATTGACAACGAGAGAAAAAAAATTGACATACCTGTAATAATGGTTTATTTTTGGTTTTAAGTTTAAAATTATATTTACAAAGTTCACAATAACGATGATTAGATGAACGAATCCAATGTTGTAAACAATTATGATGTACATATTGTAATGTACCTGTACAATAACATGGTGTTATTAAAAAAAATGGATCATCAAATTGTTTTTTAATATCTGTATCACAATAATTAAAATTTAATTTTAAATCTTTCATATTTTTCGATGATAATGATAAAGTTTCGGCCAAATCTTCATTCGAACAATGACAAATTCGACAAATTGGTAAATTCATTGAATCCGATGATGAATTCATTATGATAATATTGTTCGATTCTTTTCCCATTATTAATGATTGATTTGATGATTGAATAATGTTTCGATTTAGATTCGAATCATTATCATCAATCGATATTATTGTCGACATTGAATTTTTATTCGTGGTTGTTGTCGTAATCGCCGTCGTTTTTTCAATATTTTCATTCGATGTTTGTGATCGAATAGTTTCGTTTTGAACGAAAACAATTTTTGATACATCTTTTTGTCGTCCCATTAGAGTTATTATAAACGTTTCGCTATGGTTATGTTGTTGAATGAAGTGAAAAAAAAAATGTAAAGCACAAAGAATTAGTTAATGATGTTGAATTTGAAAACATTTACACACATAAACTACATATATATGAATGTTGCAAAAAACAACCGGAAATTAAAACCACGACAACAACAACAACAACAAAGGTAAAATGTTGATCAAATGGATAAAATTATTTTGAAGATAATTTCCATTATTATTCTCTATGGCAAAGAGATTTGATTTTAAGCTAGTTTGATTTTAACCATGGTCACAAATCTTTTGTGTAGATCTATTATAAAGATGAAAATAAAAAAGCATAGAGAAAAATATATTGGAACAGGATTTTTTTCTTCTTCTTCTTCATCCACCCAACATCTTCACCAATACATTATGTAATACGTAGGCAAAAAATCAAAGCAAAACAAAACAAAATCCATTGAAGAATAAGGTCAGAAACGTATCAAACCTTTTTGTTGCCGTTGTTGTTGTTGTTCATCGAACATAATAATAATTTACCGTTACAATCCTGTTTTGCTTACCGTTCAATTATATAATCGAATGACAAATTCCATACAGACATATACGCATAAATTGTCCATCCACAACGCCCAAAATAACCAACAACAACAACAACAACAAACCAACCATTCATTTAACCAACCAAACATTATTTAAACAGCATTTGAATTTGGCGATATAACGAAAAAAGAAATTCAAAAAAAATATTCAGGCCGTTTACCTCTCTTTCGGTCTTTCCTTGTCTCTCTCTCTCTCTCTCTCCTATACCATCGAACAATATATTATATATACGATATGTTTGTTTGTATATGTTGTTGTTTTTTACAAGTAAAACTAGCCTTATAGGGTTTATATCATCATCATCATCATCAGCAGCGAAAAAAAAATCCAGTTTTGAATTTCAACAACAAAAAAAACCAAAACATCTTGTTCTTGTTCTTTGCTTCCTTGTTATATTGTCAATTTACAATTTTTTTTCCTTTCTTTCTTTCACATTCAATTCTCCATTCATTATCATTATTAACGAAAGAAAGATTCGATGTATTTTTTTGTTTTTTGGCTCAATCGATTTCATTTCAGCAAATGTGATGATGATGGTACATAAGGAAAACGAATCGAATGAACGAATGAAAACAAAATCAAAATGGATGGATATATACAGATGATGTATTTGTATTAATGTAATGTTGATGATGATGATGATGATTTTAGTTATGATAATGAAAAATTTTTTTTGTATGATTGATTGATTGATTGATTGATTGACATGGTATCCAAAATGATATGAATGTATAAAAAGTTACATAGTTACGAAAAAAAAACTTATAAATTTCAAGTTTATTTATTAGATATTTTTGAAGGAAAACCTTGAATATTTTGTTTTAAATTAAAAATTTTTGAGAAATTTCAGTTTTTTTTCTTCCAAATTTAAAAAATCAAGATTATTATAATGATTCGGATGTATTTTTTTTCCCATTATTGGTTTCCATTTTTTTTTTCCAAAATAATCGATCACACAATATTTTGTGTTGTGTGTGTGTGAGGAAACTATGGCAACTTAATAATTTTATTTCTGTTTTGTTTAGTTGATGATAATTTGTTAAAACATTTAATTTTTATTTGGAAAAGTAATTCTACGTTTTTTATTTGTTTGTTGGTTTTCAATATGATTATCAAACAAACAAAAAAAAATGATTAATTCGAATTCGAATTCGAATATATTCTTCAGCCATGGATGTAGATACAGTTGTATTTTTTAGTGAACACATTGTGTTTATATAGATTTTTTTTCAAAACGAAAATAAAGGTATACCTCTCTTTTTAGTACTCACGTACTAATATTTGAATTATCATTGCTATTGCACCACTGTTTCAATACCTTTTTACATTCAAAAGATACTCATAAAATTCAATAAAAAAAAACCTACGTAAAAACTAATTATAATCATATTCAATTAATAATCACATGTTTCAAAACAAAAACAAAAACTGCATGCAACATTAAGAAAAAAAAATTGTAGGATATACCTATTTTCAAATCTATTTATGATTCATTCGTCATATTAAGATTACAATTCATTTATTAAAGAAAAAATTGTTTGTCATTGAATTATTATCATATTATCATATTTGTCCTCGTCGTCGTTTTTTTTTCTTTGAAAATTATTGTGTTGATACTGATACTGGATGATGACGATGATCCGGTGTAAGTAACGAAAAAAGAAATTGAAATCGAAATGTGATACACAAAAAAAACAAACAATATCCATTATATAGCAGTGCTATAGAAAAAAAAACTGAATCACATGTTTGATATTTCTTTGTTGTTTGTTTATTATCCGATCGAAATCTTACATGTGATATTTGTTTTCGATATCAATCATTATCATCATTTATTAAATAAATCTATGATTTTTAATCAATTTACACATCATCATCATCATCATCATCATTATTTGATTAATCGTCATATGAATCTACGTTATACAATCATCATGATTAAGCAAATATTTTACGATTTATATTTGGATTTTTTCTTCCCTCCCCAATTACTATAAACAATGATTGTAATCGTCATTTTTATCATTCGATAATTATACTTTCATCTAATTCACAACTAAATATTTGATTGATAAGATTGTATTGATCCAATTACTAACGAAAAAAATAGCCTATTAAAATTGTATTAAATTTGAAATTGTTTGTACCGACAACCAAAAAAAAAACCAACAGCAACAAATTATGTTACAAGAAACGTTGAAAGCTTATTTAGATCATTATTATTTTAATTATTATAATAATCAACAAACAAAACAACAACCATTAATGGAATCATTTGGGTAAGTTGATTCGATTCGATATGATTCATTCAATTAATAATCACATTTTATAATTTATCAAATTAGAATGTTTTCGATAGCATATACAACCGCTCAATATATATCATATCTGTTGTTTGGTATCACTGTATTTATAATCAAATGTTATATGTCATTCTATATTCTTTCATGTTGTCATGAAATTCTTGAAGATCATCGTGAAGGTTCAATCAATGCAAGAAGTAAATCTGTTCATCTAATGATGTCATTATTAATGTTAACATTAACATTTATCGGTCTTTATGGTATTTATACATTTCATTTGGGATTAATATTAACATGGTTATTATTAAAACCATTCATACGTATACTGGAATTAGAATCACCAACATGGACAACATTTGTTATGATTATTATTGCAATGGGTTCAACAATTTGTTATAATACTTATGATGTATTCGATAAATATACATCATCTCCATTATTTTGATTAACCCTTTTTTTTACCTTGAGTCATTATCATCATTATTAATTACAAAAAACTGCAACAAAACAAAACAAAATATTGTGATATAAAACTTAATGTACTTTGGACATTTGAATTATTTACCGTAATGACCTTACAAATTCTTTTTTGTCATAAAATTTTCGAATTTGACTTTTGTTACCATTTGTTAAATCTAATTGTATTCATTCATCATAAAGCACCATTCATTTGCCTTTTGCTGTTCCTGTGTTTATTATCATCATCTAAAATCCAAATAATAAATGTGTTGAAATAATAATTTTCGATTTATCGAACATTCGAAATAAAATTATTTAAAAAATTTTTTTTTTGTAAAATAAGCATTTGAGTAAAAAATAAACGTACTATACGAACAGGAAAGAATATATTTTTCTTTTTTTTTGTTTGATTCGATGATTTTTTTAATCTATATATTCTGTCTGTTTATTTTTCGGTGTCGTCTTGAGATGATTTTTCTTTAATTTTTTTTTCTTATTTATAAATCAAAATCTAAACACACACACACACACACATACATTTCAATCGGTCGTATTTTTGATAAAATAAAATTCGAATTCGAGAATTCAAAATAAAATGAGAGATTAAATAATTTTCGAATGATAATCAACAATTTATTGAATAATTAAGAAACAATGCACACCGATTTTAATCAAATAAAAATACTTGATAATAATGTATCATCATCGGAAAATGAATCATTAGAAAGTTCATCGATTACTCAACAACAGCAACAATCACAAGAAATTGTTGTTGCAAAAAATTCGACATTAATTACTGATGGCCAATATGATCTGGTAAATTATCAATTTTATTATTTAATATTGATGATTGATTAATTTTCATTCAATAATTTAAAAGGAATCGATAGCAAACGATCTATATGATAATATTCTTGAACAAATATGTTTGGGTGTTTATTTTGATTTTTATAAATCACATAAATTAAATTCTATACGAATTAGAGAATATTCGAATCCAAATGATGATATGTGAGTAATATTGAAACAACGAGCAAAATAAATAAATTAAAATTTATAAAATATTTTTTTTCGAAATTAAATTCCTTAGCGATTCCAAAGTTTATGGTTAGTAAATCGATATTTTTGTTACAAACTATTAATCCTTTTTCTTTGTAATGATATTTTTTTTTGTTCAAATAGAAAATACTAAATTGGATATATTTGGTCATTCAGTGAATGGAATCAAAAAACTTGAATGTGTTTGTCCAAATTGCTCAAGAACATGTGCCGCATTTCGTTTGGCACCACATCTAGAAAAATGTCTTGGTATGGGAAGAAATAGTTCACGATTAGCATCAAAACGTATTGCATTGGTTATTAAAAATTCTAATGGTGCTAATAGTGAATAAATTTTCTACAGAAAAATAAAACAATATCATTAGTTGAATCAAATTTCATTTGTTTGTATTTTTGTATTGTACATATATGTAGCCTAATTTTTATTATTTTTTTCAATTATTCTGGTCCATTATCAGTTATTTTCCTCTCACCGAATGAAGTTTTATTTGTTACAAATACGCAAACATAACCGCCATCCTCTTACGTTTAACACTATTGCATGAAAATGTCATTTTCAAAAAAAAGAAAGAAAGATATTATTTACCAAACTTTATGGATGAATATTTTTAAAAGAAAAATAATCAATCAAAAATTGTGATCAATTTGGAACAATAAAAACGGATTTTTTTAAAAAAATTGAAAAAATTTTTCTTAATTTTGTAATAAATGGAAAATATTTTCTCTAATCAACAGATGTCGCAAGGTGGTTTATCATTTAAACTTTTTTAGTGCAAAATAAATTGAAATCTTGATGAAAAAATTTTGCGGAAAAAAAATGTCAAATACCATTTATGGAAATGGAACATAAATGTTTAGAAACGCCTATCCATTTATTTTTTTCCTCTGTTTGATTAATTAAGATATTTAATTGCCATTATTTTTTTTCGACATAATAAATTAAATTTCTTCTCAAGTAAAAAAAAGGTTCTCAACTGCTATTTGGATTATGAGATGACAATTAAGATGATGACGATGATAAGGATGATGATGGTTATTATCATTGTAAAGATAGTCGAGATTAATTTCTCTCATCATTACAATGAATTGGATTTTTTTTCTATTAATTAAAAATCTTTCTAATGAAATTTGATGCCCAAAATAATTTCAGAATATATTCAATGATTTTCGTTTCAAAATTTGCATAACTTAAGTGATTCATTAATCCACAAACGAAAAAACAATAACAATAACAAGCGAAACGACAAAATCCTTTCACTATATAGCGGTCTTCAAAACAAAAAAACAAAAACCAAACCATAACACCTGTGATTTCACATAATATGAATCATTTTTTTTTTTAATTTTTGATTGACATTTCTTTTTTTTTATTTTGCTAATACTTTAATGTCTACTAAATCAAAATGACAGATATAGAGAAGAGAAAAATAATGTAAACCATGAAATCGATGATGTTGTTGATGATGATACCAAATGTAATGGTAACTAAATTGAAATAATAAAATACTCTAGAAAAAATGAAAAATCAAAAAAAAAAGAATGACAAATGTCAAAGATAAGACCCAAAAAAAATGTCAAGATTTAAATACAATTTGTTTTTTGTTTTTTTTTTGTTGATTGAAAATCGATTTAAAAAAATTCAAATATCATTATCATTTTTTTTTTTTGTTGTTGTAGTTGATCCATTTGGAAGCAATCAATCAAAAAGAAAAAAGAAAAGAAGATGACATTGTCAAATATTGTTTTGTGATTTTCTATTGGTTATTTAAAAAACAATAACTACATGTATCAATGTTATGGTGATAAATCTAATCATTATCAGCATTATTATACGGATCCAGAAATGAAATGAAACAATTTTTTTTTAAGAAAATCTTCTTAACATTGGCCTCCAAAAACAAAAAGAAAATCAACACAAATTTTATTGTTTTCTCCATAATTATTGATGCCATACTTTTTCTTGTAAATTTTTTTGTTTCTGACGTCGATATACATCGGTATTCCAGCATTAAGAAAGTAGAAAAAAAAACCGTTTATAATGGCAACAGGTTGTCATAAACATTTTTTCTCTTGACTTAACCATATCGACCAATAAATTGTAAATGTACGTCAAACACTTTTCTCTACCACAAAATTATTAATCACACCCATCACTAAAAAGTGAAACATCATTGCAAATCGATAATCTAAAAGTTTTTTTTTTGATTTTGAAAAATAAGACATTTTATTGTTTCATTTGGTTTGATGTGTGTGTGTGTTTGTGTATCCTTAATGATATAACCAATCATTATCAATCGAATTAGAACGAAACAAAACCTTAAATTGAAATTTACGCCTATTACGTGTGTGACATATTTATATTTGTGAATTTGAAGATAATTTATTTCTCTTTCTCTATCTCACCATCATCAGCATCATCATCATTGTTAACATATAATCAATTTGAAGAAAAAAAAATAGATTACAAAATGGCTGAAAATATTCAAATGAACAACGATGTTGTTGTTGTGGTTTCTCATGCCGATGATAATGGCAATGAAAATAATAACGAATTAGAAACTGCCAAAGCATTTGCTAAGGATTTTATTGAAAAACAATTTGCTCAAGAAATTGCCGAAAAAATGACAACATTTGAACAGGAAACAATGGATCTTAAGATTCGAACATCAACAACAACCAACGATATAGATGTTGAAACATCAGCAACTCCAATTTGCAATGGTAATGCAAAACCTGTTCAAAATGGTGATGATCATCTATCGAACGATAATGTTCCATCCGTTACTGTGACTATGGTTGAAGAGATAAAAAACCCATCCGATTCGGAAATTGAAAATGAACAATCAGAGTATGTAGATGCGACTGATTCGATACAGGAAACGCCAGCTACTGGTGTTACTATGGTAGAAACAATCACTACAGAAGAACTGGCAACGGATGTTACAATGGAAGAATCAGTTTCCGAAGAAAAACTTTCCGAAGCTCCAATGACTAACGTGAATGGAGATGAAACAGTCGAAGAATCTCCAGCAACAGACTTTAAAACTGAACAAATTGTTCAACAATATCCCTTGACAAATGTTACAATGAAAGAATCTGTTCCAGAACCTTTAACGACAACAAACGTTACCATTGAAGAAACGGTTCCAGATTCACCAATAATGACTATGGAAGAAACTGAGCCAGTAACATCGATTACTACTGTCGAATCCGAACATGAAATAACATCCGACGAGCCACCGATGACTAATATTACTGGTGTAATGGGAATGGAAAACGGTCACGTCGAGCATCTGGAATCACCAAAAACCAATGGTAACATTCAACATTATGATGTTGTTGATGGTGCTAATCATTCAATTTTAGGTGCCGCACTTGAAAATAAAACACCGACAAATGATACGTCAAACGTTGTGGAACCTGGTCAAACAGAAATGCATCATGAACATCATGATAATGTTGAAATGTATAAAAATTTCAAAAAAATGGGAATCAATGAAAATTGGTGGAAAGAAAGACGATCGGCCAATGAAAAAGAACAAGAAGAATCGAAAGTACCGGTGGATAAATTTCGTACAATTAAACAGAATATTCGTCGTGGTAATACACGATCATTGAAAGAACGTTTCGAAAATTTGAGTAAATTAACTGAATAAAATTGAACAAAAAAAAAAATTCCGTGAACATTCCTGTTATTTGAACAACAACAATATTTATTGATATTATTATTTAAAATGAATCTAAATTATTGTCGTATTTTTGTGATCTAAAATTTATGGTAGAATGTATTATGATTCAATAAAAAAACCCTTTTTATTATATGATAACGATATATTTATAATTGGATAATAAATATTTTTGAAAATCTTTTATTATTTAACTTGTAACTTTATTTTTTTTTTAAATACCAGACAACTTGCAAATTGATATATTTTGATAATAATAATAAAATCATTACACAAGTAATAATTTCCATTATTTTTTTCGCAAAAAAAATCATTGTAATCGTTATCATTAACTGAATTGAGTTTGTTGATGCTAAAAATCTGTTCCATGAGCTGAACTAGAATATACGGTTGATTGTAAAGGATGCTGTGGCTGTTGAAACTGTTGATTACGATAATTATTATTATTAAGTGGTAATTGATGTTGTTGACTTTGATAATAATTTCCAATCATTGGAATTGCCGATTCTGGCCTAGGAATCATTGTTTGTTGTGTTGTTGTTTGTTGATATTCATATTGTTCGAATCGAGATGTTGGTATCTGAAATGATTGCTGTGATGCTGGCCGATAAGAATCTGATCGTGGCGGTGGTGGTGGTGGTGGCATTTTTGGTCGGCGTGATTGTTGTTGCTGTTGATCAATACGTTGATCATTTTCTTGTTCCTGTACAAATTGATTCGGTACATCTTCACCGGTTATTAGCTGTAGAATTCGAAACGCACGCGATGGGATATTTGCACCCGTATATTTTAATGGTGCCGATTCATGTGGACGTTCAGATGGTGGAAGTTTTCGTAATTCCGACATAGATAATCGACGACCAGAATTATTTATTTGTGCCATTTGTTTCCATGGATTAATTGGTGGTGTACCGATTGGTGATTCGGGGCCATTTTTACCATAACCATTACCATTCGATAATGGTGGCAATGATGATTGACGAGATTTTATTGTTGTAAACGTTTGCTGTGATGTTGATGGTGGTAATTGCGAAAACATTCCAGCCTGTGTAAGATATTCACGATTTATCTCTATAGATTGGATTATAAGTTAGTCTTTCAGATGAAAATCTTTTTCTCCATCAACAACACTTACCTGGATCAACATAAGTTTGAGCATGTTCCGATTCGAACAATGGCTGTTGCTGTTGTTGTTGCTGCTGCCTTGAATTTATTCCGAAAAACATTTTCGATTGTGTTGGTGAATCTACCTGGTTTGGTGGTAATTGTGAAAACATTCCGGCTTGTTGAAGATATTCACGACCAGATTCTATTGTTTGATAAATTTTGAAATGTAAATTTTGAACAATAAAAAAACTTGAATTTCCATACCTGTATTATCATATGATCGAAGTTGTTGTGGCTCCTGACCTAATTTAATTTTTCTCGGCAACGATGCAGAATATCCATTGTCCATCATTTTTGATCGTTCATTTGAGAGAGGTTGAAATGTTTGCATTGGTGGCTGATTTATCATTGATCGATTAAATGGTCGTGGCTTTGAATTGCTATAATTGTATCCTAAAATGAAGATTTATTGAAAAATCATTGGAAATCTTTCTTTTAGTTGAAAAGAATTACCATTACTGCTATTATTCTGTTGTGTTCGTTTCCAAATATCAACAGATGGTGAAATACAACGATAACTATTAATAAAATCGTTCTGTTGTTGACCATTATTATATGATGATGGATTTGGTGGACAACTTGTGCGGCCATCCATTAAATTATGAGGTTTTGGTGGAATAGGTGGTGGTATTACTCCTCTATAATTCATTCGATTTGAACTATAATCTTGCGACAACGACGATGTTGGTAGATTCGGTGATGTCGATCCCATTTTGGCACCCATTTCTTCAAATTTATCAATTTCGTCTATAAATAATGAACAGTTTTATTAATATTATAGAATTGGCCATCAAAATTGGTTTTACCTTGCAAACCTGAATCTAGAACATGTTTAAGAACATCCGTATTGAAAGCTGTAGGTGTTTGTTGTTGAAGATTTTCCTGAACCGGCACTGGTGTATATGGTTCAAATTGTAATTGCTTTTGAAATGTTTCATTCAATTCATTCATCTGATTGGAACAAGGATTGTTATATATAGGATTGTTGTTCGAATCTTCAGTTATTCCACGAGCTGTTCGAACGGCTTCAGCAGCATTCAAACAAAGCTGATTCACATCAGATTCAAATATCTTTTGTTGAGTTGATGACGGAAAATTTGGCTGTTGTTGTTGTTGTCCACTATTATTATTATCGGTATCTTCATCGATTGGATTATTTGTTACAATAGTGGCACGTGATTCAACATCCTGTTTTCTTGCTGCTAATTTTTTCACCAATTCATTATCATCACAGGATAACATTGGAATCGGTGATGGTGCAAAACGAACTTCTTTTTTATTATTGTTATTTGAATTGTTTGTACAATCTAAACCGGATGGACTGGATGGACGAAGTTTTTGTGCTGCATCAGCCGGAATCGGTGGCAATACAAATGGACTTGCTGTATATTGATGAGCATTAGGTGATTTTGATTGATTCGGTAAAGAATCTGTTTTTGTTGTTGCTAGTTGTTCCGTTTCATTATCATCTTCACCGGCATGCAAATTTGCTAATAAACGTTTTTTCATTCTTGGTGATCGAATTTCACTTAGATCAAGTACTCCTTTTTCGCTGTTGGGTAATTTAGTATCATAAATGAAAAATAAGATAAAACCTTGAAAAAGGACTTTGAAAAATAAAATTACCTTGAAACACCACTTGGTGTATATGTGAATGGTTTTTTATCTTTATTCATTGCATTCAATAATTTATCCGGCAAATGTGCATATTGTTGTTTTTCAATTTCTTGTTTACTTGGTGGATGTTCATGCCTTATGGAAGATGGTAACTGTGATGGATATAAATCACGCCAATTAGGCATTGGTGATGAACCAGAAGTACCGGGCATTGGTGGTGGTGGTGGTGGTGGCAATGGCACTATAGTTGGTGATTGTGGTAATGCTGCGGCCATTTTTGTATTGAAAATTGTTAACGGTATTGATTGTACACTTGACCAATCGCTATCAGTTTCAAAATCGGCACTTAATCGATTCGATTGTTTTCGTTGATGATGTTGTAAATAATCTACTTCAACATTAGGATAGAATTCAAAATCTAAATTCGTAATCGATGATGTTGTACTATCGTAATCGTTATTTTGATTTTCAATGAAAAAATTCTTCGGTTTATTTTGTAAAGATGCGTTATAATCTTGCTGTTGTTGTATAGATTCTTCTATGGTCTGTGTAGCAGCATCAACCAATTGAATTAGACGATGATTTATATTTCGATGGCGAATTTCTGTTAAATTACTGCATCTACGATTATTAAAATTTGAATTGATGCTATAATTATTTAGTTCAACATTATCATCATCGCCAACATCATCGGTAAATGTTTTACCATGATTTTCAATGGTACCGATAATTGTTTTCGGTTGTTGTTGTTGTTGTTTATGAATAGAATTCGGTGAAGAATCACCGTCATCAACATCATTATGCCTGAATGATTGTGAAGGCAAAGCACGGAATTTTTGTGTCAACCATGCTATACAGGCAAGAATTATGGCAAATATGCCTAGTTCAATGTTGAAAGCAATTTTTGGTTGTTGATGATTTGAATTTATTAAAAGATCAAACGGCAAAAAAATATATAATTTTTGTTTGAAAAAAAATATATATAAATGGGAGTGAATGAGAAAAACAAAAAACAAAAAGAGAAAAATTGTAAAATTACGTGTGTGTATATGTATGTATTTGTATGCTACATTTAAAAAGAATTTGTGCAAGAATTCATCAAAGAACCAGATACAACAGATGATTTTTGTTTAAAAAAAAACCTTGAAGTCAATCGTCGGTTATCGTTTTTCTTTTTCTTGAAATTTATACAAACAAATTTGAATTTCTTTAAAAACTTTTAAAATGTTTATCTTATGTTGGGGCGAAAAAAACATGAATGGCAACGACCAACATCATTGTAGTTTGAGATTTTATTTGAATTTCAAATTTAAGTTTTTTCTTTTATTTTAGCAAACTGAACTAAGATTAAAACACACAAATACACACACAATTCTGGATTCTAATACCGAATATATTCTTCATTTCCCATTGGTTTATATTGGCATCAACAGTGTAATTATTTTATATACCGCTGCTTTATATATACAGTAAATACTTCATAAAACCGGAATCAGAAGAATCTTAAATTCTGTGATTAAGAATTTTTTTGATGATTAAAGCCAATTCTTATTTGTTATTTCTTTACGAAGCAAAAATATATTCGAAAAAAAAGAAGAAAATTTGAGCTATACATTAAGTTTCGCTGTGTTGGCATATGTAATTCGTTGTCGCAACGATGATTATGATGATGATGATGATAAAATTAGAAATTCATCAAGTCATGGATGTAAGAAGGTTTTTTTTCTGTGTTTGTTGCAATAAAATTTTTGTTTTCGCTTTTTTTGAAAAAACAAAAACAAATGGAATTGAATATTCTAATGAAATGTGTTATTTATTACGCAATGAGATGTGATTACATTTTCCATAATCAGTATTTTTCTATGTCAGTCTGCTGTTTTTGCAAAACAGTCTAACCCGGATATTTCCCGATAAAATAATCGGTTATTATTATTATTATTTTTTATTTTTGATGTCATCCATTGTATAGAAAGTATAAATTTCTTGATAATCAACAAACACACATAGAAGATGAATTTGATTTTGATTCTAAAATTAGAATAATGTTAATGTATGAATGTTTTGGGCATGATATGACCGAATTTTTTCATTTGATTGCTAAATAATGTGATTATTTTTTTTATAACCAAAAAAAACAAACTTACATTATGTTGACGAATATGCTGCCACAAAGTGTCGACAATTGATAAAAGAAAATTTTTAAAATTATCGATTATAATTGCATTTTGTTTGAAAAATTACAACAATTTAAAAAAAAATATAAAATGAAATCATATTCGATGCAAAATCTTTAATTTCAACTTTTAAAATTGTTTATGAAATGACACACTCACACACTATTCCTTGTGTGAACACAATATTTTATTCCCAAACAAAAAACAATGTTCCAAAATGGCAACAATTTTTAGTTGTGAAGGATAAAAACAAAATTGAATAAAATAAATTACATTTTGACATCAATCATTTGGAATGATGAAATTTTTTCTACTTTTGAAGGCAGTCCTTTATACCTCTGCTTAAACATGTCATTAATCATTTGTCTAACCTAATGCATTTTGTTTTTTAAAAAAAAATCGAAATTAAAAAATGCAAAGAAAGAGACGGAAATTGATATACGTCATAGAATCGACTGTTTTGTTTTTTTTTTTGTTGAAACAATCCGATCCTCTTCAAATAATTTGAAATGACTTTTGTCTTTTAATTGGCAAACAAAAGTAATATAAAATTCATTCAAAAAAGGTCAAGGTTGCTTCCGGTGATACAGGTAAGGTAAGGGTTATATATTTCTATCATGCGATGTACCGGTAATGTCATGTTTAACATGTGACCATAATATATCTGTAAATGAACATTTTAAATTCACAGTTTTTTTGTTTTGATTTCGCTGATGTTCAATGCCAAGATATAATGTCTACAAACAGATCGCTCCCCAAACGCCTACGAAATAGCATCTAATTGTCAAAAAAAACACAAAATTTATTTATAATTAGTAAACCGACAAATACTAAAAAAAGAAAACAAAAAAAGTTATGTAAACTACGCATCAGGGAATTGTTTTTCTTTCAAATAATGTTATTCGATTTTAAATTAATGAAATTGAAATTCAATTAAATGAATTTTCAGTGAAAATTCGACAATCAAAAAATGGAATGTGACAGATTTGTTCTCGATTTAGTTCGGCTAACCGAATTGATTTGGGTGAATAAAAATGATGACCCAAATTCATTCATGACAACTCTTTGATGACACAAATATTTTTTTTCGATTGGTTGTTTGATCAATTCTTTTATTTGTTTTCAATAATTCTTGATAATAATTTTTTCTGTACGACTAAGCAAAAAAGAAACAACAAACAAACAAACAAATGACATTGTTTCGACTAAATTTAGAAACAAATCATAAACAGAAATTCAAAAAAAAAATCATTTCGAGTGCATGCAACCAACACACACAAACAAAATTCTTGGCATCAATTCTTTATTCTTTCAATTTATTACTAACATGATGGCATTTGAAAAACAAAATGATTGAAATCAAAATTAAAATTTTGAGTAAATGGATATCGATGACATTTGGATTTTGAAATAAAAAAGTATTAATATAAAAAAAAACTGATCGATTTTTTTTTGGATACATTCCAATAAATCGAATCGGATTTTTCCTGTATAAATGAATTGAAATTTAAATTTTGATGAAATTTCAAGGTTTTTTTCACAATTTCAATATGGGCGATGGCCGTGGAATTTTTTTTTCTGTATTGATTTTTGTATAAACAATTAAAATGGCGCCGAATCCAAACCAAAAAATAGAATCCTTTTCTATTCGATTTTTGATTTTTTTTTGTTCTTCTAAATGTCTTATTTGGAAGACAATTCATTCATTCGATTCATTCGATTCGAATCGAATCATTCGAAACAAAACGAATGGCAAATAAAACATTATTTCTTACAATCAATCGTCCATCACCAGCAACAAATTGGGGATTTGAATTTATCGAAACCGAACATAAACGTTTGGGTTCGATTTTGGTCGTACAAAATGTAAGTTAATTGAAAACAATTTCCAAAATCTAATTAATCATTATTCAGAATCGATTCATGACCTAGACCGTAATCTATAATTTAGTTATTTTCTTCGCAACTAGTTCAAGATCAGAATAATTTTAGACGTCAAAGGATTATCCTTCTTTGTGGTATTTTTGTTTTTGTCTATCATTATCATAAGAATATCGAAAAAATTCTTTCAACCAAAACAATTCTAACATATTCATTTTTCAATGTCTTATTCTCTATTTGTCTGACTATGTATGTTTTTATTCAAAATGGATGACAATTTTATGATGTCAAACTTGAATTCAATCATCATCATCATCATCATCAGCAATAATAACTGTATGAATAGAATCGAAATGATTCAAGGATGTTTTCATATACATGTCTAAAATGTACATGAAATATAAAGATTTTTCATTTTATCGTTTGTTGTTGTTACCCAAACTTTAAATTCTTTTTTTTGAGTAACAAAAGGGGAATATAACTAACCAAACACATAACAGCATACTATAGAATTATTTATGGTCGATTTTGTTTTTTTGTTCAAATATTCCCATATCTATTCCACAACACAGCCAGAAAAAAAGAAGAGTATTTTTATTATTATTTCTTAATCAAGTTATATTTGATTCATTTAATTGTCGATCTCTAGTCAGGCTTTGATCATTCATAGGAAAAAAGTTGGTAAATTATTATTTTTTTTTTCCTATTTCTTAGTATTTGGAATTTTCTCAACTCTTTTATTTATATCTGTATTTTATTTGTTGATTTATTAATTTCAATCGACATTATTAATTAATAATTAGGTTGCATCTTCAAGCCCTGCATACGAAGCTGGTCTTTTACCAGGTGATATATTGATTGGTATTGATAATTCACCAATAACTGGCCGCCCATTAACATATTCAATTGCAATCGAATTGATTGGACATAAAACAAGAAATCAAATTGAATTACAAATACTTCGTGATCCAAAGAATCGTGTTAGAAAATTAAGTAAGTATTTTATTTTTATTAATGTGAAAAGGATTTACATTTTTGTTTTGATAAATGTATAATGTAGAGACATATAATATCACGAATAGTGAAGCATTTCGTCCAATCATGATGAATCGTGGTGTCATTCCTAGTGTTGCCCAAATGGATAGTGGTATCCGTATGCCTGATAATAATATTGAACAATTTTTGAATGAAAAAGCACGTGAACAATGGGCAATCACTAAACAGGTATTGAAAAAAATACAATATTCCATTGTCAATAATTTTCAATTAATAAATTGATTATTAGACTTATCGTAGTATACCGATAATTGAACCTAAACCAAAAGTACGACGTGATTGGCCAACGGGTTCATATCTCAAATATATGGAAGGTCCTGGTTGGCATGATCCACCTAAACATATTATGGTTCAAGAAGGAAAATTTAAACTTCTTAATCAATTAGGATCGGTATTTAAGAAAGAAAAACTATAGACATTATTGATTCAATATTTTTTAATTTATTCTTTCTTTTTTAAAATAAAAATAGACTGATGGTTCACCGGTTCATCGTCAATATAATTCACCAATTAATCTTTATAGTGAAAATAATTTACAAAATTCAATCAATCTGTAAGTAAATTTGCGAAGGAAAATTTTAATTCATAATTACGATTGAATTGCATTTTCATTATTAAAGTGGTTCAACTGGATCAAGCATTAGTCCACAACCAGTGTATAAATTGACAACAACAAAACCGGAAACGATTGATATAACAAATTCACCCACCTATCGATTCTTGCAAGAGGAACGAATTCAACAACATCGTATGTTTTTATATTATATCATATTATTCAATCAGTAATTAAAAAAATCAATTTACACAGGTCCACCAACAACAACATATTCGGCATTTAATCGTACATCACCGGAACCACAACAAACACCATATTTTAAAACATTAATGCATACATTGAATGTATCATAGATAATGAAAAAAAAATGCAAGATGATAATGTGTTGATGATTTATTGTCTATCTTTATACCACTTTAATTATTATTTAAATAATCTTTGGATCAGAATTGTTAACCCATTCACATTATTTAATTAACCATCCTTAAAAATTAATTTATCAAATAAATTCAGATGTCAATCATCATTTTAAAAAAAAGAAAGAAAAAAAATATAAAATTCATTGTTGTGCGTCATCATTTGATTTGAGTTTTTTTTGAGTTTAATAGAATTAAAAAAAAATAAAATGAGTCAAAAATTGAATTGATTCCAAGATGAATTTTTTTTTGTTAAAATGAAAAATTCTTTTTTTTTTGATATTTCATCTTGTTCGGAATGAATGATCAGTCGGTAAATTGGTGGATGGGAGAAAAATGTCAATGGAAATCATCTACAAATTCATAATATACAAAAAATGAAACATAAACAATATAATTCTATTGTTGTAGTATATAATTAATGATGTTATTTGTTTTTGTGTGTGTGTATGTGAATTGGTTCAATTTACAAATTGGAAAACAGGACATTAGTGAAATAGTCCATGAATATTTGCTGGTCAGCAAACTCCATTTGAAAGATTTCTTGGTGAATGATGATGATTTCTTAATGGAGATGAATGTTGTTGTTTCATTAACATTAGTGTTGATGCTGTAACATTCTCATTCTTATCATTGGAAACATCAGAATTTGAATCGGATAAAGATTCACTATTATGATGGTCTTTATCACCAGCATCAATATTTTTGGTTTCATCATCACCACCTAGATTTAGATTTCGAACCGGTAATTTACCATTAATTGTTTTATGATTTCCATTTGTTAATGAAATTGGCATTTTATCTAACGTTGTTGCCGATAATGAAGAGGAATCTTGTTTTAATCGTTTGAATGGTGATCGTGATGTAGACCGTTTTCTACGACGAACTTTGAACAATGGTGATGAATTGGAATCTTCTGCAATAATAGCAGCCGAAGCAGAACTACTAATGTTTCGAAGATGATGATGATGACCATTAATTATGGTAATCGGTTTATCACAGCTAGATTCATCGTGATTGTTCACAGTCGATCTGGTCCGATGATGAAGCGACGTCGTTGCTGCCGAATCGACATTACCATTCGTAACAATCGAAGAGTCTTCTTTTATTGTCTCTTCCTCTTCTTCGTCTTCATCGTAATTCTCATCATAGACATCGGAATCTTCATCATCCTCGGTGTCATTTTCAAACGTCATCCGACTATCCTCATCATCATCCTCCTCGTCGTCTTCATCTTCGTCAGAAATTCTTTGATTACCTATTTCTTCCCCAGTTGTTATTTTCTTTTTCCTGCGTTTTGTTGTAGGTGTATGATTATATGCTTTATTCCAACGACGACGACGTTTCTTCTTCAATTTTCCAGGTAACGGTGTGCTATTTTTCATAGATTGATTCAAACCACTTGGATCTAACGCCTCATCATAGAAAAGAACATTATACACTTCATCATTTTTTGCTGAGATTTGAGGTTCTTTTGAAATGAGGGGCTCCCATATAAGATTATCTTCATTCAATGAAATTCTAGGCTTCTGTAGACAGCGTTCAATTTCTTCTTGCTTGAATTCTAATAACCATCTAAAAAGAAAATGAAAGAATGTCAAAACAAAGACCTCAAAATAAGATAAAATACATACTCTTTGTTGATTTTTCTAAATGCACTACACCATTGTAATGTGGACGATATATCATTGACATTTAGACCGATTTTTTCGGATATATGTTGGATTGATATTTTCATCAAATTCTCATCCGGTGAATCTTTTGGGTTTTCATTTGTTTGTTTGAATAACCGATCAACATAATCATAAATTCTAAAACGCCAATAAGATAGATATGATAATTTTCCTAGTTCAGACAACGGTTTTTCTGGTGTCCCAATTAATCCTTCACGTCTTGATAATAGATAAGAAAAATCAATTAAAAAACGACCAAAACCACTTCGTTGATATTGTGGTAATGTCACAATACATGATACGTTGAAATGCTTTGTAGAAAATTTTTCTTTGGAAAAATATCCAACAATATGAGATCCTAATTATCATAAAAATGGGAAAAATTAAATGAAAAATAAAAAACAAGATTTTCATCTATACAAACCATAAATATCATCAATAGTAAGTATGTAGAAAAGGAAATGTTCCACATCGAACAATAACGTTTTATGATCGATAAATAATTTGCCTAAAAGACATAAATTTTGGCAATACCATTTTGAATTGGCGCCATCCACTTCATATACTGATAGATAAATTGGCGTTTTTATATGAAAGTTCGGTACTATTTGCCTTGAGCGATAAATTTCATCACCAGGTGGTCTTTTTAGTGAACATTTTTTCTGCAATAATACAACATGGAATAAATTTTTCATCAATAAACAAAAAAGATGAATCGCTTACCATATGTCTTTCCATCATATCAGAACTCTTCATATATTTCAAACAAAATTCACAGATAAACAATTTTTGTAGCCTTGCATATTCATGGGGATATAAAGATGAATACCAAGTTTCGATTTCATAGTTACCAAATTCAATCGCGGCCGGACAACGAAGCTGTGCATGTTCACCATCATTCTTAATTGAAAATAAAATTATTCATCAAGATAATTAGATCCTTTCATTAAGCTTACTTTTGATCCTGGACTTTGGGTTTTCAATGGTGTCAGAATGATCGATGAAAGACCATTTTCGGCAACTTGTTGTACTTTTTTAAACAATTGTTCATCATCCGCCGTTATTTCCATTGTTGCATCCAATGGAAGAGGTGGTGAAAGGGCACGATAATTTTTCTTATGACCATCTAAAAATGGTGAATGTTGACTATTTGGTGATGATATCTCAGAATGTCTTCTATCACTAGTGCTATTATTACTTTTGGTAACTATGGAACGATTTCGATTTTTCGATTTAGTAGACTTTTCGATATTCTCTTTGGATTTCTTCACTTTTTGACGGCCATGTTTATTTGGTTTGGGTGTGGAGGTTTTGAATTTTTCGGGTGCCATTCCACTATCATCATCATCATCATCATCATTATTATAGTCATCATTTCCGGCTATGATCATAGAAACATCGGCTTCAATTCGTTTTTGCTGATTTCTTCGTCGTTTAATTGGAGTGAATTTGCGACTTTTTTTCTTTGTTGATTTTTTCACCGCTGTCGTTGGTTTTGAACTAGATTTTTGCTTATTAGGTGTTCGACATGGTTCACTATTTTCATTATCATCATCATCACTGCTACTATTACCATTTTCATCTGTTGATTGATTTTCATTAGCTTTGGTCGTCGACGAAGATGGTGATGGTTTTATCAAAAATTCAGTGATCAAAGTTTGTTTGCTTGACTAAAACAAAGAAAAAAAATTATGAATGAAAACATTTTCAATTTTTCAAGTTTTACCTTTCTCATTTTTTTGAGCTTCGTTTTATGATTCGATGATATAGAAAGAATTTCCTTAATTTCTTCGTCGTCCCCGTTATCGGATTCCGGAACGATCGGTGCTAAATAAGTGCTTGATGGATTTTGTATATGAACACTAATACTGCTACAGGAATTCGGATCTGTCTCTAATTTTGTTGAATTTTTTACATCTGTTTTTCGATTCAAATTTTTGCGTTGTTTTCTTCGTTTATTACGTTTGCAGCTGGAATTATGTTCATCTTCATTATTTTCTTTATTATTATTATTATTAACTACTTGGAAATCAGTTGTTTCAATAGCAGAATCTAAAGTATCTACAATTTCTGAACTATCAGGCAATGATGATGATGTTGAAGATTGTCCAATTGTTGTCGTACATAAGGATTTAAGTTCAGGCCGAATTAATTGATAATTCAATTGTGATAAATTTGATCGTTGTTGAGTTATGGTACGATATGAAACAAGATCACGTTTTAGATGGAATGAACCTTTACGTCGTCCACGACGACCAAGATATTTTCGACAAAATTCTAATAATTGTGTAGAATTTTCTTCCGATTTTTCTGTTGATTGTAATTTCGAATCCAAAGAATTTGTTGTATCTGGACTATCGTATGGTCGTTTATGATTAGATTCGAATGATTTTTGCCAATGTTGTTGTTGTTCAATAGATGATGATGGATGATGCCGAATTGCTGTGGCTAATTTTATATCCGATCGTTGTATTATTCCAGATGATTGATCAATAGAAATACGATTATTATCATTTTTGGTAATCTTTGTCGTTGTTGTAGCAGATGATACTGTTTCGTTTGTATAAATTTTATCACAATCATCACATGTATATTTGGAAAGAAACACTGTATTTCAATGAAATAAAAAAAAAATAAAAATTATTGAAAAAATATGATTTTAAAAAACCTAGTATAATATGCAAAGATATGATGTATCAAATAACAACGCTAAAAGCTAAGAGTATTTTTTTACCTCATAATTGTCATATTTTAGTTATAAATTATAAAAAAATTAGAAATTAATGAAAGGCAGTATTATTTTAAATGGAATTTTGTGTGAATAAATTAGTATTTTCAAGAAGTATTTTGAAAGTTGATATCTGATATGCGGGCAGTGTTTGGACCATTATTTTTCATAATAATTTACATTAACAATGTCTTTCTTTTCATGTAGAAAATCGAATATGGAAAATAATTCGGTTTAGTTGATCAAATCAAATCAAAAACATGAACACACACATAAACGAACTCGATTAATTCAGAGTAAATTCATTAATTCATTTTTTTCAATTTAAAACAAAAACAAAACACATGCACAAAATCAAATTCCAAAAAAAAAACAATAACAAAAACAGAACACAATTCAATAGTGAGCAGGTTTAAGAAAAACGAACAATTGTTTTCATTTCGAATAAACTGGAAACCAAAAAAACAAAACATTTGATAATTTTGGAAGAGTTTAGGTGAAATAGAAAAATTTTCTGAATGAATTTTATTATTGCTAAAACAATAAAAAATATCCATCCGTATGGTTTTTCTGTTCACTTTTTTACAAACATATCCACTCAATTCGCTGTCGTCGTCAATAGGTTTCTGTGTGTATTTTTTTTTTTATTATGGGTGATCGCTTGAGCTCACACAAAACATAACAAAACATAACAGCAGCAACAGACAATAAAAATGAGCGCGCCGAGAGTAAATATATTTTTGTTCGAAATTCTTTTTGCGCATGTACTTATTTTGCGGCTAAAAAAATAGTGCATCCTATTTGCCCAGTTTATACGTTGCAAATTTCAGGTGTTCATATTTTTGCAATTGAAAAAAATGTTCGAAACAAAATTCTTTTTTTTTACATACCCGAATTTGATGGATTCCAACGTAAACATGTACGATGAAAAGCACGATCACAAATAACACAAACAATATTTGTTTCATCATCATGTTGACCACAACGTGGACATTTTTTACAATTTGGACATTCCCAATTAGGTAATTGTCGAATACGGGCTAATAATGTTGGTGAACAACCTAAACAAGATGAATGACCAGACATTCCACAAACTGAACAAGTAATAAGCTCATCATTTTTATCATCTTTAGTACTATGGCCACACATTCCACATTTTCTATGTCGTTCGGAACGATGATTATTTTCATTATTATTATCGATATTTGTTGTAAATGATTGTTGTCGATTTAATGTATCTTTACAATAACGTCGAACAACTCTTTCAATTGATTCATCAATCGAATCTAATGTTGTTGTAGTCGTTGATGTTGATACAGATTTTTTCTTCGTCGATGATGATGATGATGTACTTTGACAAGTTTTAGCTGTCTGATCAGGATCACTATTTTTTGAGCTATCATCAAGAAGATGAACACGTGATTTTAATGGATTGTTTATTGCTACAATCGGTATGGCTGAATTAAGTTCACGATAGGAAACAAAACCTTTATCATTATTATTAACACGTGCTAATAATGAACGTCGTATCATATCATCTAAATGACATTGAATTTTTGTCTTTGTATCCCAATCCGAACGTCTTGATCGAATCAAAATATTATATAAACGATCTACTGATGGTCGTTGTTTTTGTCGTTTGATTTTTCCGATTGCCAAAAGAATTTCACGATCACGTTCGGTGATAGGTATATCAACAATATCTTCTTTTTTCACTATAAATTTAAAAAAAAAGAAATAAGAATTCTGAAAAAATAATAAATAACTTTGGATACCTCTAGTACGAAATTTTGGTTTTTTTGTTGCATCATTTTCATTTAAAGGTGATAATTGTGATGTAAAACGAGCTGATTGTTGTAATGATTGTTGCCGGTTATTATCGAATGTTGATCTTGTTGGAATTGGACGTGAATCTGGTGCCGGTACGGTTGCATGCAATCGATTTGGAAGTCCTTGTAATGATGATTTATTATTTTCAGTTAAACCGGACATAAATGATATTCTTGGTAAAGAATTTGGCGATTTACAAAGACTAGTAAATAAATTATCATTATCTTTTGATGGTGTAGCTGCTGCTGATGAGGAACGTTTCGAATGATTACGATTTTCCGTCATGATTATCTCGGTTGAATATCTAAATTGATTCGAAGATGATTGTGTACTACTTTTCGATGAATCTGATGAATAACCACTACCTTCATCATCATCATCATCATCATTATCAGAATCACTGGCATCTATATCTTCATCTTCTTCATCTACTTTTTCATCATCATTTTCATTATCACTTGATGATGAAGAGGAAGAACAGGATGATGATGATGATGATGACGATGAATCAGAGCCAGATTCGTTTTGGGAACATGATGATCCCGCCGATGATGAAGAATCATGATTGTCGCCTATTTTCACTGTTTCGGTTTTTGGTGAGCTATCATCATCAGATTCGGATCCTGATGATGAATCAGATGATGATGATGATGAAGATGATGAATTGGAAGATCGTTTTGATGCATGTGATGACGATGATGAATGTGATTTAGATGAAGATGAATTTGAAGAATTCGAAGATGATGTCGAGGATGATGATGAAGATGATGATGATGAAGATGAATGGCAACTATCGTTATCTGAATCATTCGCCGACATGGCAAATCGAAAATGATTTTGGATTTTTAAAAAAATATTTCAAACAGAAAAAAAATGAAATGAAATTTCAATTATGGCGAATAAAACGAAAATTGAATTTTTTTTCACAAACAATGTTTACATGATAATCATTATGTAATTGTTGACTTTTGTTTTGGTTAAATCTTTTGGCCATTAAAAGCTCATTCGTTATTTTCATCATCATCAATCAATCAATCATTCAATAGAAGATTTTGAATGAAATTAGTGATCCAGAATAGCAATCGAATTTTAATCATTTTAAGTGATCACATGGCTTTGATGGCGATTAATATTATGACGAAAACAATAACTTTTATTTCTTCAACAACAAAATCAAAAGAGATTAAAAACTGGATTTTTTTGATGAAACAAAAACAACACTAAAATTGAGTCATAATGAAATTGACAAGGATCAATCTTTTCTTGAATTTGTTGTCTCGCATATATTTTCCTAATACATTCAGGATTTTTAATCACATCATGATGAATATCATTTCAGAAAGAGATGTTCAGTTTGTTTATTTTCAAAAAGATTTAAATTTTAATTAAAAATTAAAACAAAACACAAAGATAATTTCAGCTCTGAATTAAAATTTTATATAACGACAATTTAACAATTTAAATAAATTTATTTTTTTCAACAACATTTGATGGCTTAAATTAATAATTTTCAAATTATCAAATATTTTTCTTCATTATTGATGACGACGATTTTTTTTTAATCCAGAATATTCTGTACAAATTTCATAATTTAATCAAGAAAGAAAAATCATATTCATTTTGTTGTTGTTATTATTATTTTGCTTATGATTTATTCACATTTAATTGATTTGGCTTCTGATTGAATAAAAATCAATCAAACAATGATAACATTGTTTATACACAACAACAAATAACACATCTCCTTCTTTATCCATCATCATTTACTTCTCCTTCTTATTAACATCATCAACATTCAACACACACACACACAATTGATTTGTTTGGTTTTTTTTCATCATCATGTTTACTAAATTCGGGCCACTCACCATTTTTTTGTTTGTTAAATAACATCTAATGAAAATTCGGGTCTGGTTGAAAATATCATATCATATTGAAGATCACATCAATTATATCTCATACCACTACAACTGTTTTTAAGGAAAAAATTTTTTTTTTTGTTTGGTTTCAAACAAAGCATGCCGCATTCAAACATATTGTTGTGGCTACAATATTTTTATCATACTTTTTATAAACAATAAATTGTTCGATTATATGATAACAGAATTAGCTTACGTTATCAAAATCATAATATAATTGTTTATTGTGACTATAACCATAATCGTGTGTAATCAATTGCAACACAAAGAAATATTATCAAATTCTATATATGCAGACATGGATCCTATTACCACTACCCCATTAGATTTTAACAAGTTTTATAAATACAGTTGTCACGCGTTTAAATGTCACATGTTTAACACATCCGATTATAGCTAAACTTTGGCTGTTGATGTATCCGGATATCCACTGTAATTATTATGAAGCAATCGATCAATCATCGATCTATCGAAATATATTGATTGGAAAAAAAATTCTTAAATGATGAGATCATAGATCTAAGATGGGTAAAAATAGCCTGTTTGTCAAGAATTCGAATAATGATTTCTACACACGAAATTGATTTGATTTGAATAATTTTATTATAATAAAGAGAAAAAAATTTGAAATAATTGAATTAAATTAAATTTCTTAATGGATTTAAAAATGTTGATCAAATCGAAACGATTTGTTTATTCGACTTTGATTTTGTATGCCATTTGTATTTCATAAAAAAATGAAAGATGAAGGAAATAAAAAAAAATTATCACCATCCAAGACGCCATCTCCTGACGATGATTCAAATCATAATGGTAAGTTCCTGTTTTATTTTTCGTTCGTTCATTACTCTTTTTTTTATTTAATTTAAATAATTATTTACAATCAGCAACAAACGAAATGGCCGAAATTATACAGACACCACATACAAAGGTAAAAATTATATATCGAAAACATAATAATAATCATGATGATGAATTACCCGAAGTTGAGCTAACAAATATTGAACGTTCAATATCGAAAAATAAATGTCGAAAAGAAATTGAATTAGTACAGCAAATGATCGAAGAGAATGTTAAATTAAATAAATTTTTAAAACAACAATCACAAATTGTTTATAAACATAATAATGTTCAACAACAAAATAAAGATGAATTACGATTATTAATAAAAACGAATGAAAACGATGATGATGAAGAAACTTGTTATAAACAAATAAAACAATTGATAGCCCAACGATCAAAAGAAGATAGTAATAGACGAAAAAACACAAAGTGATTAGTAAAAAAATCGAGAAAATTTTACCTTAAATCGTTGTCGCTAAAAATAAATGAATAAAATCAATTTTGAAGCAAAAAAAAAAAAATTACGTCAAAACAATCATCATTGTTTCCGGTCAGATCTGTGAATGTCAAAAAGGAATGTTGTGTGTGTGTGTGCTGCGATCTTTGATCAATTATAATTGATATATTTTTTTTTTGTTCAAAATATTCATATCATCAACATACTTGAAAACTACCACAATTGTCGAATTGACTTTATTGAACAGCAGCCGCATACACAATCAATGAAATCAGACCGACAATTAAAATACTGCTAGTGTAAAAATTTTTATTGATGACGATGGTGTCTATCATCATCATCAATTAATGGCATATCCGTTTCAATGTTATAATGGATAAAATAGACATTATTATTGAACAAAAAAAAACAACATTGATAGGAACAAAAAATCGAGCCACACACAACAAATTAGAATGCGAAATTAATCAAATCCTCGAAACATTTTTTTGTTTTTGTTTTAATTGCAAACATTTTTTCCCATAAGCAAAAAAAATAGAGAGGGGAAGGATTGTAATTTTGTTTGTTTGTTCGTTCAATCATCCATTATTTGACATTCATTCTATATTGAATTACCGAAAAAAAATACAAATTTTTTTTTTACAACTGTGGTTACAAATTACGAAACATGATACATTATTTTTCAATCAAAAAACTTATTGATTGATTATCATTGAATGAAAAAAATTACGCCCTCAAACATAAAACCATCAACAAAACCAAAAAAAAAGATTGTTTCAATATCAATCCATCAAGTTCAGCTAATTTTTCTCTTGAAATTTTTTTAAATTTTACTTTTCCATTAATTTTTCTTGTTCACATCTTTATCAAAATTCTTCATTTTTTTTCATTATTTATATGCTATAATGCAAGCAATCAAATGTGTAGTTGTTGGTGATGGGTAAGTCAAAATTTGTTGATAATGTTTGTTTAGGAGAAAATCCAATATATGTTTAATGTAAATTTTTTTTTCATCAAATATTTATCCATAAATAAAATGTAATGATAAAGTGCTGTTGGTAAAACATGTTTACTAATCAGTTATACAACAAATGCATTTCCCGGTGAATATATTCCAACAGTGTATGTATTCATTATTTAATTAGTAAACAAACAAAATTCTTTTATCGTAAATAATATCTGTTTTTGAGAATTTAGTTTCGATAATTATTCGGCAAACATATTAGTGGATGGAAAACCAATTAATCTTGGTCTTTGGGATACGGCCGGACAAGAAGATTATGATCGTTTACGACCATTATCATATCCACAAACAGTAAGAAAGTTTTAAAATCAATGTTAATGTTATAAAAAAATATCCATTTTTCTCAAATAGGATGTATTTTTAATCTGTTTTTCATTGGTCAATACGGCTTCATTTGAAAATGTACGTGCAAAATGGTACCCAGAAATAAGTCATCATTGTCCTAATACACCAATAATATTGGTCGGTACTAAATCTGATCTGCGTGATGATCCTGTACAGATTGAAAAACTTAGAGAACGTAAACAGGCACCAATTTCATATGCACAAGGTTTAGCATTATCAAAAGAAATTGCTGCCGTTAAATATCAAGAATGTTCAGCATTAACGCAACGTGGACTTAAAACAGTGTTTGATGAAGCTATTCGTGCCGTTCTTTGTCCACGACCTAAACATAAATCACGAAAAGGATGTATAATTCTATAGAAGAATTAAGTATATAATAATTATGATGACAATTTTTTCCGTGATCATCTTGAACATCTTGGATAATAAATTAATCGAAAAAAAATCAATCAAGCATAAAAATCATCAAAATGAAAATATTAAAACTTTTTGTTTGTTGGAAAGAAGAATTCTGTTGTTCACAATTATTGTAATGTTTTTGTTTGCAAAATAATGAAAAAATAAAATAACATCCGTAATTGTTGAAATCGGTTTTTGTTGTTGTTGTTGAAAACCTCACTTCATTTTTATAGAAAACAAACAAACAAACAGATTGTTATTATAGAAATAATTATTTTCTATGTGTATTTTTATTTTCAATTTAGTACAAACAATCAGAAATTCAATGAGAATTATTATCATTAAAAAATGATAATAATTTTTGATTTATTGATTTATATTAGAATAATCGATTTGGATTTTCATTTGGTAATTGTTGATAATTATGGCCAAAGAATTCGGATGTTTTTATCTGTTAATTTTTTTATAAAACTTCAAAATCAATATGAAATTCATAATGAAAATTTGAATATAACGAAATTTAGTGATAAAAAACACCTGACCACAGGTAAAACCAAAATGATTATTTATCATTGTTTGAACAAATAATGTTAATTTTATCCAATATCGATTGTTATGTTGATTTTTTGAATGTTTTAATTTAATATTATTTAGTCGTCGTTGTGTTCGAGCTATACGTCGTAATATTGAACGAGCACATTTTTGATTACATGATGGTAGATGAGAAATACGTGAATAAAGTATATTAATTAAACAGAATGTTGACATCAATGATATTATTACAGATGTTGTAAATATACTCCATGATGATTGTTTTGTATAGAATATACAATTTGAAATAATTGAAGGTTTTGAAATAGCTTCTAAATAGAATAAAACAATACGAGCAGCACGATTTGTGTGTGCTGTTTCTGTATATAAAAAAACATATTCATAATGAAACCGTTTCCATTCATTCTGTTTGAATATATTTTTTTGAATAAATTTTTTATACAATTGTTCGATACGAACTTTTATATATTCGATTAAAAATACGAAAAAATTCAGTGCTATAAATAATTGGCCCAACATTTGAATAGCATGCATCATCCATATGAAAAACATTAAAGCACTAATGATTAATTGAATTAAATGAATCAATGATAAACGATAAAGTTCAAAACCATGATAAGCATACATTAAACAAACTAATAATAATTCTATCGATACAAATATGTAGATAAATCTTGCAATAGTGTCCGTAATTATATACATTTTACAAAGATATTTACGATTTTTTGGTTCGAATACTTTTTCTTCATCAAAATTTAATTTATCTACCATAAAATCCATAAATGGCCATCGATATTCAAATACATTCATAATTATTTGAGCCCAAAGACATTCAAGCATTATGAACGCAATGATCACTTGTAAATAAACAATATCAATACGTTGTGTATTGACCATTTGTTCAAAATCCATACGACTTATCATAAATGAATTATTTGGATAGAATACCATTATTGAAAGATAAAGTATAGCAAGCCATGCATTGATTGACATCCAAATAATACGTTTAAATGCTTGATATGTAAACGGAAGACGATGATAACGATAATCATCGATTGAAAATTCCAAACGATATGTATATTTTTTCCAATTTTCAAAACCTTGTAAAAATATATCCTTAATACAAATATTTTGATTTGATTGAAATATTTTTCTAATAAGTTCCATATCTATTTTCAATTATAATCGGCTGAAATTTTGTTAACAAAAAAAAATTTCTGATTTTTTTTCTATGAGATGAAACAAACAAATCACTGACACAAGAATTACAACGCTACAAAGAATAAATTGGATGAAACATAAAATGAATGAAATACTTGAAGGAAAATTTTGTTAATAATACTTTTTTTTCTGGAGAAGAAAACCTACAAAATAAAAAGATAAATCCATATTTATGACATTATTATTCAGTCAATTTTACAGATCAATATGGAGGGAAAAAAAGTTTTTTAAACTTTTTTTTTCGAAAAAAATTTCATAATTTAAGAATCCTTTTTCAGCAGAGAATTTCGAAAACTTTTTTTCACATTATAATGGTAACAATGACAACAATATTGGGTGAAGATTTTTTTTTATTGAATAAATTGAGAAAGAAAATTTCTATTTTTAAAGATATCATAAATTATTTATTATCAAATTAATCATTTCGGTAAAATCGATTATTTCACAATTTATTGATTATAATTTTGAAAATGAATAATAATAATAAATTAAAATAATGAATTTTTTTTTATTTATCAACCAATTTATTTTATATTCAAGGATAATTATCATTGTTTAAAATAAAATTTATAACAAGATCAATAAATTATCGATGTATACATTGTAAAGAAAAACTTTATAGTTATCGTATGTAAGTCACAATGATTTTTTAAAATTATAAATTTAGATTTTATATGATAAATTTTTTTTATAAAATTTTAAAACTAATGGAAAATTCATCATTAATAATTGAATATATTTAAAACGTGTAATGAAAAAAATTTGACCACATGAAAAACCAAAACGATTGATCGACATTGTTTGTAGGAATAGATTTTTACGTATTATATGTCGATAATTTTTGTTCGTAATTTCTTTAATCGATTTGGTCATTTGATTTGAACATTGTAAACGTGCAAATAAATTATAAAATAATCGTACACAACATTGATTATATGATGGTATGATTGAAACACGTGAATAAAGACAAGTTGTATATGTAAATGCTGATATTAATGCTAATATTATTGTTATATTTGCTATTTTCATATCGGTTTGTTGAATATAGAATACAAATGCTGTCATAATTGATGATTTGGATATCATTTCTAAATTAAATAATGTAATACGAACAGTTTGATTTAATCGTGATATATCATGAAATAATTCACAATAATCATTTACAAAACGTTTCCATAATGATCGACTAAAACGTATTGATCGTTGATTATTTGATTCGATGATTTTTGATAAATTATATAATCGTTTCATTCGTATACGACAAAATTCAATTAAAATTACAAGAAAATTGATTGAAAGAAATATTTGTCCCAACATACATGATAAATAAATCATTAACATTGCTGTTAATGGTATACTTAAAATTAATTGTAAAATATTAATATAATTATTCATTAAAAGTATAATTGAATAATAACTATAGATTATAAATACAATGATCAAAGCCATAATAACCATTAGATAAAAACAATTAGCCATTATATTTGTAATTGTATATAAATTGATAAGAAAACGTTGATGTTTTGGTCGTAATTTTTCAACAAGATTATCTTGTTCAATATGAAGATTATGTGCAAGAAAATCAACTAATGAACAACGATAATGTAGAACATTATTGAACAAATTAAACCACATCCATTCGACAAATAAACAACCAATCAATATATCAATAATTACTAGATTAAATCCATTGGATGAAATCATTTGTTCAATATATTTGAGACTGATTAGTTGACGACAATTAATTGTTAATGCAATTAGATACAAAATACAGATCCATGAATTAGTTGTGATCAATAATGGACGTTTAAATGTTCGATATTCATGTGATATATGATGATGAACATAATCAATTAATTTAAATTCCATACGAAAACTAAAAAATTTCCAATATCGAAATCCTTGTTCTAATATATCTTCCAAACGATGATATTGAAATTTTTTTGGCAACAATTTTTTTATAAACATTTTTTTCGTTTTCATTTTTGTTTTGTATTTTCAAACAAACAAACAATATTTTTTTTATTATTATGTTGAAATCACTAATTCGAATGAATATAATAAAAAAGATGAACACTGAATTTCGTTTGAAGAAAAGAATAAAAAAGAAATTCTGTGGAATTAAAAAGAATTTCTACAAACACACACCGGCATCGACTGAACACAAAACCACAAGGAAAATAAAGTTAATGAAATTTTTATAGATCTGACCTTTTTTTTGACATAAAAAAATAAAATAAATGAAATAAATCACAAAATAAACGGAAATATTTGTAATTTTTCTTCCTTCTTCGCTTTTTCGTTTGTTGATCATAAATATCGAAAAGCAATGACTGAAATGGCAGCAATCATTATAATGATAGTATGCGTGTGTGGGTCTTTTTTGACAGAATTGCTGATTTGCAGTGTGCTTTAAATAAAGCTTATTATTATTATTATGCGTGTGCTGGATTCGTTGTTGACAATCGATTTTCAAATTTTTAAAAACGGGTGCAAAAAAATGAAAGAATGAATGAATTTTTTCCACACTTCTTTTACTGCTTCGAAGTACGAAAAACAAAACGGTGGCAAAAAAACAATTATTATCGTCATTATAATTAATAGGAAATATATTCAAATTCAAATTTTTTTGTTAATAAAAAATTATTGATTCAAATCGTTGGAATTGAACTTTTTCTAAATAATAGACATTTTTTTATAACTTTGTCATTTACAATAGACTTGAAAACAAAGTAAAACGAAAATGATTATTTTTAGTTTTAAGATTTGATTGTCGTCAAGGTGAATATCATTCTTCGAACAAATCTTAGCCAGAAAAAGTAAATTTTGAATTTTTTTTTCGAAAATTGTTTTATAAATTCATCTGATAGATGGCTCCAAGATTGCTTTTTTTTCAAGCTAATTCCCAATTGGAATTCAAAGAAAAAAAAATCCTAATTGGCTTGGATGTTATTTTATTTTATTTAGTTGTTTACAGCGTCGTCGCATCTAATCTTGAAAATCTTGAATCAAAAGCATCCAATGCGGATGATAAAAAGTAAGAATATTTTTTTCTTTTTCTCACATTCAATTCAATATCATTTCGTTGTTGTGTCAAACACACGCACACACAATTTGTGAATTAAATTCATTTCCTTATGATCGAATTTTTAGTTTTTCATTTTTCATTGGTTTCGAAATCATTGATTTTGTTACATAAGAATCAGTTTTATTTTTTTGACTTCCTTTTCCAAATTGATGCTGTATGTGTTAACATCAATGTCACTGTGTTTTTTTTATTTGAAAATTTTTTTTGTTCAATCATGAACCGGATACAACATTAAAAAATCTATACTGTGAAATAGATTGAACAAGAAAAAAGAAAATCTTTCTTAATTCAATCCTTATATGATTGGTTATAATAATAACATCTCCTAAAATGTTGGCTTCACGGTCATAATTCTACATGATGGATGTTCTCTGTTTTCGTCCAGATTTGAAATCTTTTTTATTTCAGAAAAAATTAAATTGAATTTCAACAGTGAAAAAACTGGAATCAACTGTAAATTTGTTCAATAATTTTCAACAACAATAAGATCAACATTATGATGTCCGAATCGATAACAAATCAAAGAACTGATTTCAATACATTTATTCCGTTGCATCAACAAAAACCAAATAAAAAGGTATTACAAAATTATGAATAGATAAAGAAAATGAATAAGAAATTCAAATAACATACAATTTATCGATAACATTAACAATTTTTTTGAATCATGAATAAATTATGATCAAAGAATAAAAAAAATGCATGAAATTAATAGGAAAAAAGTCAATGTCAAATGTTTCAAACAAGAAACATTTGATTGATCATTTTTTTTTGATAATTAAATTGATCTTGTTAGCTAACCCAATCATGTATATTGACACAGAACATAAAGTTAATTCCATGAAATGGAAAAGAAAACTAAAAACCACAACAACGAGAAAAGTTTTGCAAACATTAAGTACATGTTATTTAGATGTACATTGTTTCCGGTCATTGTCAGTGTCAGTAGTATCATATTTCTAACCGGGCAAATATAACTCGAAAATTGATGGAAAAAATGATGAAATTTTTCTGTGGTTGTTGTTGTTGCTAGGCTCAAATAATTCAATAATTTAAGTAAATAAAATGCAAATCAAACATGAAAATGAAAATAAAAACCCAAAAATGGAAAATTTTTAATCAAATTATTAAAGTAAATAACATAAACTTTAATTGTGTTCTGTTTTGTTTGTTGGCAAAAAAAAACACGGTTCCAGATTCATCAAAATATGATGAGGATTACGAATTTTAAATCAAATAACTTTTAATTTCCAAAACAGAACATCGTTATTTACTTGTTTATGCCTTCCCGCAAATCATTATTTACATCATGAGCCCAAACAAAACAACAAGAAAAGAAAACATCGACGAAAAAAAATGAACAACAAAAAGTTTATACAAACTTTTTTCGACATAGTGATATTTTTACTTTTTATTTTCCGAAAAAAAATTTTCATTTGTGCAACCAACCAACTAGAAAAAAATTATTATCTTTATGTGTTTTGAATCTAATTTTATTAATGGATTTTTCTGATCATTTTCTGATTAATGATTTCATTTTTTTTTCATTTTTTCTCTCACACACACATCTCAATATTATTATTATTCATTTTGAACGAATAATTTCGATTGAAAAATGAACCATTTTTTTCTGTCGTGGTAAAAAAAAGCCTTCATTCTTTTTTGGTTCGAATAGTAATACCAGTAACGTAAAAACAGGTAATAAGAAAAAGAAACGGAAACCCGTTTGTACTTGTCATTTAGCATATGATAATTTGATGACAACAGCATCATCTTCAACAAATGATTTATCAACAAACGATCCATCCTATCATATGATGATGATGATGAATAATAATAATCATTATCATCAACCGACAACAACGAATCTTTATGGAAGTCAACCAATAATCAATTCAAATAATCATTATGATGATAATTTATCATTGAATCATTGTTCATCAACTCCACAACATCATTATTCATCAACAACAACGGACCGTTTTCAACATGCACCGTATCAATCTTTTGATGTAAGTGATGTGTGAGAGCAAGTGGAAACAAGTTTATTCATTCATTCACTCATTCATCCGAATTGTAAAATTGAAAAAATTAAATTTTAGAAAATTGAATTTTTCAATATTTTTTTTGAATTTGTGTGTGTTTACACGTGAAAATTGAATCGATCAATGTCAAAATTTGAAAAAACAAAAAAAAAATTTCTAAAGAATTTGCCTTCGATCATTATCGAGAATTCTAATAGATTCGGCATGGCCAAAGGAAAAATTTTCAAAATTTTGCAACACAAAAACCATAACAAAAACTTCAAACATTCATTCGATAGAATTCATTGATGAAACAAGAGATTTTTGTTCAAAATATAAGAAAATAATTCCCGAGAAATCCTGATAATATTTATGTGACAATAACTTTGTTTTTTTTTTTGTTTTCAACTGATGCCAAGGCTATTTTGAAATCAAATTGTACATTTCTGGAGAAGATTTCCCGACAATTTTATGTTGTTGTTTTTTTACAAGGTGATGGTAATACCTGCTTGAAACAGATGCTTGACATAGATATTCTTGTTTAATTAATCATAATGATTGTAGATTTTCAATTAAATGGTAGGCATTTTATTCTACTAAAAAGAAAATTTAGATTGTAATTGAATAAAATTATCAAAATGTGAACAACAACAACAAAGAAAATTTGAAAGAAAGGCACAAAAAAGGAAAACATTTGAAAGAATCTACCCAAACAATAGCGATAGAAACATCACTAATAAAACTTTGCAATTTTCATTTTAATCTCGTCTTTTCTCATTAATAATTTGTCGAATTGAATCTGTTTTCGTCAACTACTTTGTTTTATAGTTTATTTTGTCTCCAAAAAAGCAGAAAGTGTGTGTGTATTCTTTTTCTTTTCATTTATTTGGTGAACAAAACGTTGAATAAATTATATAAAATTTCCATTCGGGTATTCATGTTTGTCTCGACGTAGGTGTTGTGTGTGTTGAATGTGTGTGTGTGAGTTTTCATATCAATGTTTTTTTCATTTCTAAATCTCATTTACCCAAATTCATTAAGCTAATTTTTTATTCTTTTTTGGTTTTTTCTCTCTCCATTTTTTTGTGGCTGAAATTGGATTCTTTCTTTTTATACTTTAAATTATCTGGAATTACAATAGAATCAAGTGCCTGTTTTTGAACATGAATCTACGAATGATAATAATGATCAACGTACGAATCTATTCTATACACAACATTATCAACAACAACAACAACAGCAAACTGAACAAAATTCATTAATGAATCCATCAACAATGATGATGATGATAAGCTCTGGGCCATTATCAAATAATGATGGTGATAATCAACAAAACAATCATTATAATCATCAATATCAACAACATCATCAACAATATCATCAACAAAATCAATCTGGTAATAATAATGGTTATTGTAATTATAATTATTCGCCTGATTTAACTGAACATCGACGAAGATATTATTCACCGCAATTACAATTATCATCGACAGAACAATCAATGTTAAACGATAGATCATTATCGATTGTAGCTAATGAACAGCAACAACAACGACAACGTCGTTGGTCGGAGGATAATAATTATCACCAAAATCAAATTAATCATCATGAATATCAAAATATTGATCCAACACATCATATTATTGATAATCAATCGACGGTCATGCGATGTCAATGTGATCATTGTTATTATAGCCAATCAAATCAAAATAATTATTTAAATATAAAACAACAACAACAACAACAGCCATCATCATCATCATCAAAACCTCGTGTATCTTTTGGACCATCATTGATGTATCAAATGGATAACCAACAACAACAACAATCACATCCATTATTATTTGATCCAATGTATGAATATGAACAGCAACAAAAACAACAAAAATTACAGAAAAAACAACAACGTAATAAAAGTTCTAGATTAACAACTGAATTATTACCATTAGATACACAGATACCATTACAAATGATGGGTGATTCGGCATTAATATGTCGAATACAATAAATAAACAAAAATAACCAAAACAAAACAAACATAAGAAAAGAAATTACGTTTTTTTTCTGTTTTCCCTGCATAATTATCAATTATAAATGTCAATTATATGTATTCTGTAAATCTAATTATATCATAGATACAAAAGAGAAAAAGAAAAAATAACAATAAAATTAAATAATGCAGCAAAAATCCAAAAACCATTGGCATATTGTTCCAAACCAAATCAAACAAAAAAAAAATATCTGTTTTTGTCGATGTTCAGAAATAAATGTCAATATTTCTTTTCCATATTCTATTTTTTTCTGCTAAATCATCATATTTTTGAATGTTTTATGGAATAAAAAAAAGTGATTGAATTTTGATTTGATTATGATAAATATATATAAGGATACGTTAATATTTATCCTTTTGCAGCTACGGTAACTTGTTGTCAAGCCATGAAAAACTTCCACGTAGACAATCAAGGATTCACACATCCTTACAAATAATTTTTTTTTGTTTCTTTGTGAAAATAAATGATGATGATAGAAAGATAAGATAGGATAGGATTTCAGTCATCAATATTTATCCATGTATTTTTGGGCGATTTGATCACTAAAATAAACATTATTATCTTCATCAATTTTATTATTGTAAGATTTTTATCAGAAAAAAATTTGAAGAATTTACTTTTTTTAGAAATTTTAACATTTTTATTCATTTTGTTTTGTTGATTATTTGTTTATCAAAAAAATATAAAAACGGCTTGATGTTATAAAGTAAAACCCATAAGCCTAAGCTTGTATTTTTTTGAAGTTTCAAAAACTTAAAGTCATTTCTTTTAACCCATTTTTTTGTGTTTGTGAAATTCATTGAAAATTCATTATTGATAATGATAATGTGCGGAAAACGTCAAGAACAAATTGGCCAAATTCGTTTGTCAATTATTGAACAATGTCGAAAACAACCAGAATTATATGATTCAAATGATATTGAAAGGCTTAAAAATGAAGATTGGATTATTGAAGAATTTTTACGTTATGATGATTGGATGGAAAATGTTAAAATAATAATCGATGGTCTAATATTTCGTAAAGAATATGATCTATCACGATTGAAAGAAAAAGATTTTCCATTAGAATTTTTTCAAATTGGTTTTGCCCATTATAATGGTAAAAAAGATTTGGATGGCAATGATTTATTGTTTATTCGGGCAAATTGTCATAAAAAAATTCAATTAATTAAAAAATTAACATACCAATTTTATATATTTCAAATGGAACAAGTAGCTAATCAAAGCCGTGGTAATGGTATAACAATAGTTATTGATCTAAATAATTTTGGTTTTGCTAATATTGATTTGGATTTACTATTTTGGACTGCAAAATTATATAATAGATATTGTCCAATATCATTGAAACATATCATATTATATAATATGCCGAGATTTGTAAGACCATTATATAATAGATTTAAAAGTTTATTACCAACAGAATTTCAACAACGTTTAAAATTTTGTAATGATGATGAAATATTTGAATATATTGAACGAAAAAATTTACCAATCTATCCTGGCGGTACTTTTCATCATTATGATACCAATGATAATGAACAAAATAATTTATACGATAAATGACAATCGATGATTGATAATGGTCATAATCATGGCTGGAATGATGATGATATTGACCAAATATTATTAAAGCTAATTAAACCGAATCTTGTTTGAAGATAACAAAAACAAAAACAAAACAAAACATGTTTGAAATCATAGAATCGTACAAATGAATTGTCTTTTCATTCATTCAATTTATTTGTTAATATCTTTATATATATTTTTTCTGATCATAATTACAAATACGAATAATATATGAAAAATGATATTATAGATTTCCGATCGAAATCTTCTTTTTTTTTCTATTTTGTTGTTGTTATTATCGTTAATTCTTTGCTTTGCTTCAATTCATTTTCTCATATATGATGTATAATAAAATAAAATTTTTGTTTTGTTTTTCCGTTTTACTTTTGTTTCTTTTCTATTTGATGATGAAAAATGATGAAAATACAATTAGTATCCGAAAAGAATTAAGGCGGAAATGATTTCCACAAAACAAAACAAAAACAAAAACCGTTAAAATATCAGCATCATCAACAAGAACATTAACCATATTGAATAAATGGAAAATTTGCTTGAAAAAAAAAACATTGAATCGATATCTTTGTTTGCAACATCATCTTCCCATTGGGTTTTGAATGAATTTTTTTCGGTTGTTCTTCTTTTTTTTTAGTTATTTCAATACAATCGATTCGATTTTGAAAATAGTTTCAATAAAAAGAAAAGAAAGAAAAGAATCTAGCAGAATGATTCTCTTGATAATATTGATTTAATAATAATAATATTCCCTATTCACCAAAACACAAGAACAACAAGATTTATTTTTGGTTTCTTTTTTTTTGTTATTTTTTCGAGTTTCTCAAGAAAAAAAAGCATAAATAGATAAGCTTCATAGGCGCATTCAATGAGATAATATTTGTCTGGGAAAAAAAAATTTAGCATCATTTTCTTGGAAATCGTTTTGTTTTGATGTTTGTTTATTTATTTTTTATGATCATATTATAATCATCATCGATATTTAGCCATTGATTTGATTGATTTTTTAAAGGATAATAGTCGCAAGATGAAATCATAAAAAAATCAACAAAATTTTGCCTAGATCAACATAAAATGATTTAGCGGTGACACAATTCGATTGGGTTGAATTGTTTATGGATTTGTTGTTTTGATGATTTCCATCATGTCATAATGATCACTATGATAATGATTCTGGAGATTTTCGAATCATTTTAATTTTCATATAATTTTATAAATATCAATATCAAATTGTAAGCAAGCAAACAAACAAACAAACATTAATTTATATTCCATTTCGACAACAGCAAAAAAGATGATCCAATCGCTACATCATTATCATTTTTGGACCAAAAAAAAAATGAAGGATTTTTCGCTCAAACACACAGTCATTAACATTTATTTATCGATTTATATGAGAGAAAGAGAAAAATCAATTTCAAAGAGAAAACAAAAAACATTTTTTCTGATTTTGTTCGTTGTTGTTGTTGTCTTATAGTTTTTCTCATTTCACTGACTGTGTAAATGATAACCAAAAATAATCAATGGATTGATTCTTGGTCGGAGAAAAATCATAGCAAACAAATCAAAAGAAAAGGGGAAGGAAAAAATGAATGAAAATAAAAACAACAACTTTATCGACTTAATCTTGTTTTGTTTGGTCGATTTGGTTCCAAACAATTTTATTTGATCTGTTGACCTCAACCCGAAAAACAAAATTTTCGAATAAAAAAAAATTATAATATTATAAATGATGATGATGTCTGTTATATGGAAAACAAAACAAAAAAAAAATCAATCGAAACTAATAAAAAGTTTTTTTTGTTTTGTTTTCGAATCAAATTACTATTTCTGAAAAAGGTAAATCAATCAATCATATTTGAAATTTAAAATTTTTCTCATCATTTTCAATGAATAACAAAAAAAACCATATCAATTTATTGATTTTGTTTTGTTTTTTTTTTCTGAGAAAAAATAAATGATATTTTCTTTTCAACTTAGACAATAAAAAAAAGAAAAAGAAAAGAATTCGTTTCCATAATTTTTCAAAATTTTCAAAATTGTTTCACTATAGTAAATCGAATGATGAATTGCCAGCAAAACAAATAAAAAATATCTTTAGTTTTTCATGTTCCAAATAATTTTCATCAGATAAATTACATTAGAATAAAAGTTTTTATATGTTCCAAATTTAAATCGATATATGTTAACAGGGAAAAAGTTTTATTTTTGTCAATACCTAATGGGTTATGTTGACAACTGCAGAAGAATTGTTTTTTTTCCATAAAAAGCAATTCATTTGACAATTGAAAATCATTTGGTGTATATACACAGATACACACAATATTGATTAAGAAAATACAATCATTGAATAGTGTTTGTTTGTTTATTTTTTGTTGATTTTGATATTCAACATTAGAATCAAATATGGAAATTTTCAACGATAAAAATCAACACGATAATAATATGGAAATAAATGAAATATTTCATCAAGGATTTAATTATTGGAAACGTTATAGTTTTTGTTTCGATTATACAATCAATGATTATCGATGGAATAAGATAAAAATAACATTTCATACATTTGTACGTATTATTTTGCTTAAATTTCAAGCATGTTTAGCCATTATGTATGGATTAGTATTTGTTGCATTTCCCGATAATGATTTATTAATTGATATTAAAGATATTGAAAATATAATGAATTGTAATGGATTGTCAATATTGTTTATACAAATGATTACATTTTTTGTTATTTATGAATGGACATGGCTAAATTTATTCATTGATATTCTACATAATCGTTCATCAATTAATGAATTTTTTCAAAAAAATTGGCATTATAATGATCGACAACATTTTAATTCTGATGAACGTATAAAATTGATTAAATCTTATCAAAAATCAGATCGTTTAACAACAATTATCCATCATAATATAATTTTATCATTTATTATATTACTTTTAATACAAGTGTTTCATCTATTATTATACTATATTGATGGTCGTATTAATCTAATTGGAATCATGATTATTTTGCCATTGGTAACAATGGCTACTATACAGGCATCATTAGTTATTGGTCATCTATTATTTTCAATCAATTTTCTTGTATTTTTATTGAAATTTTTTAAGATTCGAATACAAAAACTTTTTCATTTATCACAAACAATATCAAATAAATCTTCTAAAACACAAAAACTATTCTGGAATTATTTTCATAGACAATATGTTGAACTTTATAGTGAGATTGTACGATTAAATCGTACAGTAAAAATTATTATATTCGATATGGAAATAAATTCAAAATTAGCATTAATTTTCGCATGTGTATTTTTAAGTCGACAAACCTATCTAAATTTATTCAGTATCTCAGTCATAATGACTATATTTTCAAGATTTATATTAACAATAATGTTTTATGAATTTTCATCACGTTTACCATCATATAATCAACTTTGTTGTCAATCAATTATAAAAGGATTATCTCGATCACAATTTTCAATGTCGAATCGATTTTTTGATCAACATTTTAAACGAAATCAAAAAACCAAGGATTCTGTTCGTAAAAATCTATTTGTACAAACAATGTCAGCAAATAAATTTGGTTTTACTTGTGGACAATTGTTTTTCATAACCAAATACAAATATATTCAGCTATTAATTATGAATTTTCATTTAATGATAAAATTTTATAAAAAATTATGTCTTTCATCATCGACCAAATCTTTTGGTTTGCCACAATAGATATAAAACATTGGATAGATGATTAATTGATCATCTTCACATAAAAATCACATGCATAATGATTATCATAAGAATTCAAATTCGTTGAAAATATCACTTTCACTGTCTGGATCATTAAAAATTCATTTTTTCCCAATTGTTAGCCATTTCAAGGTCAAATTCCAGCCTCTGACGGAAAAGAATGATAATCTGTAAACAACTCAACAATTGTATATGATCGATATTTACATCAAAAAAAAAATGTACATTTTATGGTCTCATTTTTGACAAAAAACAAATCAAACCAAACAAAACAAAAATTTTGTTTTTCATTCACAAAAAAAAGAAAGAAAAATTCTAGTACAAATAACATTTTCATGTGAATGAAGTAACAACAACAACAACAGAAAAAAATGGAACAAATTTTTCAACAAAGTTTTGAACGATGGAAATATTTTACATTACATATGGATTATACAATTGTTGATTATCAATTTCAACGAATACCGTATTCATATCGAACATTTCATCGAACAATTTGGTTTAAATTCAATGCAATCATACAATCGATCTTTTTAATTATTGAAATTTTTAAATTTCCTAATAATTTATTCATTAGTCTTGATGATATTGGTCGTATTGTTAATGCAGATCGTATTGATTTATTATCAACGGAAATGTTAATTATATTCTGTATATTTGAAATAATATGGTTTGAATTATACAATTCGGTAATGAATTATCATTCATCAATTGATAATTTATTTGTTCGGTATTTAATTAAAAATTATAATTATAATCAAATGATTAATCAACAATCACAATCAAATTTAAAACGTTTTTATCTGGTTTTAAATTCAATTGCTCATTGTTTATATCGAACATCAACAATTATCATATTTTTGATTTTAATTTTTTTTACTTTGATGACATTATCAGAATATTTACAAGGAAAATTTACCTTAATACAGACAATATTAACAATATTAATGAATTTTTCATTAGTTACTCAATTATTTATTGTTATTGGTCAACTTTTAATGACTGTAAATTTTACTATATTCATAATTGAATTATATCGGACAATTTTTAATCAATTTATACAAACAGCATTAAATCAATTGAATAAAAAATTGAAAAGTTTCAAACAAAATCGATTATGGAAATGTTTTCGTAAAAATTACGTTGAATTTTATGATGAAACAACCAAATTAAATGGTTCAATCAGTGTTATATCATTTCAATTAGAAATGGTATCGAAAACATCAATAATAACATCATGTATGTTTTATGGTCAACAAGATCATACAACATTTTATAATTTAGTTGCTATTATGGTATTAATGTCAATATTTGTATTAACTACCGGTATCTATAATCGTATTTCATATCTACCATCATGTAATCAACGTTGTTGTCGTTATTTATTAAGCTGGATTGTACGTACCCATTTGAAACGAAAATTATATCGTTTTAAAAAACAGCAAAAAATTTCACGTAATTCTATTGAATTAAATTTATCAATACAAACAATGAATGAAAATAATTTCGGTTTTTATTGTGGACGAATGTTTTTCATTACAAAATATAAATATATTGAATTATTATTAATGAATATACCGTTAGTATTATTATTTTATAAAAAAATTTGCATGATTAAAATTTGAAGAAAAAAAAATTTATGAATTTTACCTTCCCTATAAACAACAAATTATTTATTCATGTTTACATTAAAATTATGATGAAAATATTTGTCTGCATTATAACGGCGGTGGCGGAAATATAATCTTTTATTTTCAACATAAATAACATTTCTGGTTTTCATTTAAATTTTCATTTTATTCTTTTAATTCATTAAATGATTTTAAAATATAATTTTTGTTGTTGTTAAACGCCATCTTAGGCCTAAATGTTGAAACATGATTATTCAAAAAAAAAAAGAAAAGAAAAATAATTAGAAAAACGGAAATGAAAAACAAAAATTCATTTTTGTTGTTGTTCGGTTTTGTTTTCACAGCCATCATCATCATATGATATGGATGTCAGATCAACCGTGAAGCTGAAATAAATAATTTTTTTTTTGGATTCATTTTAAAATCAAAGTGATTCAAACATTGAATTTGATTGAATGATTTTGGTTTTTTTTTGCTTAGAAACACGATAAAAATTTGAAAACCATATTTAACAAAACGACAAGGAGAAAATTGAAAATCATTTTTTTCAAAAAAAACTAAATCACATCAGATAAATGAATTGTTGACATACAGTTTTCGTTGAAGTGACTGATCCACCTGACATCGAAGGTAAATAAAAGCAAAAAAACAATGAAAATTACCTTGCCATTGAATATTCATTTTGTTTGTTGAAATAGTTATGGTTGAATGGAATCGATGAAATTCTAAACCTTTTTTTTGTTGTGTTGTTGATCTAATCAGAATCGTTGAATGCAGGAGAATGTAGAAAAAACGCAATTAATCTGAAAATTTTTTTTTTTTAAATCAATCAGAAGTTCTTTGAATACAGGCTTTAAATATGGCCAAATAAAATTCCAATCAAACTGATGATTTTTTTGTTGTTGTTGAATGAATTGAATTTTTGAAGAAAATCGTGACAATGTCAATGATATGGTAATATCATGTCCATCGTCATTTTATTATTATTAAATCCATTCATTCAAGATGAAGGTCTTTGATCATTTGGTTCAATGTTGTTATTGATTTTCATATACAACTAATATCATAATTCGGATTAAATCTTTTCAACTTTCTATCTACCTTTTTTTCCAAACAAATTCATTGAAAATATTTTTGTGTTAATGTGGTAAATGTGAGAAAAAAAATTCAAAAATTGATCAAGTTGAACGAGATATATCGATTTTTATCGATATTTTTTTTTTGCTGTTCAGAAAAATTTATTCAAATTCGATTCTGATCTTGTTCGATGTTAATCGTATCTCCAGAAGAACAAAAAAAAATTCCACTTTTTCTTTCAATATTAAAATTTGTTAAAAATGAATCGTTCATCATTTAATTGGACCATCCATTCGAATGTAAGTCTAAATTAAAATAAATAATTCTTTTCGGAAAAAAACAAATTGATTAGATTGGTTATCATTGATTGATAGTGTGGTGATGTAAATCATTTATGCAGTATTAGTAATCAATGTAATTTTACACGCACCGTACTCGAATGCATTGATGATGATGGTTTTATCAATTATATTCAATTAACATATTGTTCCATTGAATCCGAATCATTCAGTACAATTTTGTTGTTATTTTTATTGATCATGTTATTTTTTGCCATCGGTACGAATGCAGATGATTTGTAAGTGTTTTTTTTTCAATAAATTCGATTTAAAAACAATCGATAGTGAAAAGAATAAATCGATATTTTCGTTCATCTTTTTTTCAGTCTTTGTCCATTATTAATTTCTATTTCGAAATCATTAAAATTATCTGATAATATTGCGGTATGTTTGTTTATTAGAATCAACAACAACAACAACAAAATTGAACGGAAAATAATAAATTTGTTTGTTTGTTTTTGGGTTGATTCAAATTCTATAAATATAGGGTGTTACATTTCTTGCATTCGGTAATGGTGCACCGGATATATTTTCATCGATTATTGGCATAACAAATGCCAATCCAAATCTTGTCATTGGACAATTATACGGGGCAGGAATATTCGTTACAACCGTTGTTGTTGGAAGTATTTTGCTACAAAAACAATTCGAAATAATGAAACGACCATTGTTAAGAGATATTTCATTTTATATAATTACAACAACATTAGTTTGGACAACATTTTTAACAAGAAAAATTCTTCTTTCTCATTCAATCATTTTTATCATTACATATTTGATCTATGTAACTGTTGTTATTGTATCCGGTTATATTTATAAACGTCGACAACAATCATTAATGGCGGCTGTACATACAAATCATGCAATCGAATATCATGGTGTAAAAATGCCAAGAGAAAATCTTCATCGACAATGTAAATATGTTGTGAACAATTGTTCAACAACATCAACTGAATCAATACCGAATTCAACAATTTCCAAAAAGAATGCTGTCGATGCTGATGAAGGCGTTGTTCTAAGACGTATGTCGTACGTCATTCAAAGACCACACTTGATTGTTGAATTTAAATCAAATTTTTTCATTCTTTGTCATTCTGTTTGCAATAACCGAATTTTATAGGTATCAAACATCGACAATATTGTCAGGATCCAACGCAACAAAGACGTTTAACATTATATCATATATGTTCGGATTCTTTGATGACGACACAAGGATTGCAACCAAAACATTCGAATGGAAATATTTTTTCAATTACAATTAATAATAACAACGATAATGATTCGAACAATAACAATATTGGAATCGATGCGGATAAATCGATAATTGATGAAAATCATCTCCATGTGCGAAAAGATGATGATGATGAAATCAACAACAAATCGATTCTTTATCATAATCATAGACGTAAGAATCATTCTTTGAATCTTTGTTTTTTTTAATTCCTTTTAAAAAAAATTCATTGTTTCACATCAAATAGGATTAACAATATCTGATACAAGTTTTGCTATGCGAAATTCATCAATTCCATTGGCAAATAATGGAGAGGGAAAAAATTTGGCTAAAATTATGAAAGAAATTATTCTTTGCAATAAAGATAAAATCGAAAAAGACGATATAAAACAAACATCTATGATGACAAAAATTATGGCCGCAGCACGATTTGATGGTAAAATTTTTCAAGAATCAAATTTATTAACAAAAATCAATATGATTGCTAAGGTTTTTCAAATGGGTTTTTCTTTCAATCAATCAAGTTTTAAACTATTTTTCACAATTTTATAGGCACCAATTTATCTGATCTATACAATTTCCATACCTGTGGTTGATAATGATCTACCAAAACGTGGCTGGATTCGTGAATTAAATCTTGCACATTTAATCATATCACCACAAGTTTGTCTGTTATTAATTCAATGTAAGCGTATTTGAATTCATTTTTCGATTATTATTATTATTATTGGAATTATCGAAAATATTCATTTGTGAAACAGTAAAATTTATCGAACCATATCAATTACATTTGATTGTTTTGGCCATTTCATCAATCATATTCATTTTGGTTTTGTTGACTAGTCAAACTGATAAACCACCACATTATCATATTTTATTTGCATATTTTGGGTCTGTATAATTAGTTAAATTTTATTGACCAAAAAGAAAAATCTAATGTTTTTTTTTTTAAAAAAATTTCATTTATTGATAAACTTTTAAAATAGATTCATTATTTCGATTTCATGGATCTATGCAATTGCTAATGAAGTGGTTAATATATTGGATGCTGTACGTGTCATATTTAATCTAAGTAAATTTATGATCGGTCTTACTATTGGTGCATGGGGTAATAGTATTGGTGATTTTCTATCCAATTTATCAATGGCTAAAAATGGTTTTCCAAGAATGGCCATATCAGCATGTTTTGGTGGACCAGTTTTAAGTAAGTGTGTAAGAAAAAATTTGTTTGTTTTTGGATTGAAAATTTGTTTTCTTTCCATTATCATAGACATGTTACTTGGAATTGGTATTCCATATACGATATTATTCATACGACAACAAACGTCTGAGATTGAGGTAATCTAATGAGAAAACAATTTTGATTTTTCCTGAATTTTTAATTTATTATTTTGTTTTGTTGTTTTTTTTCAATTATTGCGTCCGGAAATTGATTCAAACATCATAGATTGAATATAATAATATGATCACTGTATTGTATGTAACGATAACTTTATCATTGGTAACAACCATGACTATTTTATTAATATTTACAAAATTTCAATCATCACGATTACATGGTTTTATTCTGTACGGAATTTATGGTTGTTTTATAATAATGGCTATTATTACGGAAATGAAATTGATTTAGACAAGTGATAACAACAAATGTAAACAACAAACATTTCATTTCATTTCATGTTGCATTTTTTAATCTTCTGAATTATTATAATTTTTAAAAAAAGAATCAAACTTTTTTGGCGATAATGTTGTTGTTTTTTTTTGGGGAGAAATAATAAATTTTTTTGAGAAAGCTATGGTTTGATATTGTCAATTCAATAAAATCAAATGGTAAATAGAATGATTGAGGAATGTAAAAATAATCACAGACAGGATGAGTTTTTTTCTTATTACATTCTATCTTTTTGTTATTGTTGTTGTTGAAACGAACCAAATTCGTGAAAAGTCACGTAATGATAATGTCAATCACACAAACATTGATCTGAAAACAAAGAGAAAACATTGAAAAAAATCGGACATTCCATTCCATCGGATATCATCTTGATTCTTGCATTTTCTACGAAAAGAAATGCAACAAAAAATTTAAATTCTTTCGAATTCAAATTTGAAAATCAATTGAATTTTCATCAAAATTGTATATTTATTAATAATTTCAAAATTCATTTTTTGCCCCATTCAAATTTGAAATGATAATGTTTGTCTCGTAGATAGTCTTGGACCAAAATATCGATTTCAAAATTCTTTACATTTTTTGTTTTTGTTTGTTATACATCTGTCATTTCAAAATTTTTGTTTGGACAGTTTTTTTCTTGTTTTGTGATATAATAATGGACATAATAATGGATGTTGCTTTTAGAAGAAATGATGCTTAACAATATAAACATCATGTTGACATTAAAAAAACAAAACAACAACAACAAAAAAACAAAGTTCTGTTGAAAAAATAAATAAATGAAAAAAACATTTTACATTTATGTATTCAATGAATGAAAATAGAATGGTGAAACTTTTTTCTTGAAGAAAATAGTCCAAGAATTTTATCGAAATTCGAAAGATGAAGAAAATGTTTTCAATCTTTTATTTTTTTTTTTGAAAAAAATTATGATTGTTGTTCGACTAAGGTCTTATGATGATCATTAAGTTTCAATTACATAATAATAATAATGATGATGAGGATGATGATAATGGAATTTCGATCGATTTAGATCTGAATAAGATTTAATAATGATAGCAAATGAAATATTTTTCAAAAAAAATTATTATCATTTGTTAATAATACTGAAAAGATTTGGAGACAATTTTTTTCCAGATTCAGGCAAAAGATGTTCATTATATTTATTTATTTCATTTTGTTGACTTTGATTGATTCTAAGGTTGTTGTTGTTGTAATACAGATTCTTGATTGGTGGTATCACGTTTTTTCCAACGTTTTATTTGTCGAATAAAAAAACCACCAACCAAAATGATAAGACAAATTGCAGCCATTGTTGATATCAATATTGAAAAATATTGTACATAATGTTCATCACGTAAATTTGTTGGTGGAAATTGCCAAATAGCAATAGCCATTATGATTATAATAATTATAATGATCACCAATGACCATATACAATTATGTCGTCGTTGTTGTTGTAATATTCTTTGTTGAAGAAGAATTTGTTCTTTTTTCTGATGAAATTGTGCTTGATATGGATGTATAGATCGATCATCATCATCATCATTATCATCATCATTGTTGTTGTTGTTGTTTTTTATATGATGACATCCATTTGTAACACGACGATATTCATCCAAATAGGCACGATCAGCTTCATTCAATGTATCCGATGTTGAAAATTTCAATTTCGATGTTATCGAACTTAATGTCAATGCCATTTTTATAATCGTAAATAATTGAAAATTATGACAAAATTTCTGTAATTTCAAAAAATAAAGATGAATTCAATTTGAATCGAATTTGATGAAAATAAACGATGCAGAACAATAATAATAATGACAATAACTTTGTTTTAAATCTATTTTGTTTTGTTTTTTTCTTGACTTTTTAACTTTTATTTTGTTTTCAATTAGTAAACAAGAGTGAATACAATATTGTTAGAATTAATGGCAGATATCCAACAAAAAAAAAAGATCTGTGTTGTCATGGATTCACACTCATGGATTTAAGCTCATTGTGCAATTAAAATGAAATAATAAAAATAATAAACTGCAATAATACTTGCTATTACAAACAAACTACAGTAATGATGTACAAGTATTTTCAGAAGAAAAATCTTCAACAATAACAACTAAAATTGTTTATGCAATCAAATGAAGAAAAAACAACAAGAAAATTTTCAAAGATCTTTCGATTCGATTTGATTGAATCCAAAAATCCATATGTATCTGCTCTGAATGCTACTACATTTATAAATGAAGAGCCATCGAATTTCACAAAAAAATGGACACCGATCCATCAGGATCTATTTTTTCCAAATGACATAACAATTTCTTATTTGTTTGTTTTCATTATTAATTCGGTAAAATGTAAATGTTTGTCTGATAAATGTCATGATGAATGAATGTTTTCTGATAAAAATTCCTTATCCGAACAAATAAACTAAATGAATAAATTGATGAATGGTCAACATTATCCAATTAGATTGATCATTTTTATTGGTTCTAGTTTTTTTTGATACAATTTTTATTAACTTTAGTTTAATTTCTTTTTACATTTATTTAGTATTTGCATTGAATAAGTTCATAAATGTTTTCATTCTAACGAAATTTTCAAAATGTATACAAAACGCAAAAAAAATTGAAACCGGTTGATTAATGACATCTTGTGGTGATCAATCGAATCGTTGATAATTTTGTGATAATGGAAATCGTTGCTGTAGTGCTATCATCTGTTGTCGACTATCGTCATCATTATCATCATTATTGATCATCGATAATGATCGTTGAATTTTTTTCTTACCAAAATGTCCATATGAATGACTTCGTGCCAATGCTAATAATCCAAGAACGAAATTGGCAATACCAATTAAATGCATTAAAGATTCGAAATGGATTATTTTACGATTAATTAGTGCACCACCAAACAATGGACCAAAAGCATAGGCAGCGGAAGATGCTGTTTGTGATGCGGTATAAACATAACCATATTGTGCGGCAAATTGTTCATCAACTAATTCGGCTAACATTGGCCATAATGTTGAATCGATAGTGCCGATACCAAGACCAATACCAAAATGTGGTAATGCTAAATATAATAGATTAGGAATCAATGGAACCATAAATGCGCTGATTCCTATGGTCCACAAGGCAACGATAACTAATAACCATCTTTTTTTTGATCGAGAAATTTTTAAATAAACAAAAAATTGCGATACATTTGCTTACCTGTATTCAATTGATATTTCAAACAAAGTAAATAAATTTGTACCAATCAGATATCCAACACTATCCGGTATGAATACAACTCCTAATTTCCATTTAGGTGGTCGTATCTCTTTGATTAACCATATCGGAAGAAATGATTCTAACAATGACATGGTTACTGTTGATATTGATATGATAACTGTAAAAAAAACAATTCAAAGTATTTAAAATAAAGAAATTCATTTTCACAACAAACCGATAAACAATATGACACGAGAATTTGTAATTATGTCGATTGTTTTTGAATCATAATGTGTGGGAGCGTTTGTCGGTGACCAATTTATCGTGATCAATTGAGCGACTTGAATTTTTCAAAAAGAAAAAAAATTGATTCAATGGAAATTAATGATTAAATATCACATACTCAGTAATAATAAAATGGACACTACTATGATACCGAAAAGCGTTGTTTTACCAAACCATTGATAGAAAAAACTTCCGAATGGATAGCCAATTAGAACACCAGTAGCCATACCACTAAGACAGAAACCAATCTGTCCAATACGTGATTCTTCATCACGTATCATATTGGCCACCATTGACATGCCCGATATATTAATCATTGATGAAGCGATACCTTGCATTGCACGTGGTATCAATAACATTATAAATGATTGGCCAATCAGATATACTGCAAGGTTGTAAATAAAATAAAAAATCTCAAAACAACAACAAAAAATATAATGCATACACAAACAAGAATTGAATAAAACTGCCACTCCCAGTATCAATGTCAATTCATAGCCAAGTTGATTTATAATTGGTGATACTAATGGATTGAATACAAGTTGTACAAATGCTTTTGATGATAATATCGTTCCTATTTGACCATTTTCGGTATTAAATGTTTTTGGATCATAATGATTAAGAATGGCCATCGAACGTCCATTTATACCAAAATGATGATCAATAATATAATGGTTAAATGAATGATTCGAATGATTGATAGCTTTATTGAAATCATTTTCATTCCATTCAGAATGTTGTAGCTGCTGCTCATGAATTCCGACAAGAAAATCTGGAATAACTGGAACTTGATACCAAAAAAATTTTAATTGAATTCATTTCGAAATATTTAAAATGAACACATTCATACCAACAACAGTCAATAATAAATTATCCAATAGAATGGAAAAATATACCAATAAAACATGAAAACGTTGTGAACCTTGTGCATGTTCAATTTGTCCAGAAAATTTACGAAAAATGTTCATCAAAAATAACATCTTAAATGAAAAGAAAAAATCTTATGAAAAACTATGGAAACCAATAACAATAACATTCGATAACCAACGAACGGAACTCAATTTATCAATGAGGAAAAAAAATTCCAAATTCTTTGTGGTTTGGATTAATAACATTGAATGGAAAATATAATTCGTGTTCTATCATCACCATCATTATTATGATGATGTAAAAAAATAATCATATTTTTTTCATAAATGTTTACATAAAGGATTTTTTATTCTATTATAATTTATCCAACATTGGAGAAAAAAACATTTTGTATTATACATGTTGAGTAACGTAAGGATAAATACCGTTATGATGATGATGATGATGGTAATGATTATGATAATGATTATCACATCCAAAATTATTATTATTATTATTATGATTATTTATTGCACCAAAGTAGAAGTTTTAAATTGTCGCCAATCATCTGTTTCGGTATCAATATCTTGACGATAATTTGGATTTTGTAGTTCTAATTTTAATTCTTTTTTTACTGGACGTTCAATATGGCCATCATTTGTTGGTGATATTGTTCGTACTAAATCACGTTTCAATGCCCATTGTTTTGGTGTTGTTGATGCCAATAATTCGAATATAATCAGACCGATTAGATTTAATATGGCTGTTATGTAGAATACGATAACCCAATTGGCTTTTAAATCCTTTATATTTTGTGATTTAAGTTATCAAAAAAAAAAATTACAATTATAAAAATCAATTATATCAGATACATACCGATTGATTAACAAGTTCACAACGTATTAACGGTGCCAATGCACGTGCCAATGAATCAAATGTAATTGTTATCCCGTAAACAGTACCAGAATAATAGCCAGCAAATTCATTGATCATTGGATATTCACCAACTGATGTAAAACCTTGTGTAATCATATTGATGATGATAAATATCTCTAATAAATAGAGATTGCATTCATTATTTGCAATTGCAAACATGGTTACCGATGAACCAATAAATACTGAAAAAATTAACACAAAAAATTGAATATAAAATAATTGAAAATCACGAATTCATCATACACACCAATAGCTTGAAATAATTTCCGTAATCTTGTATGAGAAAGTTTTGTCCAATTATCTAATCTGGCAAATAAAAACGCAGAAAATATGAATACAATAACGGTTACTGTATAGATGAGTGCAATATGTTCGGATGCTTTAAGCATATTAAAATTAAATATTTTATTCAGAAATGATGGTCCATTATCAATAATAATAGCATGATTAAATGACCAACAAAGTTTTGCCATTATCGATGCATATAATGCTTTTGTTTTAAGAATTTGTTGCCATGGTACTGTACGTAAATTCTATTCGATAAAAAAAATGAACAATTTAATTTTATATAGAGAATTTTCATAGAATTTTTTTTTGTTGTTGTCTAAAATTACCGTTTCAAGAACATTATGAGAATTTTGTCTAATATAAGAAATTTCATTATCTGTGATTAAACGATGATTTTCCGGTATATCTGTTACTAGAAAAATCCATAATACAAGCCATATCAAATGTAATGCACTACCACCAAAAAATAATAATGACCAATCAGGTATATCGGCCGGAAGTATAATATGGGTTATGGCTGCTGAAATCGGTACATTCAGAATGAGACCAAGTGCATTACCAATCAATAACACTGATAATGCTAATGTTTGTTCATTAGGTGGAAACCATTTTTTAAACATAAAAAATAAAGCCGGTTCAACAACACCATGAAAACAGCCAATCAAAACTCTTTGAAAATAATAATTATGACATAAGGGTGGATTAGAAAACGAACAACACAATAATATGGAATCACATCAAAATTGATGGTGACAAAATTTTCCGTAGAAAAAAAATTTGATATTACCTAAGCAATGCAAATACAAAAAAATTACTACCAAACGGAAGAATGGCATTTAAAATAGCTGCACCAATCAGACCGATAACAGTCACCCATTTTGGACCATAACGTTCAGACCAACGGCCACCAAATATATGTGTAGCAGCATAACCATAATAATATGCACCAAGTACGATACCTTGTTCTAAATCAGTCCATGTTACCTCTTGTGATATGGCTGTTTCATTTAATGATTTAATTAATGATGCTGATAATGATGATGATGAACGAAATAATGATTCTAAACGATTCGGATAATCTGGATCAATACGATGACAATAACTATTTGATGGTGTTGTTGATGCAAAATCTTTAACCATTGATACAATTGCAATACTAACATTATAACGTGTTGAACATAATAATATTGATGCTAATATACCCATCAGGGCAATTATAAAACGAAATGGACATTTTAATCGTTGAAAATATGTTGATATAGTCCATTTATTATTGTTATTGTTATTATTATTATTATCATTATTTATGGATGACATTGATGTTGTTTGATTATTATCAATGATGATTACCATCGTTAATTTTTATTTGTATAAAAATTCACCGAAAAAATAACAAAACAAAACAAAGGAAAAAGCCATACACACAGAATAGAAATTTAAAACATTTTTCGTCATCATCAAATTAATCAATAACAATAAATTTCGATGTAAAAACGTGATCATTACAAAAAAAATTGGATAAACTTTAACATATACTTTTAAAAAAATAGTTGTCGTTTTTGGTTGTTGGTGATGATTTTGATGTTGTGGAATTTGTCAACACAACGGTATCGATACAAAAAAAAACATCATCATCATTCATGATCATAGTAATGAATTGATTGATTGATTAATTGATTGTTTATTAAATACTATGGTAACATGAGTAGTTTTTAATGGTTGAATTGTTTTTAGTGTAAAAAAAATCACAAAAGAAACCAAAACCACAAAAATCCATGTCAAGATTTTGGGAAAAATTCACAACAACAAAAAAAAATGATGAAATTAAAATGGAAATATCAATTGTTTTGTTTTTTTTGTTGGTTGTTTGCAATTCAATCATCATCATTAACACATCAAATGATTTCTTCTTCTTCTTTGTTTTTGATACTCATTTTACCCAAAAGATCTCATTTGTAATCTCTAGATACAACAACACATACATACAACAATAGAAACTGATAGGATGATGATTATCATTTCTCTCATTTATCATTATAATTATTTTAGTGAGAAAGATAGAGGGAAAAAAATGTGAGGTAATAAAATACATATTACACCAGCAATATTTTTTTAAAAATCAAATATCCATTAAAATTAAAGTCTTAATTTATTGTTTTTATCATCTCCACAGGTTTGTATTTCGTTTGAAAAATAAAACAAAAAATTTAGATTTTTCTTTTCTTGAAAGTTGTGTAATTGTGTAATTGTAATATTATTGTGGGTGCATAAATAGGTAAAATTATTATTGTTACATTAAAGATCTGTTATCTGTTGATGGACTTTGCATCTATAGTCAATGTAATTTTTTTATTTTCTTTTCCTATCTTATTCTATTGACACGTTGTTCAATTCTTTAATGACGAATTGAATAAATGTTGTTTGTTGTAATTAAACAAAGACCTGTAGAAACAAAATAATTCAGAAAAAAAAACATCCATCCTGTGTGATTGAAAAAAACAAAACACATATATTTAGTTCAATGTCAAGTGTATGTAATTACAAACAGAAAACATAATTAGGGGAAAAAAACATCAATCAATCAATCAATATGTATATATATCGATCATGATCTAAATCTATTTGATCCCATTATATTTTTGATGGTCATTTAAGACAATTGATGATTAGAAATGTACGGCATCATTATCATCATCATTATCATCATTGCCATCATTGCCATTATCGTTCAATTTTCTTCCGATATTCAAGTTAGCCAATAATACTAATTAGTTTCCTGAAAAAAAGAGAGAAAGATAAAAAAAATGTTAAATAAAGAGAAAATAGAAAATAAAGATCATCCCCAAAAATATCCAAAATGACTGAATTGGCCATGGACAAAAAAAGAAAGATATATGTGATCAACAACAAAAAAAACTAGATTGTTGAATGGAAAAAGAGACATAATACAAAAACACGTGCGACACGTTTTTTTTTGTTTTGCATCTTTCTCTCCACACTTTTTCCTTTATTAAAAAATCGATTTTATGGTGATAGTAAAAGTATTTCTGTGTGTGTTTGTGTGTCCATCAATATGTTGATAATTATCTACATAATACATAATAGTATTATGGACATATTTGATCCGAATGTTTTTTCTTCTTCTTCTTTTTTTACACTTCGTAATATTTCCTCTTCATTATATAATAATTAATTCGATTTAATCAATAAACTGATTTCGAATAGGAAAAGAGAAACAGAAAAAAATCTGTTTTTTTTTCTTCTTTTTTCCCTTTCCGATAATTGAAGGATTGATGAATGATTGACATTGATTTTCAATGTTTAATATTTTGACGTTGGAAAAAAATCAACATAATATTTGAATTGATAAAAAAAAATTACGTAGTTTCGAGTCGAATGAATATTATGTTTGTTTTTAAACATAATATTCATTTTGAACATGTAATTATCCTTATCCTCATTATCCTTATTATTAATTTACTTAAGAATAGGATTACAAAATTTCAAACAAACAAATCAAGAATCCAAAGAAGGATTACAAAGAATAAACAATGATTATCCTCAAATTGATTGATCAGTCATGAATGATAAAAATGTTTTGTTTGAAAATAGAACAAATGAATTATGTTTTTCTTGGAAGCAATATGCGTCAACTTATACAAACTAAAGGATGTATATTTTTTATTAGTGAAAAATTGGTACATTTACATTACGTAACAATCGACAATATATCACACAATTATGGTCAAACATGACAATTATCAAGGTGATAACTTTTTGATCAATATAAATTATTAGGAACTGAATTGTTTTCCGATTTTGTTATTTTGTAAATATTATTATTATGTGAAAATGATTGATCAACATGAACTCATCAAGTAAAGTTATAAAAAAACAACATCAAATGTTTCCTAAACGACAAAATATTCACAACAATTTTCAAACCAATCAATCGATTCATTCATTCATTCAATTCATCGATCAAATCGATCAAGGATATTATTGAACATTTATAAATCATCATTATTACGTTTGTAGTGTAATTTTTCAATGTAATATATTGTACATTTTTTTCATAATATCCGATGTCGAGTATGTTGTTTTTATTATGAATTTAGACATTTGTTTTTTGTTAAAAGAGTTTTGAAAAAAATTATCAATATTTTTTCATCAAAATTTATGGGAATAAAAATCGATCAAATTTTTTTTTTTGGAAATAAAACAAGGATTAATTCGAATATAAATATCGATGGTTGAAAACAATCGATTATTAAAAAATCGAATAAACAAAAAAAACATCCGAACAAGAAATAACAAAATTTTAAATTATTTTATTTTAAATGAATATCAATTTATTAATGCAATCGTTTCCGAGTATGTACATTGTCATTTAAAAAATATTTGCTTAATATTTCAACCTATTCTCCTTTTATCACATCGACAACATGTTGGGTCAATGATTTTTGCAAAAAAAAATAATCAAAAATAAAATCTATTTGATATTACGATGATAATGACGTTGTTTGTGATTTTAATTGATCAAATGATGGCGGTGAAATTAACGATAATGCTGAAGATGATGATGATATTGTTGACGTTGTTGATCTTGGAAATGTAGGCGGTGGTTGTACTGGAAGTGATCGTACAAATGGAACTGGACAATGTAATGCATCTTCATAATCGGGTGGTTGATCCTGATATTCTTGTATGACAATATTTTCCATTTTACTTGTAGATGATAAAACATCAGCATTAACATGAAATGGATGTGTTGCCACTAAAGTACCGGTTGATGCGGATACACCAAATATTTCTTGTATAAGCTGTACGGTTGTCGATCTTGCCGATCTAGATCGATGTGTTGTTGATAATGATGATGAATCATTAGCTGTTGCACCTGCATTAAGCATTGCCGCTGCATGTGGATGATTTAACCAAAATGTTTGTGCTTGATTAATAAAAGTTTGTTTTCTTCGTATTTGTGTCGAATAGATTAATGCTGTCAATACGATTGACATTCGTAATAGGAGACCCATCAAATTGTTAGGAAAATTTGAACCTTCGGATAAGATTTTAACTGATGATATAACTGTTTAATCATTTTATGGAAATAACAGAAATTTCAATGAAAAAAATCAAATCAGAAAGATTTTTATTATAAAAAAAATTAAACAATTTGCAAACTTACTCATACTGACTGCCAATGTAGTTGTGAATGCTAATGTAAGATGATAGAATTCACGTTGTGCAGCATAGAATGCCATTATATAAAGGATTGCTGTTAGGAAATTTACAGCAATTACTTGATCCAATTGTGTACGACTAACAAATGATGATTGTTGATTACGATTTGCTGGCTGCTGATTAAAATGTCGATATAATGTTTGACCAGATGTATCCATAGTCCATAATCGATTATTGGCCAATATTTTTGATGATTCATTTTCCAATATTGGTGATACTGATGATACTGATTCTTTATCATTTGGAATCGTATTTGTATTCATCATTTCGAATTGTGATTTTTGTGAATCAAATGTTGGCTGAATAAATCGTTGATATTGTAAACGATGATTATAAATTGTTTCCGGTAATGATTTATATAATACCATCATCATAATGACCATTGTAATTGAATAGGCAATTGCAACCAATAACATACCACAATAAAGACGTTTAACTTGTTTAAATGTATTTGCATCAAAGATTTTATCATTTGAATAACGTCGATAAAAATTTAATATACTTGTTATACTATTACAAGATCGATAACTTTGATTATCATTATTATTATTCGTATTTGAATCATGATTATAGTTATGATGATCTATTGTTGTCGATGATGATGATGATGATGATGATGATGATAATTGTTGTCGATTAGTTTCATTAGTTTGTGGTTGTTCTATTTGGATCGTCGAACAAGGAATCATGATTGATGTTGTAGTTGATGTTGTCATATTATCATTTGAATCACAGTTATGACTATTATCGATATTCGCCGATTGAGATTCATACGATATTTGTTGTACGATTAAATCATTATTATTATTATTAATATTGCACTGGTTTGAATTCATTTTTTCGTGTGCTCAATAAATATATTTGAAAAAAAACTCCGCAATTTTGTTTCGTTGTTGTTATCACAAACAAATTATATCACAAAAAGCAAAAACAAGATAAATACGATTAAAATGTTTGCGTAACCAAATCAAACAATCAATTGATTTGAAGAAATGGGAAAAAAATTACAAACACACACACACACACACACACGATTACAAATTGAAACCGACGACTATGACCGATTACATTTGATTTGAAACCAAAAACATAAATAAATAAAAATGTCATTCATCGATAATATGGGATAACATTGAATCGTACGAAGAGTATTGGCATTTTACATTTCATAAAAATCTGTTGAAATCAAAAGAGAAAGAAAAAAAACAGATAAAATAAAATAAAATAAATTGACATTTTTGGTTGACATTAAATTTTTTTCTATTTGCAAAAAAATCGAATTGAAATGTTTGATTTTGTGGTTTTGGACGATTGGCACGGCTATATTTATTCTGCAGAAAAAAATCAATGATGTTCGTGAAAAAATACACTAAATAACCTCGAACTCAATTGAACCAAAACAACAACATTGAATAATGATGATGAAAATTTTCCAATTCAATTTGTTGTTTGTTTTTTCAGGTTTTTTTGAATGTCATCATCATCATCGATTTAGATTTGCAAATAGAAAAATAACTAAATAAATAGCCAAAAGGATTGACGAAAAAATTTTAAAATTGATTCGCCGATTCAGTCGACAATAATAATGATGATGTTTGTGATAACGAAAAAAGATTGTGCCGAAACGAAAAAAACATTCGTTTCCCCCCGAATCGATCGCCCATTCTCATTGACCAGAAAACCAGAATGTTTATTTTTTCCTTATCACTTATTATCAAAAAAAAAAAATTAATTAATTGAAAAATTCATTTACATTGATCACAATTGATTTGAATGAAGAAAAACAAACAAACAATTAGCTTGAAAAAATGCACAAACACGAATTTCAAATGATAAATTCAAAATGAAACAACAATCCAGTAGAGAATGGAATGGCGAAAGAAGTAACGAAAAGAAACAGAATGATGTATTCATCAAAATAATCATCAACAATGTTGATGATCATTATAAACTAATCGACAATAAAGAAAGAAACAAAAACAAAAACAAAAATGAAAATAATCATGAATTTGTTGTACATTTTCAATGTGGAGGTTGAATGGTTATTTCAATGACAATGATGTTTGATGATAATTTTTCTTCGTTTTTTATTAATCATCACCATCTTGTAATGTTTTTTTTTGGGGATATAAACAAATTCGTAGTAGACCTTGTGCTTTTAAATACGTAGAATTAATTGATTTTAGCAAAAAAAAAAAAAAATGTTTACCACAATTAAAGCGGGTAGTTGAACTTCGATTTTTTTTTTATTTTCATTAACATATCACATACTCATTTAAATACATTGAAATTACAACGTTGAAAACAAAAATGTTGATAGTTGTTTGTTTTGTTTTTTTTTTGATTCATCGATATTTTTAGAAAATGATCGAAATTTGAATTAATTAAATTTCAATGAGATTGAAAACAAAGAATAAGGGGGTGGAAGGTCATTGAATCGAATGTAAAGAATAAAAATGAACAAATTGAACAAAACAAAACGGAATAGCCATCGGCAACGATATTGAACCAAATTGATTTAAATTTAACGCAAACAAAAATAAAATTTTATTACAAATGAAATGAAGAAATTTGAGCTTTATTTTTTTGAATCCATGAACAGAAATAAAATGATTAAATGATTAAAAGTTGATCTCATTGAACAACATTAATTTGAGAGCGACGGAGAATGAACATAAGTGAATAACAGTTGTCGATCCTGGAAATACTCGATACCTTGTTGTTGAAACTATAGAAATAGAAACTAACAAATAATCTGTTTGCTATCCAGCTAGAGTGTGTGTGTTTGATCGATTTGTTGAAGTTTTCTATGTTTGTCGTTGTTGATATTAATAAATTTTGTTCTCTCTCTCTCTCACTCTCTTACTTTACATCACGATCGATTTGATTTTTTCCAAATGGTGATTGAATTGAAGATCATCTCCGTTGTTGTTGTTGTTGTTGTTATCGTGGAAATCATCGTTTCCAATATTGGAAACTAAAACATTTATAATGCGGAAAAATGGTCGTGGCTAAAAAATAACTAACTAACGAACTAGCAATTGCATCGTGTAACAGGATGTACAAGTAGTCTAATAAACATATACACATTCATATATTTTATTCAAACGTAATTTTTTGGACAGATATGATCATTTGCTGAATGAAAATTCAGTTATTTTTTTTAGAAAAATAATTTTTTTCAACGTTTTTTTCTAATAGAAATTGTTCTTAAATTCAAGATCAAACTACTTACACGTGATCATCACTGAATTAGTTGAATTTATCATCGAATTATCGTTGACGTTAGTAATCATTTAAAAATTCATCTTAATCAAAAAAAGAAACATTAATGATGGAAAATGAAATATTGATAATTATCAGTTTTTTTATTTTTTGGTAAAATATCAATCAGTAATGAATTCACGTAATATTATTATTCCATAAGTAGATATGTTGATGATATTAACAGGTTTTTTCCAGTTTTTTTTTCGTTAGCTTACCTCTTACAAATGACAATTATTCATTATATATAAAACCTCATCATTTCCATAATAATATGGAATAATAATCGTTAATTGGAAAAAAAAACTTTAATTAGAAGGTTTGGTGATAATGATCGAAAAAATTACATACACAAAATTCACATCATTAAATCAAATCAAATAAAATCAATGCCACACCAGGCCATTACAGAATCAAATTACATATCCCAGTTTTTTTTCGATTATTTAAACAGACAGAAAAATTCATTTTTTTAAATGATGATGATGATTGTGGTGATGATAAAAATTGCAAAAGAAGAAAAAAAAACTTTCGAGGTCATTCATAAATTACCTGAAAGCTGATAATTTCATTTTTTCTTGGTATTTAGCAACAAATTCTCTTTGTGTGATGTAAAATCAAAAACTAATCAACGACATTTTTCAACAAAAAAAAAAAAAAATTGATATCAACTAATCAATCATCACGAGCCAATCACGCTTTTCATTGGAATTCTAATCCGAATGAAGAGGAAGAAATCGAAAAAAACCAAAAAGAAATCTAATGGGGAGGGTTACATACACACACACATGTACCGTTCATTTAATCACAATGACAACGACGACTACGATGATGGAATAATGATGTGACGAACAATATGGTTGAAGTGAAGAACAATCAAATGAAGAAATTATGTTTAAAAATTTCACTTTCCTCTTTTTTTCTCACCATCAACGATTTTCATCATCATCATCATCATCAACAATTTATTTGACAAATAAAGATGAATGAATGCATTGTTCTTTCAAATATTCAATATATATCGTATACTTATACATTCAGCAGCAACAAGTGGCATCGCCAAGGTTGATGTTAATGATGATGATGATGATGAAATGAAATGAAATGAATGAAAAAAAACTTTTTTGTTTCTGGTTACCATCAATTGAATTGATTCGTTAATTTTATTTTTTCTTTCTTTCTTGGTTTCTGATTTGTTTGATCGATTCGTTTGGAATTGAACAAATATAAGTAAGATTTACATATTTGATCAATACTTGAAAATCAAAATTCGGATTAAATCTCTTCATTTATAAAAAATGATGATGATGTTATTTGCGGAAAATTTTTGAATGAAAAAAAATAGGATTATGAAAATGGAAATATTTGCTGTTGTACCACTACACCTTACAAGGTCGATTCTGTTTCCAGTTTCGTTTCTTTTTTTTTGACGAGAATGATTGGTGAGGAAAAAAAATAAACACATAGAAGAAGGGTAGTTTTATTTCGTCATCGATAACAACTTATGTCCATTTTGATGATGATGATAATTGATTAATTTTCCATAGAATTTTGTTTGTTTATTTGTTTTTCTCTTCTGTTCGATTGCACTGTTCATTCAATTTATTCATCTCTATGTATTTGAAAAAAAAGTTATTGCTGTCAATAACAATCAAATTGATTATTGAAAAAAAAAATTTCAATTTATTGAATTTAAGGAAAACTATTACGTGTTATGATCATTGTTTTTGATCACCCACACACACACACAAACACACTGTCTAAATGTACGATTCTATTCAACGTATACGGCAATCGATACTTCTTTTTTTCTTTTAGTGCTAACAATATTGCAATGCTTGAAAAAAAACTGGTAAAACAAAGAATACGAATAAAAAAAACAAACAGACAATCAAATTTTTCTTTACAAAATAAAACTTATCGAAAAAAAAAGTTAAAACAAAAGTAAAACTGATTGATGAAATGAATGAATGTATAGAATAGAGACAACAACAGCAATAGTTGAAAGTAAAAAACAATGGAAAAAAACCAAAAAAAATTGAATTCTAATTGATTGTCGAATTGAAATTCATCCTACGCGATTTATCACCGAAACAAACAAACAAACAATGATAAATGAATTGAACTCGTAAAAAACCAGTGAAAATGAGAAAATCAATCATCCTAAAATGACTAAAACAAAACAAAAAAAACTAATTCCAACGATAGAAAAATTGGAAATGGAGGGGGACAAAATTCAGTTCATTAATCATCTTCGATTGATTGATTGATTTGTTCATTTATGAACAAAACATTTGAATATATTTGTACATCTCCTTTTTTCCCCATTCACCTGTTTTATTTAAATTCTAACAACAACAAAAATTCGCCATTGACAATCGACTTGACAATCGATAAGAAAAAATGACAAACAATTTTTGTTTAATCATTCATCATTCACAAAATGTTTATACGAACAAACACATTATAGGGAAAAAAACGAATCCATCAGGGGTGATGTGGTAATGAAGATGTTGATGGTGTGTGTGTGTGTGTGTGAACGAAGGTCAACAAAATGAAAACGCTACAAATATTTTTGTTTTTTTTTCCACGGAACAAACATTCAATATCAACCACATTAATCGAGTTGAACAAATCGCATTATAAATATTTGAAAAAAAAGTTTATCATCTTTTTTTTTCGATATTTTTAATTTATCGATTCGATTTGGATCAAAATAACGGTCGTTTTGACATTCAAAAACAATGAAACGAATGATTCACGAGTGTGTGTCCATGTAGTGTATTCGTATTCAATTTACGAATAAAATGTTTTTCATTCATACAGGATTTTCCACAATCGATTTGAATCAACAAAAAATTTATTTATCAAGGACAAAAATGAATCACATTTTTTTCCAAAATCAGATATGAATTTTTTTTTCTTTCTTTGAATACTTTTTTTTTAATTATCATTCATACAGTTAGTTTTTTTCAAGTTTGTGTGTGTGTGTTTGGAAATTAATTGGAGGCTTTGAAGAATTTACGCCATTTGAGCTTTGATTTTTAAATTAAAATTTTTATTTTGAGACAAAAGAAAATTATAATCATTTTTTTTTGCAGAAAAATTCTCACCCAAATTTCCTATTTAATTCACGAATGTCATTATCATCATTATTATTAACCGTTGTGAATCTTTTTTTTAAATTGTCATTTCCAAATGAGATGAAATGTTGGATAGAGGAAAAAATTTTTTTTATTGGAATGTATTCAGGTATTTAGATGATTATAATATAATGAATGTCACAGAATCTTTCCAACCATAATCGACAAAAGATGGTTGCTTTTTATATTAAACGATGATGATGATGATAATTTTGAAGCCATCAACGTGAAGCCTTTTTTCCTTTCGTGGATTGAAGTTTCATTGAAATTTTTTGAATTTCGTTTATATCCGTTATTATTTTTGTACATTGTTAGTGTATGGCATGTGAGTGTTGGGGGTTTAATTTCTTGTATGTTCGAATGAGATCTCATTTTTCCTGTTTACATACAAAAAATTCTAGTAATATATAAAAATTGAATTGTTGATTGATTGATTGAAAATCAAAGTGAAAATCAGAAGAAAAAATTAGATAAATTAAAAAGAAAAAACTAGCAAAATTAGAAAAATACACATTTTGAAGGTGATGGGTGTGTGTGTGTTTTTAAGTGAATAATTCTTGTTACTTTGAGAGGAATATATGTTACATTCGAATGGTTTTTCAAATTTGAACAAAAATCAATTTATGGGAATTTTCAACCACATTTAATCAATATATTAGATATAGGTAAAAAAAATTTAAGAAATGGAATGTTTATATATACGAGCGGATGTTTGTGGTTTTTTTTATAGGCGCGAAACATGCAACAGATGATACATGTTTTATGTATGAGATTTATAAGAAGTCTGTAAATGATTTTGGAACTTTTGAATGTGAAAAAAATATAAGCAGTATGCATGTGAAATAATAATAAATGAGTAAGATGAATAAGAAATAGCAAGAATACGCCATTATTTTGGTTCGAAATATCCAATATCGTTTATCGATGATATGATGAAAGATGGTCGGAGGTACGGTCCAATGTACGTGTTAATGGCAATATTCCAAATTCCCGTTATTTGCCTTTAGTCATCATTCTCCAATTTAATCGTCACCTTTGGTTGCAGCAAATGTATCTGTGAAGAATGTGATATTTGATGATCATTGTTAGTATCAATAAGTAAATTGGAATTATTATTATTATCACTTGATGATGTTGTTGATCCAGTACCATGTTTAACGGTCATTGTAACCTGTGGTTGTAATGGTGATGTCTGTTGTTGTGTACCGGACATCCGCGATGTTTTTATTATATGACGTACATCAAAATTATCCGGTAATTCTTGCCGATGAACGCGTAAATGTTTGCTTAGATGATCAGATCTTGAGAAACCTTTTGAACAAAATGGACATAGATGTGTTTTTTCGCCCGTATGCGATCGTTTATGACGTGATAATTCATCCGAACGGCTAAAACGCCAATGACAATCAGGCCAATCACAAGCATATGGTTTTTCGCCTGTATGTCGTCGCATATGTGCTGTTAGATGACTGGATTTTGTATATGCAGCATTGCACGATGGTACCGGACATACATAATTACGTGGTGAAATACTTGGATATACGATCGTTATGTTATTATTATTATTATTATTATTATTATTATTATTATTATTCGTTTTCGATGATTTTGCATTTGCCGGGACAATCTCGACTGTTTGACATGGTAATTGATTTTGAAGATGTGACTGCTGTTGTCTACGATTCGATCGTGCTGTTGTTTGAGGTTGTTGCATCATCATATTTACAGATTGTTGTTGGGCATTAATAAATTTCATACGTTTATTCGATATGGTTCCACCACCACCGGAAACTGTTACGGATAATTGTGATTGAGGATTATGATGAGAATGATTACTTGATGATGAGGAATTTATCAACATTAAATTCGTTGATGATTGAGGTGATGAGTTAATCATTCTGTTCAGAAATAAATTATATTAATAAATGAAACAAGTGGAGATAAAAACCATACTTTTTGGATGGATCAATGCTGTTATTTGTTCGTTTACGACTCCCACCATTACTGCTAATACTAACAGATATTTGCTGCGAGCCTGTTTTATGAAAAATAAAAGATTAAGTAAAATGATTATGAAATAATAGACAACGCTTACCGTTCGATATAAGATGATTATTTGAGATCTTATTATTATTATTATTCGTTACATTTGTCATGCAATGATTATCAAGTAATTGGGTTGGATCAACTAATGATTGATTATCACCATCATCATCATCATCATCCTCTTCATCTTCATCATCATCATCCACATGATTATCACCGATTCCAACGACACCGTCATGATGTGATGTAATCAATAAACTTGTTGCATGTGGATGTTGTCCACTAATAACGACACCACCTGTATTAAGATTATTGAATACATCATCATCACCATCTTCTTCATCATCATCTTCTTCTTCTTCATCTACACCACCAATTACTTGATGGCCATGGCCATCAACTGTTCCACTATTACCGGAACCATCGATAAGATGATGATTCGACATTGTCGTTTGATGATGATCCATATTATTATTATTGTTATTACTATTATTATTCAATTGTTGATTTGAATTGGAATTTGTTGTCGATGAATTAATTGTCGTGGAATTATCATTTGTATTTGAATTAATATTATTACCATTATTGCCACGCATGGCCGCTTCACGTACCAACATCACAGCTGTCATTGTGAATTGTTGTTCTAATTCATTTACATGTAGATCCAAATGTTTACGCAATGCATTGGCACTGGTAAAACTTTCTTGACAACCGTTCCAACAACAAGGGAACATCTGTGATGCTGTTGTTGTCGTATAATGTATTGTATTTGGTATATGTTCAACAAATTGATTATTATTTGTGAATGTCATTCGACAACTTTGTTGCTGCTGTCGTTGTCTTTTTCGTTTTGATAAAATTCCGTTAGTTGAATTCAATATTAATGAACGTTTATTTACACCACTTCTTAAAGACGATGATTGTATCGTCGTCGTTGTATTCGTACGGTCAGAGGGTGATTTTTTATTATATTTAATAATCTGTGGATATGTTATTTTTTGACGAATACCAGTATTTTGGCAACTATCAATATAATGATTATCACCAAAACCACCAGTTGCTATAGTTGTTTGATTTGAATAATTATCAAAATATTCTTGTTGCTGCTGTGGTTGTTGTTGATAACAATTATCGTAATAATAATCGTTACTATTCAAATTAATTATAATTTTATTATTATTGTTGTTATTATTATTAATTAAACCGTTATTGGTAACAGTTTTTAAATTTTGATTCAATTGATAATTTAAATTCTTCAATGATTTTGTTGTTGTCGTTGACTGATGATGATTGGCGACAATTCGTTTATTATGATTCAAAATATTACCGTTCAATTGTTGTTGATTAGACATCAAAGATATTGTACAATTTCGTCGTCGTTGTTGTTGTTGTTGTTGTTGATTGCCTTTGTTGTTGATACATCGAACGGCAAGGTTCGAGGCTGAAGTCATCATCACCTTGTAAACATATGGAAAACATTTGAGTTTTTTTTCTATTCCACTTGGACTGAATTGATAATTCTGTTTGTTTTAAATAAAAATGTTTTCTACAAATATTGGTGAGTTCTTTTTTTTCTTTTTTTTTAAAGTTCTTATTGGGCGTTGGTTGGTTATTTTTTTTTCGATGAACGATATATGCCCTTATTTTTTCTTTACATAAACGAATAGAAATGCAGGTAGAAAATTTTTTTTTATTTAAAAAAAATTGGGTGACTACAATTGTCGTGAACAGAAGAAGAACAAACGGAAAAAATATTTGGGCGTTTTTGTTGTTGTTGTTGTTTTCAATGGAAGTTCGATTCGTTATTTATTTCTTCGATAATAATTATAATTGTTGTTCTTTTTCGTTGTTGTTGTTGTTGAAAATAAAGGCGTTTGAAGAAGTTGATTGTTGAAATGAATAATAATTGAATTGAGAAAACAAAAAAATAGTGTATTTTTTGTTTTGTTTGTTGCACAGAATAAACAGAAATGAATGAATTCACAATATCCGGAATTTGAGTTGTAATTCGGCAATTGTTTCTTTTTTCGACAAAAATAATAATAATATATTAATATCAGATACTGTCAGATCTAGAATTGAAAAACAAAAAAACAAAAATAGAATTCAACATTAGTAAAATGATTTTTTTAAAAACAAACAAAAAAACATGTGGAAATTTTAAAGTTTTTGTTTTCTTGAAACAGAAAATACTCAAAATAAAAAACAAACGAACGAAAAAAAAATATATCACAAAAACTTGTGGGCCATCAACGTATCATTCCATCTATCTATCCATCGTTCTCTTGTAAAATGATATGCCATATGACATTTTGGAATATATAATAAACGTATGGAAAACAAATATAAACATATAGAAATGGAGAGAAATCGTAAAAAACAACAACAACATTAAAAAAAAAATGAAAATCCAATAATATTGATTGCGCAATTTTTGAATGCGTGTCAACGCCTATATCATCATCATCATCGTCGTTGTCGTCGTAGTCAATGACAATAATGGCAGCAACATCAACATAAATCGCATCATACATTTATAAAGTCTTTTTTAAAATGCAGTTGTGACACTATTAGTTGTGGATTGTCACATACATCACACACACCGTGTATCCATAGGAAAATGAAGAAGAAATAACTAATGACGCCCAAACAATTGTCATTTATTCAAATTGATACAATTGGATTTCGATATCCATATGATGATGATGAAAAACATTTAGTAATGTTTGTCCCCACCACCGAAAAAAAAAATTAACAAATAAAGAATATTGATATCAGGAATTATTCATTCACAGATATGAAACGAATTAAAAATCTAAAACAATTCAAATTCAAAAAATGTATGAATTTCGAATAACGATTGAATAAAACAACAACGAACTAAAATGAAAAAAATGATAATTTCCACCAAACATTTACTTTAAAAAAAATTGAAGATTGAAGAAAATCAAAAATATTCACACAAACACCACGCCCATGTTATGTTATAAGAGTTTGCTGATGTCATCATCATTATCATCATATTCTTTACATCAATCGTAGCATCATTTAAATTTCTTTTTTTTTTCTTTACAACAAAACAAAAAATTCAAGTATTCAATAAGAAAACTTGGCCTTATACACACACACATTTATTCGGGTCGATTGCACGACTTTTTGTTTTCTTATTCATCAATTGCTCCATCATTCAATAATAATAACAACAGAGAAAAGACCATACCGCCACTAAAAAAAAAAACAAAAATTCGATTCAAATTTTTTTTATTTGAATGAATGAATGAAAAAGAAAGATATAATGTGGCACACCTATGAAAATCAAATACATTAGAATTAGAATAGGTAAGAAAAACAACGCCGCCAATAATTTTTTTTTTGTTTGTTTCGTATTTCAAAGATAATGAACGAATGAATGAATGAACAAACACCACACCACCACCAAATGATGACGATGATTATGAAGAAAAACTAGATTCAACACTGGCCATTCACATACATACACACACATAAATACATAGAAAAATACACACCACCAACCAACCAACCAACCAACCATCATGATCATCATCTAATACAAGTCACACCCATCATCATCATCATCATCAATAAAATACCATCAAAATATCCATCAAATATCATCATTACAATCAACAAACAACCAAAACCAAAAAAAGCAAAGTTTGCTTACACAAGCTTAACTGGCTGAATTAAAAAAAAATAACATATGAACTATGATCTTATGAATCTCTAATCATAATTAATATTAAGCTTTAGGCTAAAACCCAAAGAATAATTATTCAATCATTGAATCAAACAATTGAAAAATTGAAAGAGGGAGAGAATTGAATTGAAATATTAAAAAAAACAAGTTGACGCCCATCCTTTTGACATCACGACATTATCAACAACAACCATTCATAGATTTAATTCCAGTAAATATTCTTTATTCGTGAACACGCAATTTGCTTTTACAGAATGACCAAAATCTAAGCAATAACAAGAAAAAAAATCGCCCACAATCATCTTTATTTATCCATTTAGGTATAAATGTACCAACAAAACACTTACAAACCATTTTTACATACTAATCATTTAAAATTTTCAACATTAAAATCTTACAATTAATAAATGCCGTTTTTTTTTGTTCTTCATCTTTTTTTTTAACAATATTCATTCAACATTAGCATCGTTTGATAATCTTAGATTGTTGAATTTTTAAACATTCAATGACCAAACCTTTATACACCCACAACCAAACCATCAATTCTATCATACGCATATTTCGAGTATAATGTGGAAAAAAGGCGCCATACAACTTTTTTTTTCTTTCTTATTTCTGGTTTTTTTCTAATTTTCCAGAAAAAAAGAAAGATGCGTGGGTTTTTTTCTTCCTTCTTTTTCTACTACTTATTTTAGTCATCATTCTTGAAAATCAGTATGAAAAAATGTATGAAGTTTATTGGTGATGCTTAATGTGTAGATATAATAATGAAAAAAAACAAGGTAGCATCTTGTATATCACATTCAATTACTACAAAAAAAATTTTATGACAAAAATGCTAACTTAAACCAACAACAAACAAAAATTAGCGAACATCCTATTTCCTTTTTTACTTCATTCTTTACTTTTTTTTTAATTCATGTTTTTAAAAGGAGATTTTTCTTAAAAAAAAAAATTTTTCATATGTCAAAAGGGTTATTATCACCTGTACACAAACACAATAAAAAGATCTAAACATGCATATTATGTAATTATCTTTCTGTATGAAAACATATGAAACAACAAGGCCACCATATCAAGTATAGATTTGTCAACCATTATCATCATCATCATCATAATAATGATGATGATGAGCTTTTTCTATTTTTTAGTAAATATTATCAAAGTACATCAACAATTACCACCACTACGTCAAAATGCTGACAAAAACAAGATAAAACTTTTTTTTCGATTAAAATAAGGAAAAAAAATTCAATGTTGATAATAGATAAAATTACAGCTACTGTACTTTTTTTCATCGTTAACATGGCGCCATTTTAAAATAAAATGAAAAAACATCTAAAACGAAATGTCATGATTCAAAAAAAAAGAATTGTGGAATAAAGGAATTCAAGCGAACCAGAATTTGAAATTCTTCAAGAAAATATTCCTTAAAAAATAGGAAAAGGATTTTTTTAAAAAAACTTACCGTAAACTTGAAAAAAAATTTTCAACCAAAAAATAAGAAGATAATTTTAATAATAAAATTTGTTGCAATTTGAATGAAAATTTTACAATGTTGGAATGTTTCGGTTAACGATATGAACAAACGAACAAACAATCAAAAATCAGTGTTTTTGAGTTCGTTCATGAAAAACAGAATAAATAAAAGTACATGTGTGTACGTGTCATCATCATTTGTATCAAAATATGAATTTAATAACAAAAATTGAAAAAAAATTCAATCCCAACACATAATACACATTTCAATCCAAAAAAAAAATCAAAAAACAAAACAAAACAATCCACAACTCACCAGATGGGAAACGCCCCAAATGAAATAATATGCTGGAAATACACACCACATACACATAGAAAAAATTGGTTGGCGTTTGATGATTTAACGATCGGTGGTTGTTGTTTGGGTGGTTGGTTGGTTGGTTGATGGCGTGTAATAATAATACTACTACAGGACTCTCTATACGACATACAATCTCTCTTATGTGTTCAAAACATACAGGGTGTTAGATTTTTGTTTTGTTTTTTTTTACCAGAAAACAAGATCAACAATCGACCATGTTCATTATTTGATTTCTGTTGAAAGAATAAAGAATAGTGATGTGGGATTTGAAAAATATTTACCAAATGTTGATTACAACTGAATGTAGAATTACACCCATCGATTTTGTTTGTTTGTTTTTGTTGTTGTTAGAAACATGTAGACATTTTGAAGTTATCAGAGAGATGTATATGATATGTATATGTCAACGATAACAACCGAAAAAATGGAATATTCGTTAAAGTCGAAATTGTTTCTGGAATTTAAAACTTGATGAAGACTTTATTTCGTTTAAAAAATTTTCAGATTTATGTTTGTACGGTGTCATGAATCTTATGATCTTTTTTCTTTCTTCTTTTTATTTGATATTTGTTTATCAACAACAAAACGTTCAAGGTCCAATATATTAATTAGGTGATGATGGTAAATGAAATTGATGTTGATCAAAATGATGAATTATAAATTGATGAGCAATGTGTTTATATTTGTTATCATTCATCAAAAAAAAATTATAAAATCGTTTTTGTTGTCAATCAAGCTGTCATGCGACAATCAAGGTGGATATTCAGACATTCAAATGGGGAGTGGCATGGAATTCAAAAATTCTGTTGATAAACACAGAATTAAACAATTTTTTCATATATTAAATATAATAATAACACAAAATTTTTCTTTGTTTTGTTTCAATGATGAAAAAAAATGATACACATCGATCTTAATTCGATCCATCAATCAAACCAGAAAAAAGAAAATTTTATTTTTCTATTATTTCGCTCATCACAAGACAAATGGCAACAGCGACAACAACAACAACAACCACTATCATCCGCATACCTTATCTCAAATATGAATGGATCGGGGTGCTTTGTTACTATTCGGTATGCTACTACTTTAAAAAATGAAGGATCATTAAGGATTGTTGTGGATACTACTACCGGCATGGATTGTAGAAGTATCACACTGAAAAATGCTCCAAAAAAGAGACAAATGATTTGGGTAGTAGTGGTTGTTTTTTTTTTTTGGTTTGTGGGTGTTGGATGATACCATGGTATGCATGCATGGCATTATCGAATAAATATTTACAGTGATATCTCGATTAATAATTCTTTGATGATTCAATTGGCCATCATTCGAAAAATACCTTTATTTCAAAGGTGATAAAGTTTGAATTTTTCTTCAATTATCAATCAATATTATTGCTGATATGTCTCGAACGTACACAAAAAAAAAAAATTTTATTTTATTAACGATTCTTGTTCAATCACTATCAGGTGATTGCCATCATTCTGTGCTATCCGGAATTCATGCGACATAATGAACATTTTGTTTTGTTTTGGAACTTTTAGTTAAACGCGATAACGCTGTATAGAACAAGCCTCCCTCCCTCCTTCTCGTCATTATTTTTATTTTTGTTGTTTCTCCCACTCTTTTTCGAAATATGGGCGGAATGCCCGTTTGGCTTCGGATGACGATGATGATCATGATGGCGTCCATCCTGTTTTTCGGCTTTTTTTCTGGTATTTCGATTTTATTCGAAATGATGGGTGTTTTTATATATATTTTTCTCATCGAGAAGGAAATCATTCCTTATTCTATGTTTTTTTTTCTTCAAAATTTTCGACCTCGAGGTCATTCAACAACATTATCAATCAACGTGCACACACGCCAAACAACTTTGAAAACAACAAACTACTTTTCATTACCAATGATGATGATGATGATGTTGAAAATGACGATAACCTGATCTTGATCTTGTCCGTTTTGTTTTTTTTTTGTTTTTGCTTAAAATAAATTCGGGTTATTGAATAACAACCCGTATTTATAACACAGGTGTTTAGTATTTACCCATTGCATTTTCTGTTTTTTTATTAGGATGCTTAATATGATTATAATATTACCGGGTCATTGTGCCGGTTGTTCGAATACTATAGTAGTTAACATCTCCCCAATCAATAAAATCATACATTTTTTTTTTTTTTTTGAGAATGTGGACCCCCCCCAGATTGAAGGGCGCCATCGCCCTACACCCCCCCACACACACGCACACANCATTTTCTGTTTTTTTATTAGGATGCTTAATATGATTATAATATTACCGGGTCATTGTGCCGGTTGTTCGAATACTATAGTAGTTAACATCTTCCCAATCAATAAAATCATACAAATTTTTTTTTTTTTTTTTGGAGAATGTGGACCCCACCCAGATTGAAGGTCGCCATCGCCCTACACCTCCACACACACACGCACACAAAACTTTGCGTGCATAGACAAAAAGAAATGAAACCCCCTCCTCTTGAAATATCATTTTGTAGAGAATTCAGAATTGTAGAATGAATGTTAAACAGAGTAGGTGGAGCTCATGATGATGATAAGTATACGAGAAAATTGAAATACCTTGAAACTCAATCATACAATCTCTGTGAACAATTTCCGTTTCAATATTTACATTCAATATGAATTGTATATAAAAATTGGATGTTCTATCAAATAATTTCAAAACAAAATCGAATAGTCAACCTTTATAAAATTACAAATATCGACAACATCTATCGAAAAAAAACCGAATCCAAATCGTAATGAACCAATGAAACAAGCAAAACAAAAGAACGCCATCATACGCCCACACACACACAACATGGAATCGTAAATGGAAATTTTCCTTTTTTCAATCTCTTTTTCTCCCACTTTTTTGTTGTTGTTGTTCAAATTCAATCTTGTTATTATTATTGGTTATGGTTTGATTGTCAATTGCGAGTCGATAATGACAAATAAAGAAGGACAAGGAAGCAAAAAAACAAAAACAAAATTATAAAAAAAAAGTAGGAGTGAATCGACAAAATCCCAAAATGATTCCGGCTACGTAAAAACAAAAACAAAAAACTTCATTGCCATCTGGTTTTATAATGACAATCCGGTAATGGATGGGAATCGGGTAGTGTATTTGCGTGCAACGATGAATAAAGAATAACAAAAATTGGTGAAAAAAAAACGTTCGATTTTTGAACGAAAAAGAAAAGAATTGTCCGATTGGGTTAATATAGGGAGAAAAAGGTGTATTCCTGATAAAACCAGAGTTTTTTTCCAGAAAATTCAGGTTAGTTTTGTTTTATTCTGCAATTGCTGCTTCTGTAGTTAGTTGTTAGTACGTCCAGATGAATTGATGAATTTTTAAGTAATGAAAATGAATTCATAGGAAAATGCTTCCCTGAGGCAGTGTGTTTTAAAAATTAAATTTAAAAAAATTCATAGGAAAATTCAATGGAAAAAGAAAATCTTATGAAACTAAGTAAGGAAAAAAACATATTGTATTAGGAAAAAATATATCTTATAAAGATTTATTGAAAGATAAAATTTCAAAAATCAAAATAAATCAATGGGTTTTTTTCCGCATAAACATTATTAAGATAGGTTAGAAATTCTTAGGAATCGGATTCTTACAATGTCAATTTGATGAATGAATTAACATGAAAAAATTATTTTATCATGGGTTCATTACAAATAAGAAATCATTATAATGATGATTTGACTTGAAACCAATATACAGTGGTACCTCGGTTAACGACGATGATCGGGACCTGAAAAACCGTCGTTAACCGAAATGTTCGTTAACCGAGGTACGATTTTCCATAGGTTTCAATGGAGAGCGGATAGAATTGATCCGACCTCAGACCTTGATTTCCTATTATCACCTTAAATTCTCGAAAAAAGCCATGTAAACATAANCTACTGGTTTTTTTTCATTTCAAATCATTCATAATCATTGAATCATAATGACGATTTCGATCAGTGAATTTTATAGCAATCGTTCTGTTTTAATTACCGGTGGTAGTGGTTTTATTGGTAAAGTTTTGATTGAAAAATTACTTCGTTCTTGTCCGAATATTGGCCATATTTATTTGTTGATTCGAACGACAAATCGTAATGGAAAACAACTCGATTCAGAACAACGATTAAAACAACAAATATTGAATTCAAAATTGTTTAATTTGCCTACTTCAAAAAATCTAGATTTTAGTAAACTTGTCGCCATTTCGGGTGATATGACAATGCCGAATTTAGGTCTTACCGAACAAGATCGTCAAAAACTCATTGAAAATGTATCCATCATATTTCATTTAGCTGTGTAACGTGTGTAAGACTGTCTTTATTAAACATTCGAATCGGACTTATATACTGCAGTAGGGGTTAATGCGCATGACAAGTAATGCTACATACCTCCCTCTGCTGGAGAAAAAAAAATTAAAAAATGACAATTAAAAAAAAAATACAAATACAAATTGAAAAAAAAATAAACAGAAATTTGGAAAAATTTTGATTAACATAGATAGAAAAAAAATAAATGAAACATATTATTAGAAAAAAAACAAAGAAACTGATGATTATTGATATGTAAGACGATTTGGCGGTTTCAATAATCTTCCAAAACGAGAAAATTTGACTCTTTTAACTGGTTGATTAGACGAATCAGATGATTTTTGTTCAATATATGCAGGTTTTAACCTTGAAATGGACACATCGAATGGTTTGTTTTTACCCTTAAGTAGATACGAATGATTATATCGCTGTAATACTTCATACGGACCTGTGTACGGTCTATCTAACGACCTTTTATTTTCCTTCCTTACGAACACGAATTTTGATGTTGCTAAGTCAGGTGGTATAAATATTTTAGATTCTCTGAATCCTGCGCTATTACATCTAAATCGGTTCAAGTAAAAACAAGCATTAAATACCACAAAATTTGTTGTTACCATTTCATCATTAGGTTTATCGGTAAGTAGATCGGCAGGAATTGTAATAGGTTCACCATAAAGCAATTCAGCGGACGATGACTTGAGATCTTCTCTTACAATGGTACGAAGGCCTAACAAAACTAATGGAAGAACTTCTTCCCAATTTCCGCACGATGCTTTAATGGCTGATTTTAACGAACGATGAAACCTTTCGATCATACCATTTGCACGAGGATTATAAGCCGATGTGGAAATCAATTTTACGCCAAGGAGATCTGCGAACTTACGATAAAGATCTGCCTGGAACTGAGGACCTCGGTCAGTTGTAATTTTGGCAGGTATGCCAAAGCGAGATACCCATTCTTCCACAAATTTACGAGCAACGGTTTCGGTGGTAATGTCAGGTATCGGCCACGCTTCAGGCCATCTAGAAAATCGATCAATACATGTTAACAGATATCGATTACCTGAGCATTTTGTTACTGGTAACGGACCAACGATATCCATGTTTACGTGAACAAACCTACCCTTCGGAATTTCGATTTGTTGAGGTGGTATCACGATATGTTTATCAACTTTTGATTGTTGACAATCGATACAATTTCGACAAAATTCTTTTACGTCCTTGTTCATGCCCATCCAATAATATCTATTTGATACAATGTTTGTGGTTCGATTGGATGAATGATGAGCAATACCATGACATAATTTGATAATACGTGATGACAATGATCGTGGTATGATGGGTCGAACCAAATTACCTTCTACATGAACTAATAATATACCATGATCAGTGTGATGTTTACATATTTTGTCACCATAATTGTTGAGATATTCGTTCATTTCGTTTTGATTATGTTTTTGTTCGTTGATGATGGTTTCGATAGACAAATGATTTTCAATAGATGATGATAACGATGATGATGTTGACGACGATTGTTGATAAATTGAATCTAGATTAACTCTGCTGAGAGCGTCGGCAACTGTATTTTGGCTACCATCGATGAATTTGATGTCGACAGTGAATTGAAGAATGTAAGCCATTTTACGAAGTTGTACCGGGTTACGTTTGGTATTATTTTTCGTTAACAACGCACTGACCAATGGTCGATGATCTGTGAACACCGTAAACTTTCTTCCCTCCAGAAGGTACTCGAAATGGTGTATTGACAGAAATAATGCTAACAATTCTTTGTCGAACACCGGTAAGATCAATTCACTATCTTTTAATTTTCGAGAGAAGAAGCCCAGTGGCTGGATTGATCCATCATTGTTTAATTGTTCTAAAACACCACCAACTCCAACACCGGATGCATCGGCTTTCAAAATTAATTTGGAGCGGGGATTGAAAAATGCCAATTTGATTTTCTTTGCCAATAATTGTTTAATGCCGTTGAAGGCTGTTGTTTGTTCGTCATTCCATGTGAATTCACCTTCACTCTTTTCCATATCGTAGAGGACGGCTAGAAATTTTGTTGCATGTGGAATGAATCTACGGTAAAAATTGATCATGCCAAGAAAACGTTTTAAACTTTTGTTTGATGACGGCAAAGGATATTCATTGATAGCAGTTAATTTTTCATCGAGAATGCAGATTCCGTCAGCTGTGACGTTGTGACCAAGAAATTTTACTTGTTGACGGAAGAAGACCGATTTATCGACATTAATTTTTAAGCCAAAATTTGATAATTGTTCGAATAGGCGATGTAGATGCAAAGAATGTTCCTTATCATCCTTCGAAGCTACAAGAATATCATCTTGGTATGCGAAGACGAAATCTAAATCACGAAGAGCACCATCGATGAAACGTTGAAATGTACTAGGTGCATTGCGTAAACCAAAAGGTAAACGATTATATTGAAAAAGCCCAAATGGGGTGATGATGGCTGTTTTGTGACGGTCATTTTCTGCAACGGGAATTTGATGAAATGCCGATAATAAATCAATAGTTGAAAAAATTTTACATCCGTTAAGATATTGCGAAAAATCATGAATATGACGCATAGGATATCGATCTGGTTGTGTGATTGCATTAAGTGCACGATAGTCACCACAAACTCTGACTCTACCGTTTGGTTTGGGTACTACGACGATGCGACTGGCATAAGGTGATGATGATGGACTAAGAATCTTTTGATCGATCAACAAATTGATTTCTTGTCGAACCAATTGCATTTTGATTGGGTCGAGCCTTACTGGTAAACAGTTAACTGGGCGATCCGTTGTAAGAATAATGTGATGTTGAACATGATGTTTAGGATCAGCAGCCAGATTCGGATTTGTGATATCAGGAAATTTGTTTAACAACGATTTGATGCGTGCATCAACCGAATCGGAGATAGTCGATACACTGTATATTGATGATGAGCACGTGCTAGCAAAAATTTGTTCGTTTGTTGAACCACGAAATAAGCACATGTTTTTGAAATCGGCGACGATGTTGAAATGTGATAAGAAATCGATACCGATAAGTGGAACGTTGGAATCCGCGATAACGAAATTGAAGATAAAATCATGTTTAAAACCAATGTTGATTTTAAAATATTCAACACCGTAAGTGTTGATAGTGGTTCCATTATGTGCAAATAGTTTGATGTTATCTTTGTTATCTGTTGATTTGCATTTATCACGACCACCAGCGGGCCAGATTGATATTTGTGATCCAGAATCGATCATGATTTTACGTGAAGAAATATAGTCAACAACAAACATTCGATTTTCACGAGACAACTTTGGCGTTCGATTATGATTTGGGGGGTGGCAGATTGACGATGTTGTGCTGGTAGATGGCAGGTCGTTTGGATCATTACTTGTTGATGATGCTGCTACTCTGTTTGACGAGCGTCGTGGCATTGATGATGATCCCTGTTGACTGTGCTGCTGCTGCAGTTGTTGATGTTGTTGTCGTGGTTGACGATTGTTGTGCCTAAATGTGCAATTTGCCGGATCAGCACACTTTCTGGCGTCGTTTCGATATTTTTGATGAATAAAGCACCAACTGCCATTGCTAAAGTTGTTGTTGTTGTTTCGATAATTAGATCTACCACGGCTGCGAGAGCGGTTTCGGAAACGATTTTGGTTGTTGAAAGATGATGAACGGCTATTTTTGTTGACCACCGAGACACTATTGGATTTGTCCGGGTGGCGTTCGATGAGCAAATCGGTGGTGGTGATCATTAATTGAAGATTGTCAAGGACTAGATTATCACCAGCAGAATTTTCGAGTCGTTTTTCGAGCTCAATTACTTGTTGTTCAATTGTCACCGCGATTGATTCAGGAATCCATTTGATCCAGTGAGTGAGCAATTCAGATTTCGAATAGATGTCGCCAGCTGTAGACACGGCCCAGAACCAAGCTTGCGACGGTTTTAAACCTTCCAATGATTTTCGCGCCAATAATTTTTCACGACGAACTGATTTTGACGGCTTGTAATTGACAATTAATCGATCCAATAATGTTTTTAGTTTGCCAGTTTGAAACTCGGATAGCTCGATTGTTGATTTGATGTTGTCAATTACGGACTTTGGCAAACACGATATTATTTTGAAATATTTGTCTTTTTCGTCGAATACGTGAGCAGCTAAAAATGCCGCTTCCACCTGCTTAGACCATCCTTCAGGATCATTCTCCCAAAATGGTTGTATGTCAACACGTGAAGCCGGTTTCGATTGTGGTTGACGATAGCGCGATATGTGTTCGTAAATGTGTTCTTGTGGTTGTTGTTGGGGCAATGATTGTTGTTGTTGTGCCGGTTGCTGCGGTTGTTGCATGGCCAATGTCAATTGATTGATCATTGCTTCGAGTCTTCCTACTTTATCAGCCAAATCTGCTACGGCCGATGTTGATTGATTGTTCATAATTGTTGATTCTGACGGAACACCAACAATTATTGTCTCGCTGTTTGTTGGGGTTGATGATAATGGTGGATTGCTTCCTTCTTCACTCATTCTTTTTTTCCGATTAAAAAACAAGTTCAGAAAGAAAAAAAAAATAAACACGAAAATAAAAATATCACGTGTTGGGTCACCAAAATGTAACGTGTGAAAGACTGTCTTTATTAAACATTCGAATCGGACTTATATACTGCAGTAGGGTTATGCGCATGACAAGTACTGCTACATACCTCCCTCTGCTGGAGAAAAAAAATTAAAAAAAAAAATGACAATTAAAAAAAAATACAAATACAAATTGAAAAAAAGAATAAACAGAAATTTGAAAAATTTTGATTAAACATAGAAAGAAAAAAAAATTAAATGAAACATATTATTAGAAAAAAAACAAAGAAAACTGATGATTATTGATATGTAAGACGATTAGGCGGTTTCAATAATCTTCCAAAACGTGAAAATTTGACTCTTTTAACTGGTTGATTAGATGAATCAGGTGATTTTTGTTCAATATAAGCAGGTTTCAACCTTGAAATGGACACATCGAATGGTTTGTTTTTACCCATAAGCAGATACGAATGATTATACCGCTGTAATACTTCATATGGACCCGTATATGGTCTATCTAACGACCTTTTATTTTCCTTCCTTACGAACACGAATTTTGATTTTGCTAAGTCAGGTGGTATAAATATTTTAGAATCCGACTTAGGACGCGATAATGTAGATTTAGCCAAGTTCATTTTTGTTCGTAATTTATCCACAAAATTTGTTGTTACCATTTCATCATTAGGTTTATCGGTAAGTAGATCGGCAGGAATTGTAATAGGTTCACCATAAAGCAATTCAGCGGNAAAATTCATTCCTATATAGGTTATAGTCTACGTCTCGACCGCATATTCCAATTGTGACCGATCAGTTATTGAAGAAAAGGTGTATTCATTGAAACAAGATGTTAACAAAATAATCGATCAAATCATTGAAAAAGATGATGATAAAAACCCAATCAAAGGTGATCCAATACTTTATGGTAGACCGAATCCCTATACGGTTTCCAAAGCTTTGACCGAATGTCTGATAGAGAAAAAATATTCTGATCTACCGGTTGTAATTTGTCGACCATCAATAGTATCTTATGCATATAATGAACCAACAAGAGGCTGGTGTGATAGTCTTAATGGAATTTCTGGACTGATACTACTGGGAAGTTTAGGCATTATTCAAGTACTAACGGGTAAATATTGATTTGTCATTATATGAATATATAGTAATATCAGTAACCATTCCTTCAAAAGTTGATCATGATAAATTGACCGATTTAATTCCAGTAGATTTTGTTGCAAATTCATTGATTGTAATTGGATATCATTCAAGAATGCCATCCACAGAAAAGAAAAATGTCATAAATATTACATCGGGAGCAAAAAATCCAGTTACTTGGAGAAAAATAGTTAACTCGGTATCTGATAAAGTATCTTCGACGCCATCAATAAGAATGGTACGACCAACGAATAAGCTAAGAATCAATTCAACTGTCATCGGTCGAATGCACCATTATTTTCGTTCATTCTTTTTTCATTTTCTTTTTGCTTATATTTTTGATTTTCTACTAATCGTCATCGGTCAGAAACGATATATGGTTAAAACAATGAAACGAATCCAAAAATATTGTGATGTTTACCGTCATTTTCTCAATAATGAATGGCTATTTAAACATAATCATTATGATCAAATATATCGAACATTATCGGTTGAAGATCAATTACGATTTCCATCGGATGTATCAACAATCGATTGGAATGAATATTCAAACACGATTTGGATCGGTACACGACGATATCTATTAAATGAAGATGATTCAACTATTAAACAAGCAATTCATCGACAACGAAAAATCAACATCATTTTTGGATTAATTCATTTTTTCGTTTACTTATTTATGATGATCATACCTTGCATGTTTGCCATTATATTTCCAATCAGAATGATATTAGCAAATCATTCGTAAAAAAATATTCATTCTGATGCAAATTGAATTGGAATTTAATAAAAACAATTTTAAAATGATATTACTAGCACCATCTTTTTATTTGTATTATTCCCAGTAATCATCAATTTCATTTTCAATTTTTAACTCTTTAAGCTTTCAATTCATTCAAAAAATTTTACATTGAAAGCATAAATTAGATTAATTTTAGTGATAATACAAAGTGAATATTAGAATTCAACCATAGTCAAACTCATGGCGTACATAAATGTAAGAAAAACTGTTATCTGTTATATTTCCTTTTTAATTATCGAAAATTTTTACAGAACTTTTCATTGATAAAAAACATGGCAAAATTATTTATCTATTTTATCACATGTTCAGCTGAGCATCGATAACAAATCTTTATGACGATCCAATCATGATGATGATTTGACTTGAAAACGATATATAAATGAAAAAATTTTCAATTTGATCCATTCAAACAACTACAGGTTTTTTTCATTTCAAATCATTCATAATCATAGAAGCATAATGACGATTTCGATCAGTGAATTTTATAATAATCGTTCCGTTTTAATTACCGGTGGTAGTGGTTTTATTGGTAAAGTTTTGATTGAAAAATTACTTCGTTCCTGTCCAAATATTGGCCATATTTATTTGTTGATTCGACCAACAAATCAAAATGGACAACAATTCGATTCCGAACAACGATTAAAACAACAAATATTGGAATCAAAATTGTTTAATTTGCCTACTTCAAAAGATATAGATTTTAGTAAACTTGTTGCCCTATCGGGTGATATGACAATGCCGAATTTAGGTCTTTCCGAACAGGATCGTCAAAAACTCATTGAAAATGTATCCATCATATTTCATTTAGCTGCGACAGTTTCTTTTAAAGGACCAATGAAACATTTTGTTCAACAAAATGTTTTTGGCACCGAATCAATTTTGCAATTGGGACGTGAATTAAAACAACTTCAGGTAATTAAATGAATTGTTTTGAATTTGACTTGAAGGTTAAAATTCATTCCTATATAGGTTATAGTCTACGTCTCGACCGCATATTCCAATTGTGACCGATCAGTTATTGAAGAAAAGGTGTATTCATTGAAACAAGATGTTAACAAAATAATCGATCAAATCATTGAAAAAGATGATGATAAAAACGCAATCAAAGGTGATCCAATACTTTATGGTAGACCGAATCCATATACGGCCTCCAAAGCAATGACTGAATGTTTGATAGAGAAAAAATATTCTGATCTGCCGGTTATAATTTGCAGACCATCAATAGTATCTTATGCATATAATGAACCAACAAAAGGCTGGTGTGATAGTCTTAATGGAATTTCTGGACTGTTGCTATTGGGAAGTTTAGGCATTGCTCAAACAGCTTCCGGTAAATATCAATTTATAATTTATATAATATAACTTCTTAATATTGATGAATATCATTTATATCATAAATAATATCCATAATCATTCCTCCCAAAGTGGATTATGATAAATTGACCGATTTAATTCCAGTGGATTTTGTTGCAAATTCATTGATTGTAATTGGATATCATTCAAGAATGCCATCCGAAGAACAAAAAATTGTTATAAACATTACTTCGGGAGCAAAAAATCCAGTTACCTGGAAAAAGATAATTTACTCGGTATTCGATAACGCGTCTTCGGTGCCATCAGTTAGAATGTTACGACCAACGTATAAGCAAAGATTCAATTTAACTAATTTTATCGGTAGAATAAACCATTATTTTCGACTTTTCTTTTTTCATTTTCTATTCGCCTATATTTTTGATTTTCTGCTAATCGTCATCGGTCAGAAGCGATATATGGTTAAAACAATGAAACGAATCCAAAAATATTGTGATGTTTACCATCATTTTCTCAATAATGAATGGCTATTTAAAAATAATCATTATGATCAAATATATCGAACATTATCGATTGAAGATCAATTACAATTTCCATCGGATGTATCGACAATAGATTGGAATGAGTATTCGAAATCGATTTGGATCGGCACACGACGATATCTATTGAATGAAGATGATTCAACAGTTAGACAAGCAATTCATCGACAACGAAAAATCAACATCATTTTTAGATTGATTCATTTTTTCGTTTACTTATTTATGATGATCATACCTTGCATGTTTGCCATTATATTTCCAATCAGAATGATACTAGCAAATTATTTCTGAACAAAAAATATTCATTGTGATTATGCGGAGGAAATAAAAATTAAATTGAATTTTTTTTAATGATATTACTAGCACCATCTTTTATTTTTGATTTGAAATTCATATTAAAACAAAAATTAAATTTATTCTTGTGCTTGTTTATCTTGTATTTGTTTCAGTATCGATAGTTGTTTTGGAATTAATTGCGGTGCATTTTCATTGACAGCACGAAAAAATAACCGGCAAAGATTTTCTCGTATATAACGATAATCAAAATGATGTTGTAAAAAATATTGATTATTAAATTCATTCAAACCTAATGAATACCATAAAAATGTTTGAAATTCATTCATTGTTAAATATGGTTCCATATTGTTTGTTTCATTTGTTGTTTTTGGATGCATTTGATTAAACAATCGAATAACAATACGTATTCGTTCCCATAGATCTTTTTCACGTATATCACATAAATGTAATATAATTAATAAATGTATTGTTGTTATTGGTATCGAAACTGTCATTTGTAACATTTTTACCAGATCCATAAATATTGTATTCAAAGTTCGTAATGTTGAATCAATTGGAATGAATTCAAATAATTTCAACAAAACGGGAATTTCTTTGCTTGATTTTATTGGTCGATAATGAAAATGTTTTTCCATTTTAGTTATACAATGTTCAATAAGACGTGAAAATATTTCATATAATAAACGATTATCATCATCAATAGTAGTGAATGTAAATGATTCGGATCGAAATAATTTTCTTTTTACTTTACTGATTGGTAGATATTGAAATTCATTCGAATCATCAACATTATCTGTGGCCAACATTGACATTGCCTGTAATTCTGCTAATTCAGATGATGATGAAGATGATTGTGATTGTCCAATACTTATCGGTTTATATGATTCAATTACTGATTCTTCGGAATAGCCTGTAGTTAAATATTCAAGATCATCTTTTTTTGGTTTTTGACTAGAATTTTGGCCATCCTTTACATTAGAATCAGCAGTATTAGAATTGTTTGTTTTTGGACTAGATTTTGATTTTTGATTTTGGCAATCAGTTACAGTACCAGTACCATTGTTTGCATCATTTGATTTTGGGGTGGTGGTGGTAGTTGCCGTTGGCGTTGTCGGTGTCGGTGTTTTAGGGCTGTTTGGATCGGTTTCATCATCAAATTTTTCAGTTTTATTCAATATGGTTGAACGAATTTTTTCCGCAATTTTTAACATCATAATACAGATTGGTGAACGAAATAAACCAAATTGTTTAGCTACATGCATTAATGGTACATCATCATATGAATAATATGATTGTGGTATACCTAATTCGATACACATTTTTTGTGCAACATTTTGTGCAAATTTTTTCGGATCTTGTAATTCTAAATTATTTGGTCGATATTCATCCATTATAGTTATTTCACAATCAATTGATAAACAAGACATTGTATAGAAAAATATTTTCAATACACCCGGTCCTTCCCATGTCCATGTAATTGGATCATGTATACCGCAACAAGTTTCATAACGTATCAATACCGGTTGTATTGGTAATCGTGGTAAAAATGCACCCAATTTAAATTGTAATAATGCTTTACGATTAGCTGTTGTACCTTCGGGAAATATTAAAACATGTTCAGCATGTTTACTTGTTCGTTCCATAATTGCTTGTATTGTTGCTATACGTGAATTTTTATCATGACGATCAACATATATACCATTATAAAGACGTAAAATATTACCAATCAATGGTGTATGTATATTTTCTTTACGTGATACAAATGTTGGATTTTCTAATTTTAATATCAATAAAATATCAAAAAATGATGAATGTGGTGCTGCACATATGATCGGTGCTAATGTATGACGACGATCTGTTGGTCGTTGATCAACCATACGTATCCAATAAAATCCGGCAAAAAATAATCCCGTACGTAGTATAAATATTGAAACATTTCGGCCAATCGTACGTAAAAATTCAGTTTTTAATCGAAAAAATTTTCCAATTGATATCATTATTAATGTTATTTTTGCCACTAATGTTGCCATTAATACAAATAAAACAAATGGTGGAAAACGTATAACAAATAAAAATAATCCAATTGTATAGGTATAAAGACGTATCCAACCAGTTTTACGATGATGATTAACAAATGGATTAACACTGATCAAATCTAATCGTTCATCATAACATTTCATTTGATTTGGATTTGAATTGATTTTTTCGGACATTTTTTTTCTTTTCTTTTTTCTACTTCTTCAACGATTATTTCAATTTTTCTAAAATATATACTATTTTTATTCATTATATTTTCAATCAAAATTAACAACGACAAAAAAATAATTTAATTAAAACAAAAGAAAATTCCATAATTAGCTAATTGAAATTCATTAAAATTAAAGCAATTCTAATTGTTTTAATGTTATTATAGTCGTGATTGTTGGTGACAATTTTCTTTTTGATTCGAAAAAAAACCGGATTTTCTCAATGACCATCCAACCAACTGAAACAACATTGGAATACAAAGTATTTATTAAAAAAACAACTTTTAACATTCCTGATGGGTTTTCTGTTTTCGAGAAAAATGCTTTTTTTGATGATTGTATCCATATAAGGAATTGAATGAATGAATGCAAAATAAAACTATATTTCAATCGAATGTGTTCGATATTTCTTAAAATTTGATTATTCGAATCCGATAAATCAATCAATCCGATTTGGATTGTGATTTGTCACTTGTGAAATGAGTAAAAAAACTGATGAAAAATGTTCTTTTTTTTCTCGTTGAAAAATTTCCATTTTCATATTTATGATTGTGAAATGCTTTTTTATTTTGTTTTGTATAAATTTCCAGTTTAATTTGTTGTTGTTTCCTAACAAAATTGATTCGTTTTGATAATGTGGTGAACACAATCATCAAAAAACAACTGATCATTATGATATGAATTATGGACAGCAAAAACACAAGAAAGAAAGAAAAAAACGCGAAAAACACATTTAGATTCATTAAAATTGATAAATTCATTTTTTGTTTTCTTCTTCTTCTTTGGAAAAAATAAAATTTGTTTGAATCATTGTAGCATGCACGCACAGACAGACATATTTATGATCAATGTCAATGTTTTTTTCCCTGAATTCTTGTCTTACCAGTGTCATTATCAATATGATCTCAATCGATATGGATAAATTCGGTAATCGAAATTTCCGAATATTCTAGCTTTTTCTTTTTCTTTTTCTATTTCTATTTCTATTTCTATTTCTTTTCCTCTTCATCTTCTTACTTTCAAGACAATGTAAAACAAAAAAACGACAATCCACCTACGAATTTAAAGACAAAAAAAAAACGTCCTTCAAATTTTCTTGGCTGCTATAATCAAGCCAATTCTAATCATAAAAATTATTTTTCATAACTTTAATTATCATCATGATCAATGTTTATGATGATGATGATTGATGTTTCATTTGTTTTAAACAAAATTTAATTTAAATCAAAAGATTTTAGATCAAAAAAAAACAGAAAAATTTTTGGGATAAAAATGTTTGATATTTAAAAAAAGTAGCGAAAAAAAACTAAAGGGATTTGCTGTCCTAGTGGTCCAAAAACTAGTTATGATTATTCTTCAATTTTTTTCATCACCATGTATGGTCTTTGTTGAATATTGTTACCAACAATAAAAATTGAATTGAAATTCTTATCCCGTCAAAGAAAAATATCTTTGAAAACAATGGAAACAAAAATTATTCATTTTTTTTTTGCAAACATCATATTCTCTCATAAAAAAATTTTTTCCTTCTGTTTCTCTCTTCTCTTTATCACTTTCACTTTCAATTCTATGTGTTTTGCACCTGATGATGATAAATAATGATCACATCATTATCATTAACACGTTTTTTCGATGTTCACTGTTTCAATGATTTTTTTGTTGTTGTTTTTGTTTGTTGCAGGAAAAATGAAATAAAATTGTTTCAAGTTGTTCTTCACATAAATTATATTTCGTAGAAAAAAATGAAACAGGCTCCTTGCAAATACAAAAGGGAAAACAACTGAATTTTAAATAAAAAAAATTCAAAATGGCTCAGAATAGATTGGCTTGTTCATGGACAATACATGTACAATTCGGTTGAATCCACATTGAATCATAATTGTTCATCATCATCATCAACATTGACAAAATTGAATGGTTCATGAATCAACACGAATCCTACAAATAAAAAAAAACAGACAGATAAATAATAAAAGATTATCATATTGACTGAAATGAATAAACGAATGGTAAAATGATATGATACGATGATAATGGTGACAATTTTTTTTTCTCGAATGAGATTCCCTCAAATTCGTTTAAATTATTATCATTATTTTTTTTATGTAATAAAAATCATATCATTCTTTTTTCATCTTTTTTCTTTCTTTTTTTTCAATTATCATCTTAGTGATTGCAAATGAAAAACAAACAAAAAAACAAGTTATCATCCATCCATCCATCCGTTCATAGAATGTACAAAACGATTCTTAAATTGATTTTTTCTTTATGGTTTTGACGCACACGCATTTTTTTTATAGTGTGGTTGTTGTTGTTGTTATCGTTGTCTTACATTGTCCATAATTTATTCAATCGATCAACTTAGTAACGAAGATTCTTGTTAAATTTTTTTTTTGAATTCATTTGTCGGTTTGGTTTGGATGACGAGTAACGAGTGTATATTTTTTTGTGCCAAATAATTTTTTTTACCTTGATTTTGTTTTTGTTTTTTTCTTTGGTTCAGAAGTATTTTTGAATGATTTTTCTTCTGACAAAATGAAACAATTGATATCAATACCGATTTTGGTGATTTGGATTTTTACGGTGATCATTATTGCTGGTTGTGATGCACAAGGTATTAAATCAATCAGTGATAATCAAAATAATGATGGACCATCATCGCCAGTTTTTTTTCATCGACAACGTAAGTAGATTTTAAAAAATTGGCAATACAAAATTTTCAAATTTTTAAAAAAATTTCAGGCGCAATGGCTTCATTTCGAGTATCAGATCAACCAACATCCGATCATCAACCTGAATTTGGTTATCGTCTTCGCATGCCTAGCCAGCCGAATCCAAAAACATATATGGATTACAATGTACAAAACAACAACAATAAAAATAATGATTTGATGATTGTTCGTCCACGTCCGATTATTATCAATAAAGGTGAAACATTGGAATCATCATCATCAACAGATCGAATTCGACCATTAGAATATTCGACACATCATAATGATTATCAACAACAGCAACGAGAAGATTCTGATGATTCTCAACAATCCACGTTTACAGGATCAAATGATAATAATTTTTATGGCCTACCACAACCATCATCTTCGTTTACTGGTAATGTATCACAAACACATGGTTCAGAATTAAATTCTTCACCAATTCCGGCTCCGGTACCTGAAATCGCTTACTATGATATAAATGATACACAACCAAACCAGCAAAATCAACCCGAATCATCGAGTCGTAGTTTTAATGGTGAACATCCAGATCAACGACAAATCGAATGGATTCGATATATTCAACGATTTCAACCAATTCCTAATCCAATTTTCAATCCAGGTTTTTTTAAAAAAATCATATAATAAAAGTAATTATATTTATGATTTTTTTTCAAATTCAATATTCTAGTTTCACAACAACAAATTATTCCAGCCACAGAGATTCCTGTTGGAACACCGGTAATATTTCATCGTAATGGATATCGACCAGTGCCAGAAGCTGGTCGCCCACCAATTCAAAATTATTTTGTACAGATTCCTAGACCAGGTGGTCCATTACAATCACAACATATTCCAACAACTAATCGATTTCAACAGGTTGAAATTCCACAACAAAGATATGAAATTGTTAATTCGAATGAACAACAACGTTTCATACTTCCAAAACAACAGAATGCAGGTCAATCATTTATTCGTGAAATTCGACCAATGCCAACAACATATCTTACCGATCAGATACGTTATTTACCACCAATACCACAACGTATGAATTATTTAATAATGATACCTTTATTGAAAATTGTAAGTCCAGTAATTCGTATTGGTTCAACAGGCAATACCCAGCGACCAACAATGAATGTTGATTATAATTCTATCAGCGAATCAGCGAATAACAAAACTGTTGGAGATAATTATCAAGTAACACAAGAACAGCCAATTATTACACAAACACGAATTCATACGCCAGTATTCGTAACCGATTATAAACCGCCAAAAGAATTCAAATATACGATTACACGTAATGATCAATCAATGGTTGAACAAAAACAATCAGATGACAAACAAACAATGATAGCTGTACCTATTGCTCAACAACGTATCGATAGTGGTAATAATGTTGGAGAAGATCGATTCTATCAGATACCATTAGCACAACCAATTCGTCATTTTCATGTACCACCATATATGCATCCATTTCCCATTGATCATTTGATGCGATCACCATTGTATTATTCAAATGATATTCAATCATCTGATTATGAACGTATACGTCCCGGTCAAACACATACACTTCCTGTTGTTAGAAATCAATCTGGTGGTCAAGGTGGTGGACCTGTTACCGTTACGATTGAGCCAATTCCAGAAGCATCGCCATCTACTGGTTCCCAACCGAGTCATCCAATACCAGTTTCGCAATCAAAACCAATCAATTTGGTTATTAATCATAAAAATAAAAATTTAGGCCAGCCATTACGGCAAGCTGTTTTTGAACCAATCGATAATGTTGCTTATCCATCAGATTTTCCGGAATCCGATTTGTATGGACAACCACAACAACAACAGCAACCTATTTTACAAGTTGGACAACCACTTCGACAATCAAGCACTTATGAACCACCGAAAGAATATCGGAATCAAATCGGACAACCATTACGTCAACCGGGAGAAACATATCAAAAACAACACCAGGCTGGACAGCAACTAAGAGAAACAGATAATTATCAACCAATTTATGGACCACCAAATAATCAAAATTTTCGACGATTAGAATTATCCGAAAATATTGCCAATGTAGATGAAAGTTCGGAATTAGAACCCGGTCATCCGGATTATATAACTGGTCGTGGACATCAATTGAATTATAATCCACAACAATTTCAATATTCATCCACTGCTAATCGATGGCCTGTACAACAACGAATAGATAATAATAACGAATATTATCAACAACAATCGAATGATGGCATTTATCATCATCAAACATCATCGTAAAAAATAAACAATCTTCATTATGACATTGACAATCGAAACAAATTGATCAATCGATCGATCGATCAATATTTTTCCAATCATTGAAATTATTCAAATATTTTCAGGACAGTGCAGAAATAGGCGAAAAAAATGAATAAAATTTTGAATTTTTTTTTCTTTTTTTTTACTCTTTCAAATTGATAATCACCAAAATTCGTTGGTCAAAAATCAATTATTGTTTGAAAAAGTTGATAATAAAATCCATCTTGTTTTGAACAGATTCAATAAATGATAATAATTGATATTTAACGCTTAGAAAAAGTTTGATTGAAGTCACATCAATTAATTCAACAAAAAAAAAATCAATCCACTTTATTTTTTTCAATTTTCAAAATCAGATAAAAATCTTGGCAAAATGAAAAAAAAAACATTTTTGTTATTTTTGCAAAAATCATTCACAATGACATTGCTCCAAAGTCATCATCATATTAACGAGACAAGCAGCAAATAAACTTGTTGATCATAATGTACAATATTATTTTTTTTTCAATGAAAGAATTGTCGACGTGTTAAAAATGGAATGATGTTTTTTTCAACAACAACAAAAAAATTCCAATCAATTCAACATTCATGGTTTTGACATTATATCTCAGTGTAGGATAAAATTTTTCAATCATGACAACAAAAAATGTCTGAATCTTTTATTATTATTATTATGACATTTATATTAAATTAGCATTTAAAATAGAATTTCAACAAAAATAAATGAAAAAGAAATTTAAATTTTATGTGATTGATTTGTTAAAGGAAATGTCAAATTATTATTTGCCAAAAAAAAAGAAAAATGATTGTTAATGAATGTGAATAGCTTCTAATAATTGAAATGATAGTAAGGATATTTTTGGTTGACATTTAACAGCCAAAATCAGGTGAATGGCAACAATAAAGATAATCATAATTGAATGGTGGAATAAATTTTGTAAATAATTTTTCACAACGACATGATTCTTGTAGACCAAGTAATTCTTTTGACCAACGAATTGTTTCGGGTGAATTATCTGTAGTAAAATAGGCAAGCTGATCGTTGGATGAAAAACGACCATCCGAACGTATTAATTCGGCTAATAATACTTCACCAATTAATGGATCGATAGCGTATAATGGTCCAGGCATTGATCGACCAACTTTAAAATAAGGGGTAAAAATTTTTGTTTTTAATTTTTTAAAATTTTATTTATAATCAATTTGAACAGAAATCAATATTATTGCAATACATACTTGGATCTAATTGTATACAACCATAACCAACAACTTTACTATCATTATTCGATGTATCCAATACGGCTAATGTGATTGTCGTCGTTTTGGCAAACATATAACGTAATAATGTTGAACGATTGTCTAATTGAACAGTTTTATCGAATTCGATTATTTTTTCGATCAATGATTCATGATAATCAATATTATCGGCCATCAATTTAATCAAATGATATTTTTGATCAAGTTTTTCAGCCGTACGTAATGATTGTATGTTTGGTGATTTACCTTCGATTATAACAATCGATCGACCTTCAATTTGACGAAAACCAGCACGATCTTTATAGATTTTAAATTTACTTGGTACAGCGCAAAGACCGAAATTATCATTGTTGAAAGTTGTTAAACATTTTGAAAATAATTTTTTTCCAATTCCAAAATTTCGATATTCTTTTTCCACACAATACAGTCCAAGAATACGTGTTCCATGTGTAGTCATTGGCGATGCACATGAACCGATTACTTTGTCTTCATTTTCATCGATTGCAACAAAAAAACCGGATGGATCTGATTGATAATAACTTTGTACAACATTCAATGAATCATTAAGATTTGCACGAGAAAATATCATTACAGCGGATTCAATTTCATCAAATTTCATCGGACGAATTGTTAATTTAAAATCTAAATCATTAATATGATCATCATTATGATGATCACTATCATCAAGATTCATAATTGTGGTTGCCATTTTACTAAAAACAACATTAACAACAAAAATGATTTCAATTCGATTTGGAATCGTTCTCAACAAACAAATGCGATGAGATTCGGTCGAAACGTTTCGTTGAAAAACGAAAACAAAAATGGCTAAATAACGATAAACAAGGGAAATTGCTCACAAATACAAAGTATCTGGTATATTTTTTTCATAATCATATTGAATGGCATTGAAATATAAAATCATGCAAATTGATTGATTGATTGGTTGAATGTATAAGAAAATTTGTTTGCAATGTTTGTTTGTATTATTATTATTGAATCAATTGATTTCAATAAAATGCTATGTTTTTCAAGTACAATTCAATTCGAATTGAACGAATGAAACAAAATGTACGAAAAAAAAAGAAAAAGAAAAGCAATTGAGGCCTTTTTTAACAATTTATTGTGAAAAAAATAATTTTTCATTCATATTTGCATTAAAATAGACAAGAAGTAGGCAACAAAGAATCGATAAAACAAATCGATAATTCGATCAATGAATGTTTTAAAGACATCTGAAAAATAAATTCTCAAAATATCGAATGTATTAGATTTATTTTTTTATTGACAATAAATGATGATAAAAACACAATCAATATTTTGGGATTGAAATGATAATAAATTCATTAAATGTTCACAAATATAAACAATCAACGGTTGATTTCTGTCTCTAACTAATAACTAAAACCGATATCACGACAAACAAACCAAACCAACAAACATGTGTGTATCACTCGAATCATATGAAAGATTGAATGAAATTCGTACAATATTTATTTGTCTACAATACAAACATCAATTTTTTTTCAAAAGGAAGAAGAACCTTCCTTTTCTTTTCTTTTATTTTTAGATCTATACAGACAATTGATGCTATACACACAGAATACGAATAAAATGATTTTTATTCCATCATTATCATAATAGTTTTGTTCCTGAAACCACTACTAGAAAGAAATTTAACCTTGAACTAGACCATACATTTTTGGTCCCAGTATTGGATCCTGTGTGTGTGTGTATGTTGTTCCAAATGGAACAATCTCATATATCAAATAATATTGCTATATTGAAAAAAATGACTTAATAATTTGATGATGATGATGTGTACCTTATTGATGATAAAATATTTGGTTTATTTTTTTTATTTTTTTTGATTAGTTGAATAGAAAAAAAATTCAAGGTCTTTGATACTGAGCAAAATCATTCTTGTTGCCAATGCTTCGTTTTTTTTCTGAGAAAAGAAAAACAAGAACATTTTTATGTTCAGAAAATATATAGATTCGGAATTTTGATTTGATGATTGTCGATTTTTTTTAATCGAAAAAATAATGAAAAAATCGATCAATTTTCAAATGTTCATCTTTCGAAAAATTAATTGAAAAATCTGAAATTTTTTTCATTTAAAAAAGAAGTCATGATAAGAATTAATTGAATTTTTTTTTAAACAGACACGTATCAGTTTTTTTTCTGTTTGTCAATATTTGATCTGTAATAATAATAATAATGATCTGTATTGGATGTTTGAAATATGAGATTATTACATAATAAATTTGTTATCGTTATTTTGTTTTTGTTTCAATGGAAAAGATTATCAATGAATCTGAAAGTCTGAAATCAAAATTTTTTCTAGAAAAAACCCATTCTTGTTCATTGTTGTAGATAAACGAAGGGAAAGAGTGGAAAAAAATTGCCCGTAAGGCTTTCACCTTGATTCTGTTTTTTGTTTGTTTTTTTTCTGTTTGACACATAAAAAAAATCTAAGAACCAATAATTCATCAACCTACTTATAATCGAGAAAAAAAACGATGACGTTCATGATTAGATGCTAATCATCATGATGAACGAAGATCAAGGACAAACTTTATCTTTGCGCAATGAAAAAAAAAGATTTGAAAAAAAAAGTACAAACCTATTTATAATCCAAAAAAAGATCAAAATTCAAAACCCCCTCATTTTCCACGAAAAAAGTAGATATCATTTTAAAATCTTGTTTTTTTTAAAGAAAAACAAATAAAATTAATGTCCATTTATATTACAAATGATAATTATTTTCTTTCAAAATAGTACGATTTCTGTGGCCCTTGACAACAGCAAGAACATTTAAAAAAAATTTGAATGGTTCAATTCAATAAATGTGTGTGTGATGTAATGAGAGAATATTGTAGAACTTGATTGACAAGATTATAACCACTTTTAACCCTCACTACTGAAGAATTACTGAATGTCATCATTGTTGTTGTTGTTGTTGTTGTTGCCAGAATCTTTATGCGTAAATAAATGATCATTATCAAGGAAAATTTTCTTATGATTTTATCATTTATCAATAACAAAAAAGAAAAAAAAATGGTCTCGTTTTTCAATACTTGTTTTTTTTTCTTTTCTTTTATGGATTCAATATTCTTTGATGAAAGGAGTGGACAACAAGTTTTTTTTTATATTTGTCCAAATGAAAGTATCACTTTATTCTTAATCATTTTTCAACTGATTCTGTTGATTGTGATGGACTAAAATGATTTTGGTTATTTTGAATGGGTCTGGATTTTTATTATAAAAGACCAATGTTTTTTACCATTTCGAATCATCATTTTCTTGAACTTCAAGTTTGAATTGAATATTTCTTGAAAATTTTTATTAAACAAATACTCTATTAACCATGCTTAAGGTTTGTTTGTTTTAGTTGATGAATTTTTCATTTGTAAAAATTTCATTTTGTAATGTTTTTATTCTTTATTTTATTTAAAGTTTGTCGTTTTAGTCGCCGTTTTGGGCGCCTGCTTTGCTGAAGAAAGCATGCAGGAAAGATCGAAAAAAATGATGAGTGGTCAATATTACGGCATAGGTTCGTATGGTTATGGTGGCCGAGGTTTTGGTTCCAGTGATCGTTCTGGTCTTGGTTATGGCTATGGTGGTCACCATTATGGTTCCGGCGTGTATGGTTATGGTGCCCGAGGATTTGGTTCCAGTGATCGTTCTGGTTATGGTTATGGCCTTGGTGGTCACTATTATGGCCCCGCTATGTATGGTTTTGGTGTCCGAAGTTATGGTGCCGGTTATGGCTATGGTCTTGGTGGTAACCGAATGTACTATGGTCGACGATATGGCGGCTTGGGCGGTTATCATGGTTTAGGGGGAAATTTCGGATATTCTGGTATCCTTCCATCATATAGCTATGGTTATGGTAATGCTGGTTATGCTTTGCAACCAATCACCACTGCTTACATTGCCCAACCAGTTGTTCAAAGTATGGACAATGTTCGATTGGGTGCCGCCATTCCATCGGTTGAATTTATGAGTGAACGTAGACCAGAATCTCAATCCGAAGTTGTTAAAGCTGCTGTTTACCGTGTACCAAACACTGTTGAATACAAAAGCATGCCAACCAATTACAATAAAGTTCAACCACAAGTTGTCGAAGTCGAACCATCCGAAACTGCATTGCATCTTCATTTCAAAACTGGAAGTTCCGGTATTCTTCTTACACAATCACACGAAAAAAGTCAATCACCCGAAGTTCAAGTTGAAGAATCCAAAGAAGATGTTGCTCGATTGATCCATAAAATCGAAAAACCAATCATCCAAGAAGTTCATGAAGTAATTACTCCATATCGTCAAATTACCAAAGAAATCAGCCCAGTTGTTGAAGCAATTCACACTATTGTTTCAAAATCAGAAGGTAAATTTTTTGCTTGTTTTTATCATTCTCACTTTTTTATACTCTTATTTTATATTCGTTTTTATGAATAGATCAACGACAAAACTATCATGTCATGGAACATCCCCAAACCGTTTCGGTTCATCGTGAACAAGCTCAAATGGCCGTTGCACAGCCAGTATCAACTGTTGCCGTTGCACAACCAGTATCCACTGTTGCCGTTGCACAACCAGTTGCCGCAGTTGCCGTTCCACAACAAGTAGCTACTGTTGCCGTTGCTCAGCCAATTGCTGCTCAACCAATCGCTGTTGGTTATGAAGAAAAATACATCGCTCCAAGTTCCTACGGAATTATGGGCTCAGGTTATTCAGCTCAACCAATCACATATGTTCAATCATCATATGAACCAGCTAAATTGGGTTATGGTTATGATGCTAGCCGATATTTGTCATCATCATCATCATCATCTTCAGCTGCTCCATCACAATCATCATTCGGTAACCGATGGGAAGGTGATGCTGGTTCATTCCGTGCCAATTTCGATAACCGAGCTGGTATGGTTGGTAACCGACAAGAACAATACCATGAATCACGATCAAGCTATTAAATTATCGATCCTGATCCATTCATCATCATTAACAAGATCAATGTTGAATGAAAATTAATTAGAAATCGATAAAATTTTTTCCGATCAACTGCCAAGATTGTTACCTAAATTTTATTTCGATCCTGCCAATCCGGTATCCCAAATGAATGAAGAAGAGCAAACAAAGGGATTCCAAATTATTATTATTATTATTATTTTGGTTCAAAGCTTTCTATTTTTCTCAAAGAATCTGTTCTTAATTTTTATTTTGTCCAACTTTCTCCCTCTTTTCTCCTTCTCTCATTCAATCTTATCCGGTGCCCAACAAAAAAAAATCCATTAAATAAAAACTTATTCAATGAAAAAAAATGTCTTAAATTTATTTATAGTGTTGATGAATGTTATGGTCATAATTTTGATCATGTGAACAAGAGATTTTAAATAATTATATTACAAATGAATTTATAAAAATGATTAGATGTTTGTTTAAATAACATGAAATTCCATTAAAAATGCCAAAATTATATAGATCATATAGATCGTAATCAATATATAACCATGTAAACGATGTGAACGAAAATTTCCCAACACAAATATCAATAATGATATGGCCAAACTTGCTGTTAATGTTGCATATGGTAAGGTTATCATATGATTATAATGAATCTAAATGCAATTCAAATGAAGTGAAATGGATTGTTGTTGTTGTTTTATTAATTTATTAATTACAAGATTGTAAACTTACATTAATTGTATTAGAAAAATTATCATTCTTAATAAATAACATTAGATATGGAATGCCTAAACCAATCAAAAGATCTGATAATATGGAAGATAAAAAAATTTGATCAATTTGTAAAATTTAATACAATTCAAAAAAACTTACTAAATAATGGTCCACCAAAACAAGCTGCAATAGCCATACTATGATAACCATGGCGTGCCATTGATAGATTTGATATTAAATCTATAGGAGAAATTTTATTGAAATAATAAATCTTAAAAAACCTTTAATATAAATCGATCTAACCTCCACAACTGTTACCCCATGCCAATATCGTAAGGCCAAGAATCGAATCAGATAAATTAAATAATAAGGCAAATGTTTTCAAAATGTTTATAATTTCATTTGCAATCGTTTGAATAAATATAATCGAAACAATAAAACCGATTAATGCAAATATACGATGATAAAATGGTGATCGATTTTTATCCGTAGTTAAAAATAATAATATAATCAATACGAATGATATGATAAGTAATAATGCCCATAAAGGAAATTGATCGTTGATATCATATTCAACTGGTTGGTAATTAATTTGATAATGGAATTAATAATTGGATCATCAAATAATTTCTTTAAAAAAAGTTTACCTTGTTTAAGAAAAATAACAATTTGCGGTGCAATCACAATGTTTATACAGTACAATAAACGACACCAATTATCATTGACAGATTCCAGATCTACTACCGGTATGCAAAGAATAAGAAGAAAATATGGTCCAGCTTTGATTAATTCTAAAAGTTTTTTATAAAATGGATATTCTTTCCATTCTAACATATCAATAGGACAAATATGAAGAAGAAAATTCTTTGTTTCGCTCATCATTTCATTTATACTAAATTGTGCTAAATATTTTGTCGAATTATCATTATAATCTTCACGTTCGTTTTGATTCAAATAGGTTTGTGAATCAAAATCATCTTCATCTGTTTCTAATGCTTTGGAAACACTATAAATTGTATTCGACCAATGATGATGTGCAAAATGTTTTGATTCAGATTTTCTACGACTATTTGTACTACGCATTATACTTCCATTACGAAAGAATCTGGGCAAAATTATTTCATCTTCCGATAAATCATCTTGATTTAAATTTGAATTTGATGATGAAAGTGAATTTTTTCTATTTAAATTCATTATAAATGAAGTTGTGGATGAAATTTGATGATTATCAACATTACTGCTTATTGACACACGAATTTCCGTTAATGGTAATTCACTATCCAAAAGTGTTTGTTGTTGTAGTTGTTGTTGTCGTCGTTGTCGTTTTGTTTGTCGAATTTGTAAATAAATATAACGACATGCAAAAATGGTCAATATGTAGACAAGATAATAGCAAATCAAAGCTAATTGAATGAATAAAAGTTTTTTGTTAATTGAAAGAAAAAAACAAATTTCCATAAAGTTTTTCATCAAAACTTACCGATAGAATTTCCAATTTTAAATGTTCTTCCATAAATAAATACCCATGTCAGAAACGTAGCACCAATATAGAATATAATATCACGAACTAATGGTCGTTTATTCATTGTAAATTCACCACTCAATATGATACAACCGATAACAATAGTTGTGACAAATGTACCAGCACCAAATAGACTGGCAAAAATTAAATGTGGTTTCGCATGACTAATACCACCTATCGATGCAAATATATCCGGTGCTCCATTACCAAATGCTAACAATGTAACACCAGCAATATTATTCGGAAGTTTTAATGTATTTGATATGGTTAATAATGATGGACAAAGGCTATTAATAAAGAAAAAAAAATTGAGATCAAAATTGACACAAAATCATACCAAACATACAAATTATCAGCAACCAAACTAATAGTGATAAATAAAATGAATAAAATGCCGAATAAAATTATTGAATTCAATATTAGTGAATCATCCAAACGACAATAAGCCATTTCAATAAAGCTGAATAAAATGCCATCATATGCACAGGATTCGGTTGTCTGAACAAATTCACAACGTTTTTTAGAATCATTAATATGGATAACATCGCGGCACTATGTAAATTTATGTAAACTTTATCATTAGATTTCAAATTCTAAATATTAAAGAAAATGATAGACTGCTTACGTGAACATCTTTGATGTGAAATTCAAAGATGATTTGTTCGGTAAAATTTATCATTGTTTTAATTTCATATAATCAATTTATATCGAATCAGTTTGCATATGATATTTGTTGGCGATCAAATGATTATTTCATTTATTTATTTTTATTATTATTAATTTTGTTTTTTTGACATTTATCAAATTCAATTTCAAATAAGAAAATGTGTTTTTAAAAATTGTTTATTTGTAATGATTTTTTTTAAAAAGCCAACTACCTATAGCAACTCGAATCGAAGACTATAGATTGATGGCGGCAATGACATCCATAAAATACATTTTTTTCCCAAGATATATGGACTTGGATTTAAATTAATTAAATTGATATCAAATTTTTTTTACTGATTCTCACTTCAATACTTAAAAAAGTATCATTGTTTTGTAATTTGTCTGTTTATCAAAAAAAAAAGTTTTTCCTTTAATTTACCGGATTATCACATGTTTGTACAGTTATTATCATGATGATGATTGTTGTCAATATTTTGGAATGTGCAGTTGAAACCTTTCATTTTAATCTGAATTCATCTACCAGTCCGTTTTAAATGTGATTTTTTTTCAATTATAAACAATAGAATATAACTACTACTATGATTATCAGATGTTATTGATTGTTGATTAAAAATTGTTTTTTCTCAGGTTGAAGTACACAAATGCTATCGAAAATAAGATAACCCTAATATATCTAATACTTGACATTTTGATGATTGCATATTATCAAGGTTTTAGCCTTGATCAATTCTAATTGATATGAAAGTATTTTAATGTTAAGTTAACATAGTTACTACCTGAATTGAGAATTTTTTTTTGTGTATCCAAATAGATAGATAGACTATCCAAAGATATTGGGAAAGAATTCTAGTGAAATTGAAAGAAAAACATCATAAAAAGCACACGATATAAAATTTACAAGTTTTTTTTTGTTTTTCAATTGAAATCGTGTGCCACCTCTTTATGATTATATGATTATAAAATGTAATTGATAACAATCAAAAAAAAAAATTAATACATCGAAATGAAAATATGTTTTTTTTATATAATCAAAATAATAATTTCGTTCATAATTGTATATTCCAGGATATTGGTTATTGATATTTACAAATTTAAGGAAATTTTCGCATTTTTTTTTTGTTGATGATCTTGATATGATTAAAATTTCTTTTCCAAATTGATAAGATTAAATATCTCTTTACGTATAAGGCTATCGATGTAACGACCACAATTTGTTTTTGGTAGATTATATCGAACAAACAGAAAGAATTCATCTAAATCAGCAACATTTTCTATGTTAAAAGTGTAAAAAAATTAAAATTATTAATCTTATTTTTGCTCACAATCAAATCCTATTATGATTGCAATACCTTTGATATAATTAGCGATCTGTTGATTAAGTTCCGGTGTTAGATATGTATTGACAAATTTTAATGATACTAATGCGGCACATTTTTTTGATGATGTATCGGTTTCAATGACATATGCTTCAGCGATCAATGGATGATTAAGTAAATAGGTTTCGATTCGAGATTGTTGAACGATTGAATTTAGTTCACTTGATGAATTTCGATATTGTCCATGTAGATATATTAATCCATTTTCATCATAGAAACCCATGTCCTGTGTAATTAACCATCGTTGACGATGAAAATGGTGTTTATCTGCTTTTGAATGATCAGTTAGATGTTGAAAATTTAATTCGATTATACGAGAGCTGTTTTAGTTTTTAAAAATTTTTGTGAGCAAAATAATTAACGACAAGAAAATCGTCACTCACCTATTGTTGCTAATATAACCGATGGCAAACATATTTTGTTCACGTCCAACAGCAATTAAACCACAACAATTTGCTTCTAACATTTCATCATCATAATCGACCAGGCTATGAATTTTGATTTGAGTATTTGGCAACGGAAATCCAGCCGAATCATAGTCATTCGAATTACGTATCAACATTGTTATAGGACATGGTGTTTCAGCCATAATATAACAATGACGAATTGAACGAACATTTGGAAAACGATGAAAAAAATTTTGACATAAAATTGATGATATTTTTCCACCAAACGAAATAATTTTTATTAAATTTTCAAGAATAACATTATGACCAGTATCTTTAAGTAATTTAATCAAAAAATTAGATGGTAAAATTGCTGAATATATTCGATATCGAACGATAGCATCGATTATGTGAACATAATCATAACCAGGAACTAATATAAAACTACATCCATTAACAATAGCCGATATAAACATGAGTAGATTTTCTAAATGTTCAAACGATCCATAAACTAATAATTTATCAATGGAACGAAATTCAAAAATTCGACCATCGGCTAACATTTCGCATGTTGCAATTAATGAAAAATGATTATGAAGAAAAAGCCTTGGTGGCCATTGATGTGTACCATTAGAGTTGAGTGCTAAACATGGTACGGTGACAACATTTATCGGTTTGAACAATTGATCAATTTCATTCGAATCTGAATTTAGCCAATCACCCAAATAAATAATTTTTTCATCATCAATTAAATCGTTGTTGGTGTTCAAATAGCCATAGAGAAAAATTTTCTGGCAAAATAAAATAAATGAATCAAATTTCAAGAAAAAAATAAAGGCCAAAATACAACCTTGATTTGTGCAATAGAATTTAACAATTTTCGAATGATAACCAAATTAAATTCATTACTATGATCAATATTTAGCACTAAATATTGTACATTATGTTGTATGATGAATGTTCGAATATCTTCTACAATTGTCATCAATTAAATTTAATCGACAAGAAAAAAAAATCAACAGGAAAAGCTTACGTAATGAAATGTTATCATACGGTAGATTCATCGGTATTGCCCCTATACAAATGGCGCCAAAATATAGAGCCAAATATTCAAATGAATTTTGACCAATAAATACGACAAATTCACCGGTGGGAATTATTTTCTTCAATATTGTAGCTGTTTTTCGAATATAACGACCAAGATTTTCATATGTACAGATTTTTTTTGTTTCATATTCAATCTATTAGAATTGATTGATTATCAAATGAAAATGAAAGCTAATCATAAATGAAAACATACAATCTTTTGATGTGAATGATTTCCGGATAAAATATTCAATAAATATTGAACAAATGAAACATGACGAAATGAATCCAGATTACAATTATGTTGCCAATATGGATGAATAATTTTCGATACATTCGATTCAGAACGAATAGTTGATTGTGCTAATATAGCACTAGCTGAATGCATTTTGTTTTTGTTTTTTGTGGAAACAATTTGAAAAAGATTGAAGAGAAATTAATCCATCTAAACACCACCAACTAAATGAATCAATTGAACCGACTAAATGAACTGAATAATCGAATAATGAACAATATGGAGAAAAAAATACGCATACAATCCATTTAATAATAACGACCACCCATCAGAAAATAAAAATCGAAAAATCTAACTAACGAATCGAAATAATAATAATGATAAAATAAAAAAAAATCCACATCAACAACGACAATAACAATAAACAAAATACGAGAGAAATAACAGTGAAAAACCATGTGATTATCATTAATTTTTGGACATATAATATTATTATTATTTAGGAAAAAAATCATAATAATGTTTATTAATTGAAAGATAGAATGTCTCAACCTAAAATAATAATAATAATAATCTGTTATATGGCAAGATCGCATAGAGATGATTTGTGTTGTGTTATAAGTAAACAGATAATTTACCAAACATATCAATTTATCAACAACAACAACAACATCGACCAAAAAAAAAAATTGAAATGAAAATCAATTGTAATTTAACACCACATCATAAATTTTTTTTTATTATCTATCCACATCACCTTTCAAACAGTCTGTGGTGGGGAAATAATTTCCTTTTCATTATACTCATTTTTTTTGTCAAATTCGTTAATGTTTATCATCATACTAATCAAATATTATTATCAAACTAATACACACACTGTCATTTAAATTGGATATATTCTTTCGCTGGTTTTTTTTCGCCGAATAAATATCTATTGGGCAAATTATTGCTTGCGTTAGTTGTTTGTGCTGTTTGTCATTATCTCATTCATTCTATTTTTTTTTCATTCGTAACTTTATTTAATAACAAGGTAATTTTTGGTGAAGAAAAAATGGAATGAATCCATAAAAAAACCATATAAAGTGATAACCCATTTAATCATTAATATTATTAGGTCATATTTATTGTTTTCAATCAATTAATGATAATAATAATAATAAGGAAAAAGCAATGAAAACCAAAATCTGTTTGGTCCGGTTTTTTTTGCTTTTGGTTAACATTTTTGTCCAGAAACAAAGATATCTATAGTAACAAAATCTGTTTGGTGGCCATGGCGATTAAAATTTGGGAAAAAAAATCAGGAAGAGACCTTTTTTTCGTTTTGTTTTATAATTGTCATTTATTAATTTTGTATTTATAGAAACAATGTTTGTTTGATTTTAAAAAAATAAATTTATTCACAAATTAATTCACATCCATAAGTGTATCCATTGAAAATTTAGACTCTAAAACAATAATTAAGTAATTAATTTCAAATATATAAATCTTTGATGAAACTTACTTTTTAACCACCTGTACAACATCTTCATCATTCAATTCATGATCTTTACCGACTTTTTGTGGATTATGTTTCACTGATGTTCCCCATACTAATGCACTGATTAGATAAAATTCATTTATTAATTTGATTTTTTACGGAATAAAATTTATAATTCAAATTAGATACTTACTATTTGAATTCTTTCATAATCGATTTATGTAGTTTATTACAAAAATCTTCAACAGTTTTACGTTCACGATTCAAAATAACCGGTGAATCATAATCGGGTAGTTGACCTTTTGGTTTGGTATAACTGAAACAAATTTTTCACAACAACAAAAAAAAGTTAATTAATTAACAAAATTTACAATGCAACATACATTCGAATTAATTTTAAATAATCCCATGTTTTATAAAGTAGATCATCAAAATTCCATTTATGGTGAGCGGATATAGGAACGCAATGTGGAATTTTATAAATTATTTCCAATTCTTCAATAGAAATTTGATCAATTTTGTTTAGTATATAAATACAAGGAGTATAGATACGATTCCCTTCGATTACATCGATTAAATCATCAGCATTGGCATCATATTTGAGTACAACATCTGCATTTGCTATTCGATATTCGGCTAATATCGTTTTCACTGTGTCAAAATCCAATTCCGATTGCTGTACTAAACATTGAAGATTAATACCACCTTTATCTTTTCTACGCAGTGTTATCTGTGGTGGATCTTTATTTAATCGAATTCCAAAACCTTCCAATTCTCGTTCAATTATTCGTTTATGTTGTAATGGTTTTAAAACATCTAACACGATGTAAATTAAGCTACAAGTTCGAGCTACGGCAATAACCTGACGACCACGACCTTTACCATCTTTAGCACCCTCAATAATTCCAGGTAGATCAAGTAATTGAATTTTAGCTCCTTTATATTTTATCACTCCGGGTACAGTTGTTAATGTTGTAAATTCATAGGCCGCCACTTCAGAATAAACGCCCGCTAAATTGGACAATAATGTCGATTTGCCGACGGATGGAAAACCTACGAATCCGATTCGAGCATCACCAGTTTTGGCTACATCAAATCCTTCACCAGTGGCACCACCACCACCTTTTGGTGTAATTAGTTCACGGCGAAGTTTAGCTAAACGAGCTTTTAGAATACCCAAATGACCCATCGTAGCTTTGTTTCGTTGTGTTCTGGCCATCTATTTATTAAATTTTAAAAATTTTAATCATTATGGATCGTATCACTTACCTCGGCCTCAATGTCCGCGATTTTTTCAAGAACACTCATGATTGATTTGAAATATACAACAAGATTTTCAATTAATTTTCAACAAAGATCAAATCAACAAATCATCAACCACGTTGCGGTGTCTGTTTTGCCTCGATCGACGACTAATGGGTCGCTAATATATATGGTAATCGCGAAAGAAAACATTTAAATCACACATGTTTTATTGCATTTAATTTGTTTTTAAATAATTTTTGTTTCAACGACGTTTACAAATTTTCACGATAAATGTGGCAATAAAATAGGCAAATATGATAAAAATGCAAAATTCCATAAATAATGGTATTAGATCAATGTGAAACAATGATTTCAAATTTTCATTCAGATAGTATTCCGCAACCAAACGATTTGGATTTGATTGATTACCACCATCAAATTCAAATGTTATACATTCTTCTGTATCTTGAACAACTTTCCAACGATTATCCCAGACAGTTTGACAAAAATCATATGCATCTTTATAGACCAAATTGAATGGTAAACATTGTGCACCATGTGGACAATGATTTGTAATTATTGAATTGGATTCCAACTTTTTCCAATCAAAATGTTTACGCCAATTTCGGACACATGTAAATGACGAACCGGAACATTGATTCCACCATTCAATGCAATCACTTTCGCATAATGGTACCTGTACGATTCGTTCTTGTCCATAATCTTCAAGACCAAATTTAGAATCACTTTTTACAATCCATGGTTCAATATACGGATCACAATTATAATAACAAAGATTTTTGATAAAATATCGATGACAACCAACCGATATGGAATCCAATCCACAATGAGTAAGATTAAAATTAAACTGATTCAGCATGTGATGAGCGCGAATCGATGTCTGTTGATCACAACAGGAATTTTCCGACCATGGTGAACACTGAAAATTTAAAAATAATAGATAATGTTTTAATCTTGAATCAGAAAAATATCTTACTTCTTCATACAACGATACGTTGAATTCTGGAATTCGGAGATGATTTTTCGTTCGAAGACAAGTTCCAATATGATTGGAATTGATCGAATGAATAAATAATAAAATCAATAATGATAAAATAACAAAAATGGATATTTTTTCCATCATCATTTGAACATTGCAATTGGAAAACCTATAGAAAAAATTGATCAAATGTCGACTAAGAGTTTATTTGTAAATAAGTAGTTTAAAAAAAAATTCAACAATGAAATAGGAAAAAGGCCTAAAGAAATTGTTCTTTATACAAAAACAAATAAATAACAGAGACAAAAAAAAATTAATAAATTGACAATGAGATGGCTAAAATCCTTTCGGTTTCCATTGTAACGGAAGACGAACATTTACTAGCTGATAACAAACAAGTAAATCTTGTGGTTGAAATCGAATAACTTGTTCGTTTGTTTTATTCGATATAATATTATTGGCAATCATTAGACCACATTCAAAATCTTTTTTAATTGAATCCACTTCATCTTTATGATGACGCATTGATGATAATTTTAAATCTTTAGCTATAATCTTTCCATTTCGAATTAATTTATATAAACCATTCTTTTTCAATATTCCTTTCGAACATCTTGATCCAGCAACGGGAATTTTTTTCTTTTTTTCATTTACAACAAATTCTTGTATAATAATTGCTTCACCAAGAATTTCTTCTCGATCAATAAATGGCATTCGTTCTTGTAATGTTTCTTTAAGATGATCAACAAGATGATATATCACATTAAAACGTTTGATAGAAATATTCAATTCTTTTGCTTTTTTCAATAAAGCAGGTGTAAATACACCGACATTAAATGTATAGATCATTCCATTTGGAAAACATGATGCTAATTCAATATCATTTTCGGTAACATTGCCAAGACCATAATGTATTAAATCTAATTTAGCTGGACTTGTCTCATTTGGAAATGAATCAAATAAATCTAATAAAACTTCTAAACTTCCATTAACATCGGCTTTCAATACAATACTCGTTTTTAATTCATCGCCTTCAGTTTGAATCAATTTTGTACGCGGAATTGATGAACGTTTACGTTTATAACGAATACCGGCTTCACGTCTAGCAGCTAATTCAGCTTTATAAACAGTATCATGTTCATCACGTTTTTGTTCGATAGCTTTTGCATCGATTGTTTGTCGAATTTGTCGTTCCAATTCTTTACCCATTCCTAATATATCTCGAACTTGTTTTTCCGAATTCAATTGCCAAATATGATCACCGGCTTCAGGTAATGTATCATCACGCCATCCGATAACTTGTGCAGGAAATCCAGGTGGAACTTCGTTGATTACTTGTCCATATTCATCAAACATTGCTCGTACTTTCGCCCAGCTTACATTACTATGGCGGCTATTTGTACTGATTAAAATATCACTTCGTTTTAATGTTCCCTGTTGAACCAGAATGGTGGTCAAACGTCCACGATGTGGATGAATACTGGATTCGATGATTGAACCTTCAACATTTCCATCGATCGGTGCTCGTAGTTCCAATGTTTCAGCTAAAGCAATGATTGCTTCTTTTAGTTCATAGATACCATCACCTTGAAGTGCACTAATTTTGATCGACTGAATGTCACCACCATCCTCTTCAAGGACAATACCGTGTGATTTCAGTCCAAATTTGACATTTTGAATCAAATCTGGATCATTTTTGATTTTATCAATCTTATTAATGGCAACAATAATGGGAACCTGTGATTTCTGTGCAAACGATATGGATTCTATTGTTTGTTCCATAACGCCATCATCTGCAGCGACAACTAACACGACAATATCAGTCACTAATGCACCACGTTCACGCATCGAACTAAACGCTTTATGGCCTGGGGTGTCAAGAAAGACAACAAGATCTTCGATTCGACTTTTACGTATATTTTTGTCATCTTGAAGAGAAACAACGAATGCACCAATATGTTGCGTAATACCACCATGCTCTTGTTTGACTAGTTCGGATTTACGAATTGAATCTAGTAAAGTTGTTTTACCATGATCCACATGTCCCATTATGGTTACGATGGGTGGTCTGATACGAAAATCTTTTCCTTGTTTAAGCTGTGAATAGTTTCTAATTCTTGTCAAAATGGATTCGGTTGTAATCTGGTCCTGTTGATTATGATTAGGATGTGAATTTTCAATGTCATTTTTAAATTTTGTGGAATAAGTTCTAGCCAATGCTATTCGCAATGAGGAAAGACGATAAGCCAACATCTGCAATGATAATGATAGTGTTGACATTCAAAATGATTAAATATTTATTGTTTCAATTAAAGATGAAAAATTTAAAGAGATAATATAATTATAAAAAAGAATTCATAACTGTACAAATACAAAAATACAATGTTGAAAATAATAACACGTGAGTACCGTTCATAGACAATGGATCCAAATGAAAAAAACAAAAACAAAAATTGCCATCAAGAATTTGGTGATTTATTTGGGACCGTTTCCGGCACACAAACATTCATTCGTTCAATAATGGCTTGATTTTCCGTAGTTAAAATTAAATCCGTTGTTAATGATTCATCGATTCGTTTCGCAGCACGACGCATTCGAAATTTAACTGGCGGTTGATCACCGCTTATGATTTCAATGATTCCCGATTGATAAACGTTTATCTGGCCATGTTCAAGATTGAAATCAGCCGGTAATTGTATGAGATTGAATTCAGGCAGTAGTTTAATTTGATCTTTATCATCTGAATCATTATCCTTAAAATTAAGATGTTTATTCAATTCAATCTTCTTGATTATATGAGCGATTTCACGTTGTGTATCATCGTAAACATTTGCGCCAATGCTAGTTTCTGTTTTGATAACATTTTGAGACCCTCGTTGTTCACGTTTAAACTGTTGCCGTTTTTGTCGTCCAACATTTAAATTATTATTGATATTATTCAATTCTTGATGATTATTGGATGTCGATTCCAGTAATGATGATTGTTCATCGTGATTATTCAAATTCGTCGATTCAAAACGAAATGACGATGGTAGACCCCCGAATGCACGAGAAAGATTCAATTTTGTACAAGTATCATCATGGCTTCCTTCAAGTTTTTGTTTCAAATCTTCGAGTGTCGGTAATAAGGATGTACCAGAAGCAGAAGCAGCCGCCGCAGATGCCCGAATACTACTCCGTGTTGTACGTTTAGTTGATGATGAATTTGCCAATATATCTGATAAAGATGCGAATGATGTGGCCTGATTGCCACTTTTAGAAGATTGTGACATCACCTTTTCCGCTGAAAATTTCATTTATTCATTGTTTTTTCGATAAAATCAATTGAAAAATTTAAGACACGAATAAAGTTGTTGCAATTGTTTGGCATGTTACAACACATGAAGCAATCGATTGTTGACCATCGATTGCCATGTGTTGATGGGCAACAAAAAAAAATTCAAATTTTTTTTCCCATAACAATGCGCCAATTTTATTCATGAAAACTGAAAAGTATTTATCATAACAAATTCTATAAATTTAAAAATGTATTTATAAATTTAAAAAAATAAAAATATAAAAAAAAGAAAAAGGAAAGCTTACGACACCGAGTGTTCCCAAGTGGTCACCCTCCCAAGTACTGACTCGGCTCGACGTTGCTTAACTTCGGTGATCAGACGAGAACCGGTGTTCTCAACGTGATATGGTCGTAAGCTGAA